GCGCAGATGCTCTAGATGACTGTAACCCACTCGCGATTGCCTAGCTGCGTGAGAGTAGGCCTCGTACGACGCTCTGCGCCTATGACTACCTTCATTGAGCCAATTACGCCCATCTAAAAGCCAGTTTCATCAAAGTTATGGATGTCGTCTAAATGAACTCTATACTTCTTAACCGTCTCTCGTACAAGCTTAAACCACGCGTTAATAATCTCTGGATCCTCTTGTTAAGTTCTCTAACGATCCTTTGCTCGACTAAAGGCTGTTCTAAGCTCGTCTGTACGAGTAACGAACCGCTCTGCCCAGCATTTGCCTAAAGGCTCGCCATCTCGTTCGCGTAGTAGTTTCTCCGCCATATCTGCTACTTTACATAGACGGGGGGCAAATCCTCGCGAGTCTAGGTTAAGAATATATCGTACGATAGTTTGCTCTTTAGACTTAGTTAGCTTCTGGCAATTTGGCTGTGTTGTAGGTCGAAAGGTGATTCCTCGAAGCCGCCGAGAGATCTGCTGATGATGGACGTTGTAGGCTGCTGCAGCGCGTCGAATGCTCTTAAACTGGCCTGTACGATAGGCCTGAACAGCTAGAGTAAGCCTACCTTCTTGCTGAGTTAATATCGCGTTCTGTTGTTGGGGCATTATCTTTCGTACGTGAAGTTCGTGATGCCAAGAAAAAGTGGCACACTCGGTGATGTGGCCCGCTCGGTGATGGAATACGTTATATAACAAAACTACTTTACTTTGCTTGGCCTGCAGTACTACTACCAGCACCAGCACCACCGGCAGCACCAGCTGGGGATGGTCCCCCTGCAAAGCTCATTTGAGCAAGAATATCTTGTCTCCAGGATTCGTCAGCGCTCTCGCTTTCGGTGCTGTCGCGATTGGCGACTCGGAGACCGCCGCCGCCACCACCACCACCGCCACCGCCACCGCCTCCCCTGCCATCATACGACCCGTTACTAGCATATCGACTCATCTCGTCATCGTAGCCTGTATGGCCGTAACCCTGGCTGTGATGACTGTCCATTGTCCATGAGTGCTGCTGCTCGTAATTGCCCTGCTGTCCTGGTTCCTCGCCGTAAAAGTCACGGCTGTTCCACGTCCCGCTTCTGCTGGCCTCGTCGCCGCCGGGCCCAGGCCGGAGGACATCGGGCAACGGCCCGCCTAGCCCACTGTCACTGCTAGAATGGTACTGTTGCTGATGTGGATGATATGCGTTTTGATAATTCATGGGCTCGTGTGCGCCCGACTCGCCTGTGTTGAAAGGTCCAGCGCGGTCAATGGGCGAGTAGTCGAGCTCGCCTGGATTCTGGATGCGCAGGTCCGGGAGGAACGACCGCCGGTTGTCTGTCGGAGTGCGATCACTTGGGTCGTGGAGCTCGACGCCTTGATTGTGGCCTGATGGCATGTTCTCGGGAATGCTAAGCTGCTGCTGTGAGCCAGCGTATTGTTGACCAGGTGGCATGTTCGCAGAGTTTTGGTATTGCTGCTGCTGTGCAAGCGACAAGCTATTCATCGTAGCCGTCATGCCGAGTAGACTGGGCGCGCGTGTGGATGCAGCTTTTACGCTGGATGCACCTGTGCGGCCCATACCCAGCATGCTTCCACTCATGCTTGCCCGCGGGGCGGGCTCTTCACTAATCATCTGCGCATCCTGTCCGTTTGGATCCCGGATGCTATACTGGGCGATTGTGCGCATCTTCCTCGTCACCCAACCCGCCAGAATCTTGCCGCGCTGCTTCTCGCCCAAGCGGGACCTGTGGAAGTCGCCTTTTTGTACAAAAGACACAATGTCAATCACAAGCTGGTGCTCGTTTAAAATAGCATTGACAATCACAGGCACCATGCTGGCGAGGAAATTGCGTCGGAAGATCTCAACCACAACCACGACGAGTCCACCTGCCTGGAAGACGGCACTAGCATGTGTTAGCAGTTTGAACAGCCTGTAATACATCCGAAACATACCAGCCACCAGGGACAATGTTTCGGTGACAGCGTTCTACCGACTGCTCAATGTCCATCGAGAAGTGGTTCAGCCCGTTGACTTCAAACGTGTCACCGATGCTCCCGAGAACAAAAAGTACCTGCATATCAACAGGGGCACCGTTGGGTCCAATCGGCCGTGTCACACTATGCAAAAAGCCCAAATCTCCAGTGCGAACATAGCGCACATTAGGATCGCCATCGATCGTCCTACCGTTAAAGCGCTCGGCATCCAATCGGTCTTTTGATCCGTAAAAGCTGTAAGCATTCGCTTCCGACTGCACCCAAATCTCGCCGTACTCGCCAACCAAGCAGAGTTGGTTGGTTTCCGGATTGACAATGGATATCTGTGTGCTGACTGGAACCATGCCCGAGTCCTGGACGAGCAACGCCCCAGGCTCCGTGTCAGGATCGACGGGCATGACGAGACCGCGTCGCAGAGCGTGAGTATCGAGATGAAGTTCTATTGGCTCGATGCACATGTACGATCGCGATGCTACCATTGGGTTCAGCACGTGTGAGTAGACGGTGTTGATGGCGGTGCGGTCCAAGCTTGCTGGCGAAAAGTGAACCCGCACTCTTTGGTCTGCGGGAATTAGCAACGTGAACATGTCTGATCATTAACATGCACTTACAAATGTCAACGCGTGGTCTTCCGTCAGTCGCAATCATGAGATTCTTCAGCTCATGCAGAGCCATGCTCTTACCGGCTCCACGCGCGATGGCGTGGTCCAGCATTTGACTGGTCGCATACGCATCCTTGATCTTGTACCGCGACAGCGTTTGGAAGAGGATGTTTGGGTTCTGCGCAAAATCGACGGGTGACACCAGGTACGTCGGAGCAGCCAGGAAAATACCCATGAGACAAGTATGAATAAAACCAAGCCCGATGGTACTTCGGACACATCCTAGTATAGGCCGTGTACTGGTCATCTGGCACGTCTCTTTCTGGACCTTGCACAATGCCATGATTTGACTGTGGCCTAGCTGTACGGCAATACGCCGTTGGTCGGGCGTCCAGTACGTCCAGACTAGCACCGGGTAGCCGGGTTGTATCCACGCGGGCCGTATCGTGAGCTTGAGGTCGCGGCAGCCACTTGACTGCTTTGGCGGTTTGGTGGTGCTGTATGTGTTTGGTACGTTGATTTTGAGGATGGCGGCCGATTGCTTAATGTGTTGCGATACTTGCTTGACCTTCATAAGATGATCCACATCAGCGTTGACGAGAATAGCTTTGACCTTGAAGTCGGCGAGGATGTGCAGCAATGCCGGCGCATCCTCATTCAAACGGTTCTGATCGATAGGTGCCATTGGTATACAAACAGCTCCAAGCACAAAACACGCGTGGACTGCATAAACAAAGTCTTCCGAGTGCGTGTACATCAGAAGCAGATGGTCACCGGCCTGGACCTTGACCTTGTTCTTCAGGTACATTGCTACACCAGCAACCTTTTGGTCAAACTTCTTCCAGTTGACACCTTTGCCCTCTTTGCCTCGGCCGTCGACTGTGCAGTACGAAAGCTCCTCGGCCTGCCGTGACACGCGCCATTGCATGAGATCGTGGATGTTTGAGAACTGGTTGAGTGGAGTCGACGTCCTATCATCGATAACAACCTCTCGGTGGTCGACGCCAGAGTATTGCTTGTCCTGGAGCATCAAGAGTTGCTGACGTGCCATGGATGCGTCGAATGACCACATGCCGCCAGCGGGGTCGTCACCGAGCGCGATATTCTGTACCGATCTCTCGACACCGAACTTGACGTGGACGCAGGGTAACGAGCCGTTGTCAAACTCCCTCCTGCAGAGCATATTTCCAATCTCTCGTCGGCCGTTCTTGATGACTCGTGGAAGGGTGTTTGGTGCCGTGATCATGACGCAGTATACCCGTAGATGGTGTTCTTGATAGAGGACCTCCATGCATCTCTCAGACAGCGAGTCTAAGAAGGGTATATCCAACTGCTGGGGCGGCCCACCGGGGTTTGTTGGAGCCGTTGATGCAGCCTGCGTCTCAATAAGGATAATCGGGAGGTATTCACCATTGACGTAAGAATCAAACGATGAGCTGTGACAAGTTAGCCAAGTCTTTGCTTGTCAAGACTCACTCACCAATCGTAAATCTTCGGCACAGCTTTCATGATGCTCGTAACTAGATGCTGCACGAAAAAGTATCGATGTTCAGCCTCTAGCTGGCCATTCTCGACCCATTCAACACGCTGTCTGATGCGATCTTCATACAGTCCGAGTACAAATATCTTTCCTTCTACAACACAGCCCAAGAGCCCAGTACGGAGAAATTCGAGTTCGAGCAGTTGCGGCGTAGGGCTGCCCTCGACAAAGCGGTACGGACGGGCATGGAAGATGGTCTCGGTATGCTTCTGCAACTGCCAGAAGCCACCCGATAACGAAGGCGAGTCGACCCAAATCTCACCAATCGAGTATGGTGAACACAACAGATTGGTCTCCGGGTCTACAATGGCTAGCGTTGCATCTGGTATTGGGTATCCAAAGGCGCCGACACGCATAGTGCCAGGCTCATTTGCGCGTTTACTTGCATCCTCGCCAATTGCCAGAACGGCGACCTCGTTCATCTTCAACGCCTCCTTGTCCAGCAAGATTTCTGTGAGCTCCGTGGGCCCCTTCTTCTTCTTTTCCTTTGTATTCTTCGTAGTGCCCCCACCAATAAGACTGGAATAGCCATTGGCCGCTGCGTGGTTGTCCTCACCTTCGGAATCGTCCTCTTCCTCTGGTGCTATGCTGAGTGTGCAGCCCATGCGTTCCTCTCCGCCCAGCCAGTCGCGCACAGATATGATCATGCCACCATGTTCTGGCAAGCAAAGCATTGGTGCAATCAATTCCCGTGCTCTAGGGTTTCGCAATGGCCGGAAATATCGGTCTCCCAGAATCTCGTGGAATTCACAGTCGACCGTAAGCGTATCGATAAAACATATCTTGACCGAGCTAAAGTTGGGTTCTGTATTCTTCTTGAAGTTTCTTGTAGCCATTGGGTCTTGCTGGTAGTTGTATGCAGCGCGCTTGAGACCTGGATAATCAGCTATGAGAATGTTGGACTTGTACTTGGTGATGAGATGTGCATATAAGCCCGGCGTCTCCATGGTCGCCGTCTCCAACCATACCGTAGTGTGGCCACCATAGACTGCAAACAAAACACTGAGGATGAGACCAGCACTTTCGCGCGGGTCAAGGTACGAAAGTATTACTTCCGTGGGGTTCCTGGACGGCGCTGGTGCAACGAATTTGCCCGAAGCATCCCGAAGGCTGCTGTTGAACGTGTCTTGACTCTGGCTGTTGGTGGGAATCGTAGTAATCATGGCGCTGATGCAGGCCATTTGATGCATAATGGTGCGGTGACTGAGCACAACACCCCGCAGGTCACCGGTGGGCGCGCGAGAGAACTCAATGTAGGCGACCTCTGGTACTTGCAAGGCCGGGGTATCGTCGTGCTTCTTGGAATGATAGCTGCCAAACTCGTTCGTCTTCCACCACTCAACCCCGCTCGGCCACTTCAGACGGTTTTGACTAATGTCTCGGTGGAAAGCCTTGAGATTGTTGTCCGTGGTCAGTGCAAGATGGGCTTGCGTTGTCGTCAGCAGGAGAATGAGCTTCTGATAGTCGTCGACGCTGTTGATGGGCACTGCTACAACGCCCGCAATGAAGCAGCCCATCAGCGCAACGACAAAGTCAATAATCTCTGTATCTCTGTACACCAAAGCCACGCGGTCCCCCCGATACAGATTGCTCTTGTCCCTGATTACTTTTGCCACCTTCTCTGCACGGCTAGCCACCTTTTCCCAGGTTATCGACGCAGTTTCTTTTCCTTTTGAGTCGAGGACCCAGAAAGCAGTCGTTCTAGGCTGTGTGCGGCTCCGGTGGCGCAGAACAGCGCCGATATTGTCAAACTTTGACATTTTGACATTCTGGTTGTGGGGATCGTAGACGTCAAAGGGCAAGTCTCGGGGCTCCAATGGCATCATGGTCTCGACAGCGCCTGCAGGGAGATCCTGCGGGTTCATCATGGGAGGCGGTATCGCGGCGGTAGGAGAGAAGGCGTCTCCCGTCGAGTAGCGGTTGGGGCCCCCGTACGAGTCGCGATGATCCTGCATTTGCTGGCCCGTAAAGTCGGAAAAATAGCCTTGGTTCACTTCCAGCATGGTGCTCCTCCGGCTGGCCTCGCCTGGCGACCCGTATGCGCCTTCGAGGCCCTGCTGCGTGTCCGGGTTGAAGGCGTAGTTGCCCATCATGGTGGGCTCGCGCGAGTAGTTGTACTCGGGTGTCTGCGGCCGCGGGATAAACGTCTCGCTCCCCTGCGACAGCTGCGACGAGTTGCGCTGCAGCGAATTGGTGCGCAGGCCCAGCTGCTTCTCTTGAAAGCGCCCGACCTGGCTGGGAGGATAGGCCATGTACTGCGAGGACCCCGCTGCGCCGGCGGCCTGGTTCGCGTAGGGCATGGATGCGCCCATGGAGCACTGTGCGGAGCCGTCATGATATGAATCTGGGCGCGGCAATTGGATGTGCGGGGGCTGTGGTCGTGGCGATGGGCTGGGGCCCGAGAGGGCAGCGAGCGATGCGCTGCGGGAGCCCGAGCCGTCGCTGCTCTGGCGGTGCAGGTCGCTCTGCAACTGCGCAGCAAAGTCGGGCCCCAGGTACTGCGACAGCAATACCGTGCGTCGTTTTTCGTACCTGTGCGGTTGGTTAGCGCACGCAGCCGTGGCGGCGAGGGCAGAGAGCACAAAGCAAAGACTGTACGGACCCCTTCTGTGTAATGTCGCCTTCCTCGAGCTCGTGCTCCAGCTCGTGCAGCTTGGCCTGCAGCTCCGGGTTGGACTCGGCCATGGTATCTGGGGCAGCGGCAGCGGCAGCGGCGGAGGCGGAGGAGGAGGAGGAGGAGATGCGGCGGGCAGGTGTAGCGGAACCGTGTGTAGAACAAACTGGACGAGGATGCTATGTGGCGGCCCGCGGCATGTTACAACCAGGATGCGAAGCGCCGACAGCCAATGCTGCGAGCATCCAGAGGAGGGCGCGCGTCGACGGCGGCGGGACGGGAGAGGGCGGCGAGGTGGCAGTGGTGGTGGGATTATGGTGGAGAGGATGGAAGCGCACACATTGGCCTGGCCTAGGTATGCGGTAGGCACAAGACAAGTCAGGCACAGGTACGCGCAAGGCCAGACCAGACTACACTACACTGGGCAGTTGAGTTGAAGTATGACGTTTTACCACAGAGGCCGGCTGCTCGTGTCATGAGGCAGTCTACCCGACCAGAGGGCGCCAAGCGCCGGTTGCTAGGCCAGCGGCTAAGTAAAGTAGAGCGGGCTTGACTTAGCTATTTAAAGACTCTTAAATATATCCTCAACTTACTATATACCTCATCCACTACAACGTAAAGACGGAAAATACAATTTATGAATTTTTTCAAGGCTAGTATTTCAAAGATACCAAGGTGTGTTTCCCTTTAGAGGACTTGGAAAACTTGGATATTTTCTTCTTTCTAGCCAAGTTTAGAAATGGTAAGATACTCTTAGCTGATAGTATCCTCGAACTACTCCACTGTTACTACTGTAGAGAATTGAGTGTAAACGATTACCCAGTATGTATTTCTATTGGACTAGCGCCTAATGCCCGGGCGCACTAATTGCTTGGTGACTGCGCATACTTGGCGCCCGCCATCGGTTGTTTGCCGTGCTGGTGGCGGCGGCAGAGGCGCTGCTTAGTCACCCAGCCCCTTAGTCAGCCGCCAACCTTTTTCCCTTACGCTTTTGGGCCGACAAGCCGAGGCTCGTCGACGCGAGGGCTTTGGATGCGCCCAAGGATGCCTGGCGCTCCGGCTCGTGTCACAACATATAAACCCTCAAACACCCTCTCCTTTACTTGCGCCCCTTTCGCTGCAAATCAGGGTCATCGCCCACCATGGCCACACTCATCCGCCCTCCACCCGTCGATCCGTCGCTGTCGTCTATCGAAAATGTCCTCGAACTGATCCAACTGCCCGACATTGACCCCAATCTCTTCACAAACAAGCGTCCGCTATGGCATCCACCGGGCGCGCGTGGTATCTTTGGTGGCGCTGCCATTGCGCAGACACTGAGTGCCGCCCAGAAGACGGTCGACCCCGACTTCACGGTGCACTCGATGCACTGCTATTTCGTGCTTGCTGGCAATGCCGAGATTCCCGTCGTATACCATGTCGAGCGCGTGCGGTCAGGCAAGTCGTTTGCGACAAGGACAGTGCAAGCGCGACAAAGGGGCAAGGTCATCTTCACCACCACCATGAGCTTTGTGCGACAAAACAGTGGGGGTGCCGACCTGGTCGAGCACATCTACCCCATGCCAGACGTCCCAGGGCCCATCGAGGACAATGGCGAATCCGAGGTGCTCCACAACGACCATGGCCCCTTTGTGAGCCAACAACTGCCTATTGTGAACGGTAAGTGTCTTTCCATGCCAGTCTCTTGGTCGCTTCGGCTCATATCCAGCAGAACACTCGGACAAGCCGCACGCCAAGAGATGTCGACAATGGGTCAAGGCGCGCGGCCGCATCTCCCCCGCCGGCGGCCACGAAGCTCACCTCTCGGCCATAGCATACATGTCGGACAGCTACTTTATCGGTACCGTTGCGCGTGCACATAAGCTCATGCGCTACTCTACCCTGCGCAAGGACAGCGCAAAGTCAAGCATCGACGAAGACATGCTGAAGAAGTTGCTGGAGATGGACGACACGGAGCTGCAGCAACAGAGCCATGTCAACGAGGCAGAGAAGGAGCGCATACGGCAACTGAAGAACGGCGAGCCAGACCGAGAGATTGGGATGATGGTCAGTCTGGATCACACCATCTACTTCCATAACCCTCGCAACTTCCGGGCAGACGAGTGGATCCTTGCCGACGCGGAGACGCCGTGGGCTGGCGACGGCCGTGGGCTTGTTTTCCAGAGAATGTATACCAGGGACGGCACGCTCATAGCGAGCTGCGTGCAAGAGGTGAGCAGTGTGCATGTCTCTGTCAAATGTGGGCTGAACTAACACATACAGGGCGTTGTGCGATTGAAGCAGAACGACAGTAAGCTCTAGTCATGACCCCGCATTTTCTGCGTCTCGTTTCGTGTGCTTTGATCCGATTGGTATTTTGTGGCCGATTTCCATTTGCTCTGGCCGCAGTAGACCTTGTTCTTTGCATTGCATTTCCCGTTGTAGGTGTAGACGTGGCGACTGCGTATACCACTTTCTCTCTCTCTCTCTCTCTCTCTCTCTCTCTCTCTCACACACACACACACACGGATGACTACGCACCCTGTATATACAATAATGCATGACACGTCGTAACAGCTATTCGCTTGCGCAGTAGCTATGTATACTGGACTTGGATATGCACGGCGCATGCAGCCCTGTAGGCCGCGGCAGGCACGTGGGCCGATCGTTCTTTCCCCGTCGACACTAGCGCAGAGCCGACGCGCGGGCTGCCATGTCGTCTACACTCGGAGACTCGGATTCACCCGGCAGTTGTTGACTCTCCTTCCGAAGCCCTCATTGGGATTCTTGCGCCTTGTGTTTCGAGTCGTCCCTAGTTTCTCTGCCGCGGTCTAGCCTGCGATCCTCTTGCACGGCTGCAACTGTACCACCTGCCCTACCATGTCGCAGCCTTCGACACCAGACTGTGAAGAGAGCGTCTAGTATTCACCCGGCTCCGAGGCCATCCAAGGAATGAATGTCAAGCAGGCGGCGTGTCTGAATTGCCGCAAAAGCAAGATCAAATGCCGACGCGAAGAAGGCGCCCCGGTATGCGGGAGATGTGCAAGCGTAGGCGTGGAGTGCATCATACCCGAGTTCCACATGTACGTACCGCCGCGCCAACCCATCGTGAGAGATACGCTGACGCTGCTGCTCGACGTGCAGTGGCAGGCAAAAGGGCGTGAAAAAGTAAGTGTCGCATGCCAACCGGCGTTGTAGCTGAGCTCACAGCTTGCAGCAAACGTTCGGGATTGGAAAAGGCCATTTACCAAGTCGAAGAAGCCATCAAGAAGAGGAAATCGGATGCGGCCACCAATCAAACCACACTGCAGTATCTGCAGCAGCTTCTGAACGAAGCTCAAGGCGACAATGCTTCGAGCCAAGATGTCAAAACTTCGCCAATGTCAGTGGAGCACTCGCAAGCTCCAGCAAAAGAAGTCGTGGGCACGTCGAGCGATGACCAGCTGGCTGTTGAGGACGTGGAGAACCCCCTTCAACTTCTCGCACGCGCATCGGACCTCAGGATCGCCACCCCCCAGTCGTACAACCCCAGTGTCGCCAGCCCAGAGGGCAGATTCACAGCCAGCGAGCAAAGCGCCTTCTTGGATGTTCACCATTTCTTCTTACCCGTGAAGGCGCATCTAGACCAGGGAGCAGGCCTGGATCCAATCGATGTTGGCTTGGTGACTAAAGATGAAGCAGAGATGCTTTTGCAATTGTAAGTGCCGACAGCAACGCGACGACGCGTGGCTCACAACAGGCAGCTTTCACAGGAAACTGGCGCACACGCGCTGGGGTCTTGATCCAGTGGTGCACACTTTGCCGTTTGTTCGAAATCGCTCAGCTTTCTTGTTTACGACATTACTAGCCATGACTGCCATCTTCATACCAGAAACCTCTGCTCTGGCCAAAAGACTGCTCTTACACCGCAGATTTCTAGCTGAACAGGTTATTGTCAGAAAGTACAGGTCGGTTGAAATCGTGTTGGCGTTCATGGTTAGCATACCATGGATGCCTCCAGGGTCGCATGCAAGCGACGACGATACCAGTCTCTATCTAGCCACTGCCTTGTCGATTTCGTTGGATCTCATGCTGGACAAGGTCATCACACCGTCTACGTCTTTTGCCCATGAGCTCACTAGAGAGATACCCAAAGCAGAGTGTCTCCACGCAAGAAAAGCGTTAGCCATGGATGGCTTCGAGGACGTTGACCCGGCTTCTGAATGGGGCCAGCGACTGCTTCGTCGGAGAGAAAGAGTGTGGATCGCTTTGTTCGTGTTGGAGCGTGGTGTATGTCTTGCTCGTGGCCGCAGCTACTGTGTGCCAAAGACATGCTTGATTCAGCATTGTGATAGGTGGCACGTCCACCTGTACTCGGATGCTCAGGACGGTTCGTTGGTATCCATGGCAGTATTGCGTCGCGATCTCGACAACCTCTTTGCCGAAGTGCGCGCGCGATGCGACATGTACCGCTCAATGGACGTGGGCTTGGAAGTTGCGCACGAGATTAACAAATCCATCGAAGACTTTTTCGACCACTGGTCCCGAGCATGGCCTTCGGTGATTAGCGACCCGGACAGCAAAAGCCTACCTCCCTACGTCGAGATACTCATCACACACACGCGACTCTCGACATACTCGATGCTTCTCAACCACCCGAGTGCGCCGCCCGAAGTGAAGCGTTCATTCCGAAAGTCTGCGTTATCCTCGGCGCTCAATGTCATGCGCGCCGCCATCCAAGGCGAATCGCGGCTCAAGTCGATGCCCAACAACACCGTCACTATGATTTGCTTTGCAGCCAGCATAGCGCTTGCTCTGAGCGCACCAGTGCCCGAGGCGGGTGGCAGTAGAAAAAGCCTTGCCCCAAGCGTGCGGCACCTGATTGAGGACACTGCGACAGTCTTGGAGCGCATTGGCAGCACGCCTATGCACCGAAACGGCGCATCCGTCGTCTACGGCAGATTCCTGCGCGTGTTGGTCAAGCAGGCGCCTGAGATTGAGATGCCGCCGCCTGTGCCGCCGCAGAATCCTGCACCGCCAACATCCATGGCCATACCAGACCTCCTCTCACCCCCGACCCTCGTAAACAACCAACTAGCAAGACCGAATAGCCATTCGATAGGCCCGAATCCAATCGGTGGTTACTGGCCGGATACGCTCGACTTTTCCGCAATGTCCTACAACGAGGTAAATGAGACGGTCACAAACTCGGATCTCTTCTCTACGGCATTGCTCGATTTGCCGTGGAACGAGTCCAATCCGCTATGGACAGATTGGATGAATCTACCCGATTTCAACTTTCCGTGATGACCTGGAGGAGAGGAACTCGCAGGAAACTCTAGTGGGAGGACGCATGCGCTCCTGTGAGGCAAAAGTCGCCAAGCCTGTGGGTGCTGAGAGGGTGGCGGAACCTCGGGTTTCGCTGAGCACATGTGACGCGGACGGCAGGCAAAGCCCCGCTCCACGCTCCCATGCCGCTCCGTGTTCGGTGCTTGAAGTGACGCCGACGGGTGCAGAGAGGCATGACGTTAGAGTTGCAGTGGGATTGTCGCACGCGTTTCGTGCCGCATGTTCGGAGCTCGAGTGCTAAATCATCGCCGTGTTGACGCGTCGGCAGTTCTTGAAACTCCTTTCTGAATGATTTAATTTGGCTGCCTTTGCTGTTGGATTCCCTGCATTGGCTTTACAATGGACATAATACCTACCTCCTGCCGGCTGCTAGCAGCTCTTCCTTCGCGGTTATGCTCGCGGCGGCCCATCCCCGCGCAATTACGAGCGGCACGAAGTCTACCACCGCGATGGCGGTTCACAGGTCAACTGCGATGCATCAGTGAACGCGCACCGACAATTGATCGCTCGAAATCGAAGCTCTTCAAGGATGCTGATGAAGCCGTCGCGGACGTACAGCCTGGTTCGACAGTTCTGAGCGCAGGATTTGGGTTATGCGGTGTCGCAGAAACTCTAATCTCGGCAATGAAGAAGCGCGGCCCGGAGTCATTGCATTCGCTGACGGCGGTGTCGAACAATGCCGGCATTGAAGATGTGGGTGGCCTGGCGCACCTTACGAAGAACGGGCAGGTCAAGAAGCTTATCATAAGTTTCTTGGGGAACCACAAGGCGCTGGAGAAGCAGTATCTGAGCGGTGGCATCGAGATTGAACTCTGTCCGCAAGGAACGCTCGCTGAGAGGATACGAGCTGGTGGTGCAGGCATCCCGGCTTTTTACACACCCACGGCGGTCAACACACTGCTGCAGGATGGCGAAATTCCAGCCAAGTTTGACAAGGACGGCAAGGCTGTGGGCTTTGGCCAGAAGAGGGAGGTCAGGGAGTTTAATGGCAAGAAATTCCTCATGGAGACTGCATTGACGGGTGATGTGGCTGTTATTCGCGCGCACAAGGCCGATGAAGCCGGCAACTGTATCTTCAGGTAAGGGCTGGGACACGCAGATGTTTCGAAGCTTGCTAATGGATGGTCAGATATACGACCAAGGCTTTCGGCCCCATCATGGCCAAGGCTGCACGACTCACAATTGTCGAGGCGGAAGAGATTGTGCCCATTGGCACTTTTAACCCCAACGACATCGACCTCCCGGGCATCTTCGTCGACCGCATTGTGCCAGCCATGGCGCCCAAGAACATTGAGATTAAGAAGCTCCGAAAGCCTGTTGCGTCCAAGGACTCGTCCAAGAATGAGGCGGCAGAGCGTCGTGACCGGATTGCCCGTCGCGCGGCAAAGGAGCTCAAGCAGGGATACTATGTCAATCTGGGCGTGGGCATTCCAACGGCAGCAGCATCGTTTGTGCCCGAGGGCGTCAAGGTGTGGCTGCAATCGGAGAATGGTATTCTAGGCATGGGCCCATACCCCACGGAAGAAGAGGTAGACGCAGACATCATCAACGCGGGCAAAGAGACGGTGACGCTGCTCCCCGGCGCGTCGACGTTTGACAGCGCCGAGTCGTTTGGCATGATCCGAGGCGGTCACGTCGACGTGTCGATTCTGGGGGCGCTCCAAGTCAGCGCATCAGGCGACCTGGCAAACTACATGGTGCCGGGCAAGGTGTTCAAGGGCATGGGTGGCGCCATGGACCTGGTCAGCAACCCGGATGCCACAAAGGTCGTCGTGGCCACCGAGCACGTTGCAAAGGACGGCTCCAGCAAAATCGTCCAGGAATGCAAGCTACCGCTCACGGGCGCAAAGTGCGTCAGCACAATCATCACGGACTTGTGCGTCTTCGAGGTCAACCGCAAACACGGCACCCTGACGCTCACCGAGACGGCGCCTGGCATCAGCGTGGACCATGTCCGGGCCAAGACCGACGCCCGGTTTGAGGTTGCACCTGATTTGAAGACGATGGAGTAGCTGTATTCTCTTCTTTTGGTCCGTGTGTACATGGCGTAGCATAAGTCGTAAATACCAAGTAGTTTTTTTCTTCTTCTTCTTCTTCTTCTTCAACAAGCAGCACATGCCCCGTCGAAAGAAAACAAACTCCAACAAAATGGCCTGAGCATCACGGCATTCCGTCTGCAAGTCCAAAAATCTAGACCTCTCTCTCTCTCTTTTTTTTTTCAAACGCACGTCTCTCAGCCGCTCGCTCGCTCATATACAAATCTTGGTACGCCATGGTTACATGTATGCATGTTGCATTCTAACACACACACACTATGGTAACACACGCACAGTCGTACAGTACCACCACCACCAGTAAAACCGGGCCGAAACATTCCTTCTCCGCTCCAGCTGAGCGGTATCTGCTTGGCACTGCACTGCACTGCAATACCGGAGCTGAAGGCGCAGCTGTCCTGTCGTACCGCTCGCTACGTGTATGTATGTATGTATGTACTTACCGGGCCCCCCCCCTTTGAATACGCGCGCGAATCTGCACTACCACCACTACCACTATCACCGCAACTGCTTATCATGCTCTCTCTCGATGCGCGCTGGATAATAAAGGGGGCTAGCTTCGCTACAAGTGCACGCAGAGGTACTGGCACTTGAGCGTATGTAGCAGGGTGGTCTTGGCGCGGGGTTTCCGGATATTGCTGTGTGGAGGTGCGAGGTGCAGCCAAGCGCAGCCAAGCGGGGCAAGCAAAAGGCTTCTGCAGGCTTGGTTTTCGCGCCTGTCTTACTACTTGGAAGCTTTTTATCGCCACATGCACTGAGATGGCGATATTGACGGACGCAACACGCATACTGGTATTGATACTGATACTGGCGCACGCAGACAGACAGATGGAAAGGAATACTGAGAGAGAGAGAGAGAGGTTGCATGATTCATGTCCCCCCTTCTCCACTCGCACTCCCAGCTCCTGCGCACCACTCCAACTCCTCCATATATACCCCACGACTCAAAACGCCAGAATACGTTCCTGTAGCGCGCCGCTATACCCGTATTCCCACCGCTGCCGCACATGTCTCGGTCGCAAAACAAGCTCCGGAATCCAGCCCACACCGTTGCACACCCACACCCACACACACACCTTTACCGCTACATCTTCCCTTGGTTGCCAAGTAATGCGACTTGCTCCACACTAAGTACTAGCCCCCCGGCACCGGCACCGCGTCCCATGACTTCAAGGTTACTAGTACAAAGTCTTGTTGCGTAGGTGTGGGTGGTGACAGTGGCGGCGGTGGTGCTGGTATCCACGCCCCGCTGCGGTATCCAGCCAATCCGCGGAGAGGCGCCTGGAGGATGCACATGCACATGCACATGGGAGCCCCCTCCCCCCCCCCGTGGGGTTTAGTTAAAAAGGCATAGCACCAGGTAGTGGTCTCAAAAGGATTCTACTGTAGTGCTAGTGTGCTTTTTTTTTATTTCTATTTTTTTTATTTCTTGCCTTCTTTGTTAACACTAATGTACGCATTACCGCCCTGTTTATGTTTTTTTTTTCAAAGAATATAGTTAGGAAATTTGGGATATGGACTCTACTGTACAAGCTAAACTAGAGAGAATATCTTGTGTAACTACATAGTTTGTTTCTTTCTAGCGATTTAAACGCGCTTTTTTTTTCGTGCTGGACTTTGTCGTCATGTTAGAGTTGGACTTTGAGACGCGTTGTAAATAACAGAGTGAATAATGACTTATACACACGCTGGATATACTACGTTTTTAAATTACTAGAATAGACGCTTTCGCTCAGCTTAGTGATAGGGGGCTTATTAACACCATCAGATGCAAGGTGCCTAGTTGGATGCGGAGAAAATGCTTAGCCTGATTTTTGGGTTAAGGTTTGGTTGGGGGGGGGGAAGCCCGTTGAACACTCGGACTGTGCGGAGCTGGGGTCTGGTCTGGTCTGGTCTGGTCTTTGTCACCCCCCACTCCCGTCTGGGTAAAAAAGAGACTTGGGCTGGGTTGACATCCGACAGGCGGGCCGCTAAGCTTTTTAGTATTTCCTGGGGAAAGAAGGCGCGGTCGGATTATTAAAGAAGACGCCTGATTGCCATGCGTCCTTGTCGCGCTTGATTTTCCTCCCCTCTCCCTCTCTCCCTCTCTCTTCCCTCCAACACCCAACCTCTTTTTCTCTCTGCCTTGGACTGGGTTTTCCTTCCTCAAGGGCGCCGCCACCGCCTCTTTTGTCTTGTTTTTTCGGACTCAGACATAACAAAGATGCCGGGAAGTACGGCCGAGAGGGCCCTGAGCGTGGACAAGATGCACGATGAGAAGCTGGAGCTGCGGAGTGGGAGTGAGCAGTTGGAAGGGGCGTTTCCCGACGGTGACACAAAGGCTGAGCGGAATCTGCTGTTCAAGATGGATATTCGGTAAGTCCCTATTACATGTGTTTGCCGTCTTTTCGTGGATACTGGCTAATCGCATACTAAGCATTCTCCCCATCCTCGCGCTGCTGTTCCTGTGCTCCTTCATTGACCGCACAAACGTCGGCAACGCGAAGATCCTGGGCCTGGAAAAAGACGTCCATCTGACCGATCATCAGTACTCGATTGGGCTCTGTGCGTTTTACGCCACGTACATTGCCAGTGAACTCCCGTCCAACCTGGTGCTGAAAAAGGTGTCGCCTAAAATATGGCTGCCGCTCCTCACCGCCGTCTGGGGCATTCTGACCATGTGTCTGGGCTTTGTGGAGAACTTTGCTTCGTTTGTTACGGTTCGTGCGCTGCTGGGTGTTGCGGAGGGCGGCCTACTTCCTGGAATGGTAAGCCGGGCAAATATACTCCAACTCCAACTACTAATGGTTAACTAGGTGCTATATCTCACCCACTTCTACCGCCGACAAGAGCTCGCCCTACGCATAGGTATCTTCTACACTGCCGCCTCGCTCTCCGGTGCTTTCGGCGGCCTCCTAGCACGAGGTCTCAACGCCATTGGGCCCGCCGGCGGCCTCGAAGGCTGGCGCTGGATCTTCATCGTCGAAGGCCTGATCACCGTAGCCGTAGGCGCGTGCTCCGCCATCTTTCTGCCCAACTCAATCGAATCCTCACGATTCCTGTCCGCCACCGAAAAAGCGCACGCGCGCTTCCGCCTCGGCGAGAACAACGCCTCGCACGAGCGCTTCTCGTGGGCCGAAGTCAAGCGCGGCGTCTTCAACGTGCAAGTCTGGCTTACAGCATCCGCCTACTTTTCCATTCTCTCGGGCCTCTACTCCTTCGGCCTGTTCCTGCCCACCATCATCAACAACGGGTTTGCCAAGGACCCCAACAAAGCGCAGCTCTGGACCGTTATTCCCTATGCCGTCGCCTCCGTCTTCACCGTCATCGTCGCCATCCTGTCGGACCGCCTCGCCCTCCGCGGACCCGTCATGCTATGCACCCTGCCCATCGCCATCATCGGCTACGGCGTCATCAGCCAAGCTACCAACCCGAAAGTCCAGTATGGAATGACGTTTCTCATGGCCACGGGCATGTACGCGTCCGTTCCCTGCATCCTCTCCTGGAACAGCAATAACTCCGCCGGCCACTACAAGCGCGCCACCACCTCCGCTCTGCAACTCGCCATTGCAAATGCCGGTGGCTTCGTCGCAAGCTTCACATACCAGAAGAAAGAAAAGCCGCATTTCCACAAGAGCCATAGTATTATGCTGGGCTTGCTTTGTGCAGCTTGGGTTTTGTAAGTCCTTTTTTCTTCTTCTTCTTCTTCTTCTTCTTCTTCTTCTTCTTCTTCTTCTTCTTCTTCTTCGCAGCAGCAGCAAATCAACAAACACATAAACAAAGTGCTAATTACCAAAATTCTCCACAACAGAATCGCCGCAAACGTCGCGTGGGTCTGGAAAATAAACAGAGACAAGGCAAATGGCAAATACGCCCAATTCCAAGCCAAAGGCGACGACCGAGACCCCGAGTTTAAAATGGTCATGTAAAAAAAAACATTTCATTTTGCCCATGAAAACACAGGCATGCCATGTTACTTTCGATAACACATTTGATTTCTTGATTCTTCTGCTTATATGAAAAGATGGTCTGCTTGACTTGGAATCTGTAAATAAAGCAGCAAGATGTATGTAGTGAGCTGGCTCCTGTTTTTATCATCACAGATCCAATGATGGAAATAAACACATACACACACATGATTGCATATCCTTTGATGATGCAACATAATACTTCCACCATCTAACTGACAAAACCCCCAAGAAAAGAACACTTGCCTTCTATAACCAACCCCCCCCCCCCTGTCCATGCTTAATTAGGCCCGCAGACTCCCCAACTCCCACCGTCGTCCATGACAAACGGGTATTTCGCGTTGAATTCATACATACAAAGGCCTCTCTTTGCTCTATACAGTCATGCTAAGAAAAAAAAGACCACGGCTATTACAGCTCATCATGCGCATCCGGCTCAGGCATCTTGATGGGCTCCTGTGGCCGTCCAAACTCGGCATCCATGCTGACGCCATTCTTCTTCCTGTACTTCTCCCACACGCTCCAAAAGTCCTTCTCCATGCCCTTCTCCATCTGGTCGGGTAGTACTACAACATACTCGACGTGTAGGTCGCCAAATTGCAGACCCTCGTTGTTGTCTAGCTGCTGGTGCCAGATGGGCATGCCCTCCTCCTTTACAATCTCAACGAGACCAGGCTGTACCACTTCGCCGCGCTTGCGCGAGAGCTGCACAATGTGGCCGTCAAGATGTGTAATGTTGCGTGTCCAGTCACCCATCCATGCCTCCCGAAGCGATAGAACCTCGCGCCAGAAGAGGTGTTGACCTCGTCTTCTGAAAAACGTACCATCTGTGCGCTCGTGCTCTTGTTGGCCCATGGCAGGTTCGGATTCGGCCAGGTGAACAATAAGATCGCCAGCAACATAGTCGGGGCTCTCATCCGCTTCGTTCTCGTACGTAACGCGCACCCCATTGGGCATGCCCTTTTCAATCTCGAGCTTGTGCGTCTCTGCTTCGCGGATCACTCGGTTGCCATTGCACACTGGACATGGGCTCTTGATCGTCTTTCCTTTGCCGTGGCATTGGTCGCAGTGTACCTGAACCTGTTGGAACAGTCCTGGTGCGAGTTGCTGCCGTTGTATGCGGATACCCCGTCCACCACATGCGCCGCAAGTCTCCACATGACCATCCTCGGAACCCGAGCCCTCACAGGCGGAACAAATGGCTTGCTTCTCAATTGTGAATTCCGTCTTTCGGCCATTGTAAAAGTCACGCAGGGGAACAGCCACCCTGACTTCCATGTTCGGTCCCCGTCGCTCCCCACCCTGGTGTCCAAAGTGTCCAGAGCCGCCGAAGAAGCGCGAGAAGAGGTCAAAGGGATCGTGCTGTTGCCGAGGGCCGCCACCTTGCTTGTGCTGCTGAATGCCTTCATGACCGTATTGATCATAAATCTTGCGCGTCTCTTTCTCAATGAGGACCTCGTATGCTTCAGCAATCTCAACGAATTTCTGGTTCGCCGTGTCGTCGCCACTGCACTGGGTTAGCAAGACACCAACAGACCAGCGGAACACTCGACATACGGGTTCTTGTCGGGGTGGAACTTTTTGCTGAGAGTTCGGTACGCTTTCTTGATTTCGCGCTCAGAGGCATCCTTCTTCAGGCCCAGCAGCTACATGAAACAGTTAGCCTGCGCACTTGAAGTTGCGACGGAAGCAGGCAAGTAAATGTAAATGCGACCTCGACATACCTTGTAGTAATCCTCTGCACCAACAACCAGTAGTGCCAGACAGGCGACTACAACAAACAGCGCTATCCGCAGGAGCATCGTGTATCGACAATTGCGCCGGCGGCGACTTGAACTTGGACAAGTGAGCGGACGGAATGTGTGTATCCGATATAAATTCAAGGCCAAATGTCTACATGAAGTTGGTGAACACGTGGCGAGGTCAAGCGACCTCGGAAAACAAGGGAGCGGAGGGGGTAGTGGAAAGTGGAAATGAGGGAGATTGCGAGTGAAGGGTAAAGTAGTAGTAGCTTCGGGACACGATAGCAGTAACGTAGATAATGCGACCAATCGGAGTTAAGCCTTGGCATTACCGACTCTACTTTTCATGCGCGGTGCGCCCGCCGCGAGCATGGTTCAAATCAAGGCCGGCAGCTGTTCCTCCGCGTCACCAGCACGCGGCCAGATACCCCGAATCGACGCATTGAGTTGCTGTCTCGACCTTGCCCGACTAAAAACCCACACACAAAGGCGCCTGCAGCGCTAGCGAAACCTCCGCAGGACCTCCGCATCGACCGCACACGACCCAGAACACCACGACCGCATAGCCGCCCGTCATGGCGTCAATAGCAACCAAAGCCAAGGCCAGCAGGCCAATTGTCCAAGACTACTTTTCCAGCCACAAGGTCGGCGTTGTAGTCTCGGCGGGGAAGATGTCCAAAGCGGTGCGAGTGCGCGTCGCACACCAGGAATGGAATAAGAAGTTTAGAAAAGTAAGAATTGCCAATTGCAATCGCAACATGCATTCCGATACTAACAAAACCTCAGCACTTCCCCGCTCCAAAGACCTACCTTGTTCGCGACCCCAACAACTCCCTTGTCGAAGGTGACATTGTGCGCATAACCTCCGGACACCGCACTTCCACAGCCATTCGCCATGTCGTAACCGCAATCGTCGCTCCTTTCGGAGAGCCTGTTGAAAACCGCCCTCCGGTACTCTCCCAAGCCCAATTAGACGAACAGCGTATCAAGGATCGGTTACTCAAGGATGTGAGGAGCGCTGAGCGGGGGAGACAAGCGAGTGTGCAGAGATTGGCACAAGCACGGAAGCAAGGAATTGAGATACCGACGCTACAAGAAGCCATGGAGCGCATGAGGGTGCACACAGAAAACGAAAAGGCGAGGCTGGAAGCGCATGGCGGACAAGCTGGACAGCAAAAAACGGCAAACGAGAGGAGAGTTGAGGCGGGGAAAAAGACCAAGGAAGAAGTCAAGGCGGAAAGCAAAGTGAAAAACGCAAGAAAACAGACTGCATAGAGGGCTGCAGCGATAAATATGTAAACTATTCCATGCCTTCAAAGCCGCACTCGAAAGGCTGTGTTTTGCGCAATGTTCAAGTCATCCAACTCGTAAAACGGCAAAGGTACTCGCATTCGATATGGCAACAAATATTACCAACAGCAACTCCAGACCCAACTCCAACCCAATGCCCCGGGTATCAATTCGTATCCATCCAGTCATGACTATTCAACATGGGCACATCAATACAGCACTCTAGGCAGCCATCTGGACAACCTTGAAGCCTTCCGACACCATCTTCTGAATCTCTTCGTCCTTGTGCTGCAGTTGAGCCAGGGCATATGCAATGTCATTCCACTGTCTCTCGTTCTCGGCCCTTGGTAGCCTCGAAGCAAGCTTAGCAGATAGCTGCTTGGCGTGTTTATCCTACACAATGTCAGTGTCGATGCAGCAAGATTGTGTGCGCAGTGGCAGAAACATACCTTTTCGATAAATCCAGCAAGAAACTTGATGATCCTCTTCAAGGCCTCCTCGCTAAGCCCAGTGTCTGCACTGAGTACACTAAACATGTCAATGAACTGGTTGTATACAGCATTGTCCTTTGTCGACAACTCGGTGAAGAACATGCGTGCCATGTCTGCGATCTTCTTGTCGCTATCTTCGAGACACTTGGCCATCTCGCCCAGCTGGCCCTTGACCTTGACCTGACCGGCTAGGATCAAGAAGGTGAGTGTCATCAGACAGGTTCGCTTGACGCTGGGGTCACCGTCGTTCAAACGACGGTAGAGGAAGTCGGTGTTTTCATCAATGAGATGGTTGAAGCATACCGCCATGTCACCGAGTGCTACGACAAGGTTGCTTCGGACGACGGCATCTTGGCTTCTCTCGAGGATAGTGAGTAGCAGGCCAAGGTTGGTCTCACAGTACTCCGAGCTCACACACATGAGCTTCGCCAAGCAAAGTGCTGCTTGGGCTTGTAGTGTCGGGTGGTTGTACGACGTGTTGTTGGCGCAAATGTCTGTCACCATTGGACCAAAGTTTGCCAAAAGAGACTGTGGACCGTACAAAAGCTCGCGTTCGCGGACGTGCGCAATGGCTTCAGTGAAGTCATCTTCCGTAGTACCTGCCATAAGATCCAGCTCATCAGCTTCCTCTGGCGCAGGCGTAGGCGTAGGCTCCTTGGCAGTGCCCCGTTTGCGGCCTTTCTTCATAGGTGTAGGATCGGCCGCCGATGTCGTAGACTTGCGAGGACCAGGCGCGGCCTTCTTATCCTTCTCAGCCTTGCGACGCTTGAATTCAAGCTCACAGAGCTCAAGATGGACAATTTGCTTGATTGCGACGTGACCAACGACAAACAGTAGTTGCGATAGAGCAAGGGCTGAGTTCTGCTTCTTTGGTTGTGGCTCCTCGACTGCCGGTGCGTCTGTCATTTCTACGTCTTCCCCTGCCGGCGCAGCAGCGCTTGAACTTGATGTCGGGCGCGATTCGGTTTTGGGTTGCGGAGCAAAGACACGCTTGGTGATCTTACGAATGATCTCTGAGCACAGGACGTCGGGGTGCTTTGACAAGACATAGATGGCACTGATAGCCTGTTCTGCTACCCCGTACCACTCTTTACTGTCTGAAGTCATTTCGGTGATGGCGGCCAGTCTAACCAGCACTGCGTGGTCATTGGGCAGTTTTACAGTCTGAGCTGGGGCGTCGCTAGCGGCCTGCTTTCCTGGTGGCTGGCTCATGCGACGGAGAGCGATGCAAGTGTATCGAGCCAGTCCCAAGTCTCGTCTACCAAGCTCTCCGAGACCAATTCGAAGGCAGGTTTCCATCTCTTGCACAACAATGTCAGGCGTGGAGAGTGCCAGCATACCCAGAACAATGATGGCTCCTCGACGCTGGTTCTTAGAGATGTCTTTCTTCTGGTAGCCATAGATCTGCCAAAGCTTCTGGATGACCAATCCGTTAACAAGGCCCTGCTTCATCATAGTACTGAGAAGCTGCTCAAGAGAAGTCAGCTCCGCCGGTGTTGTGCCAAAAGTCAAACTAATCATGTTCTTGGAGATGTAGTTCGCAACCGCGTTCTCGTCAAATCCGGGTGGTGCATCAAAAAACAAGCCCTTGTAGCACTCAAGAAGATGGGTTTGCACACCCTTGCCCTCGTCGCTGTTTCCTTTGGTCCAGATGAGGCGAAGCATTCTTCGAATGCCGAGCTTTGCGTTGGCAATCTTGTATGCATCGATCGTCGTGAAGAAGTCCATGGCCTCGATGACTTCGCTCTTGTTCTTAGATGACAGTAGCTGAGCCACGACCTCGGCGGCATCGTTGATGACTTCGATGAACTTGAGCGCTTCCAGCAGGAACTTGCGCACTGCCTGGAATTTCTCGAGCTCCTGTGCCGTCGCAGCATCTTTTTGAGCTTTTTCGACTGCAGCAGCCTTCTCTTCCTCACTCATCTCAGAGGGATGTTTCGGCCCCTCATCATCCCCATTGTCAGCCTGTGTTGCGTCCTGTAGCAAGGTCTCGTCGACAGCCTGCTCGCTTGGCGGTCGTTCTCTCAATTCTTCTGGGGGTTGCAAGGCATTTATCTGGGCCTCGCATTCGTGCAACCGCTGAGTCCAGTCCTTGGTCGATAGCAATCCGCCATCGAACGCTGTAAATGGGTGTGTCGAAATCAGTTTGGCGAGCAGCTTAATTGCATTCCGGCGAACATTGCTACTCTTGTCTTCAAGACTGCGTGCAGCCAGCTCAGCCACCTTTTGCCTGCGCTTGGGGTACTTTTGCTCGAGATCGCAAAGCTTGACGTAAACCTGCATTACTCGAGCACGGCAATAGGGGTTGATGTCAAGGAAGCGATCCTCAAGCACATCAAAGAAAATGCGAATCTGGGCCTTGTGGTTTTCGCTGCGGTCATCTTGGCTCAGCTTGCTAAGCATGGTGATCAGGTTTCCGCATACTTCGATTAGGGCGCAACGCAGGGTGTATGACTCGCTGTCTAGCAGGTTTGCGAGTAGTGTCATTTGCCTGATGACGAGATGTGGCGTGAGTTCGGAAATTTTGGTGAGAAAGGTCGAGATGGACTTTGGACCCTTTAGATCGGTGGAACTGAACTCCTTGCTGCTGATGTCTTTCAAAACATCTTCAGTGAGCTGTGGGTAATCGAATGCGTCGGCAAGTGTAAAGAGAAATTCAGCCATGGGCTCTGATAAATGTTCAAAGTACGTCAAGCTCTGGTTGATGGACGTCTGAGCGGCTATTGCAGTTGTTAGCAGAAGCTACCCAACAAGTTTCAGGGTACCTACTGTATGCATGTCCATGCGATTTTACAGCAAAGCAAAGGACCCTGAAACAGTGGTTTCGTATGGCGTTGTTCTTGACTCTTGCCTCATTCTCGAGTATGTGGTATACGGGCTTTGTGAACAAGCCGATGAAAGTATCTCGCTCTGATGTGGTGACAAATATACGGCCCAACTTAAGTCTCAGCACCTTGCTCATCCGGTCAAGGGCTGTCTCTAATTGAGCGGTGGCATCCCAAGTGCTCTCTTTGCCTCCGCCAGCTTTTGTCTTTGTGGCCTTACCCCGCCCCCTAGCTGCTGGTGCGGAGGCCGACTTCTCAAGTGCCCTTGTCTCAACAGCGGAGATGGTCCACCGGAGAAGAAAGCCGTACATCTCCAGGAGGTTTTTGTGGTGGGGTATCGCATCCTGCTCTTCAGCCTCGAGGTCTGCATGGATGATATCGGCTTGCGTGGATAGTGCTGAGGATATGAGGTCGAGGATCTTGCTGAGAATGGCGGGTGGGATTTGCGACGAGTGCCTAGATAAGTGCAACAATTTACAATTAGGTTCCGTGTCATATGCTTTTGCGTGCTTTGGATATGCGGGAACGCACTTCAGCAGAAACTGCAGAGTATCAAAAACAGAGCTGCGAGTAATCGCATCTGGGCTCTCAGCCACGGCGTCAACCACAGGATTCAGCTCGCTGTTGATCAATCCGGGCGATGAGAGCGATTCTGGCTCATCTTCGCAGTCTTGTAGCGCTTGCGGGGCCTCGGGCGTGGGAATCGTCGAAGGGTCGCTGTCGAACAGCTTGACCGCCTCATTGATATCGAAATCCACGCGCGCATCCATGGTGGCCAGAGCCGCTTGCGGGAATCGAGAGTGAAAGCGAAAAAAAGGTTGCGACGAAACGAGCGTCGGAGGGGGTGGGGTTGTTTGCTCAAGTGAACGATGCGACCACCGTCTCGCCTGCCGCGTTGCGTGTGTTTATTGGCCCGTGCGCCTTGTCATCATTCTTCCCCTTCAGGCCTAGTGATTAAGGGTTCAACCGCGAGACGCGTCTTCCCTAATACTGCGCAAAAGACTCGCGCGCCATCCTGCACACCGCTGTAAAAGTCCACATACACAACATGGCAAAAGCACGCACTTTGCTGCGAAATGGAGAGGGCATCGATGTCCACGAGGACCCCATCAAGGCAGAGGATGCTGAAGAGACCATGGATGAAAGTATGGATCCGCTCGACGAAAGCGGGCAAACAGTCGATACCAGCGATGAGGAAGTCGAGGACGCTGTCCAAGAAGACATGGCACGCTTTGAAGAGACCTTTGTCGGCATCAGCAAGCGCTTTCGGCTGATCAACCGCATCGGAGAGGGTATGTCTTATGTCATTGGCTTGCAATAATGCACGGTAGCGGGGTGCTCACATTTATTCGTAGGAACCTTCTCTACAGTGTATAAAGCCGAGGACTTGGAGTACCACAAATACAACAACAGCTGGGATGTCGACGAGCGTGAGAACAGCAAATGGATGTCCCCTTCGCGCAGGAAGCAATCTGGCCGCCGACCCCACTATGTGGCCATCAAGAAGATCTACGTCACAAGCAGCCCGATACGCGTCTTTAACGAACTTGAACTGTTGTATGACTTGAGAGATTCCGACTCTGTATGCCCACTCATAACCGCATTTCGACACTTGGACCAGGTCGTCGCCGTATTACCATACTTTCAGCATCGCGACTTCCGAGATTACTACCGCGACATGAAGGTTTCTGACATGCGCCCCTACTTTCGGAGCCTGTTTACCGCCCTTGCGGCGGTGCATCAGAAAGGAATCATACATCGCGATGTCAAACCTACCAACTTCCTCTACAATACTTCGCAGTCTCGCGGTGTCCTGGTTGACTTTGGTCTTGCTGAGCGTGAAGGCACAGACTGGCACAACTGTGCCTGCCATATGAATGAGGAGGACCGCCGCCACAGGATTTCGCACAGCGTTTATGCACAAACGCAATCAGCAGGCCACAATGCTGCCGCATATCCCAAGAACGACACACGCAACAGCAGACGCGCCAATCGAGCCGGCACGCGTGGCTTCCGTGCCCCTGAAGTGCTGCTGAAATGTACCCAGCAAACTTGCTCGATTGATATATGGAGTGTTGGAGTCATACTCTTGACCATGCTTTCGCGCCGCTTTCCCTTTTTCCACAGCGCAGACGACATTGATGCACTGCTCGAGATTACCACTATTTTTGGACGAAAGAAGATGCGAGAGACGGCACTACTACACGGGCAGGTCTTTGAGACCAACGTGCCCAGCTACAGCGAGGGCGGACACAGCCTGGAGAAGATTATCCTCTGGTGCACAGGTCGAACAGGCGATAAGACACAGCCCAAAAAGGAACTTGAAGAGGACGAAAAAGAGGCTGTTCAGTTCTTGCACCGTCTTCTAGAATGCAACCCAGCAAAGCGTATAACAGCTGCCGAGGCTCTGCAACATCCTTTCCTCGCCAATGCCCACGAAGAGAGCGAGGCGGAGCCCAACGAGTCGGCTGATGCTGTTGAGGGTTAAAATGAGCCAATGCACTGACATGTTCACGAGAGCACGAGTAACAAACATCACGGGCGGCGTACGATTGGGCATAAGCATAGTACAGGAGTTTTTTGTTTGGCCATTTATGGAAGCTGGCGGCGCGACGAATCATTGCGATACCCTCCTGTACTGCATAGCATCGAGTATGACGCATTATTCCAACTAATAGATATGAACTTGCACGCACTCAAAGATTCGCTTCGGTCGTTTTGTTCGGGTCGGAGATTTCAAGCCATGACATATCCACCGAGAGCAAGCAGCGACACAACCCACCCCATGAGTGACACGGGGGTTTTCGCAGTACTTCCTGCACCTAAACATGTATTAGCCAATACTCCACTTTACTGGACGAGATGTGCAATCGGCATACCCTCGGCATCAGGATCAGCAGTCCCAGTCCCAGTCTCACTCTGGTCCGATTCTCCCGTGGACGTTGGACCCGCCCCTGTAGTCGTAGGCTGGTCATTGTCCTCATCGCCATCGTCATTGTTGCCATTATTCTCATTGTCGTCTTTCGAATCAAACAGGCAAGGGAACTGTGCTCCAAACACATCGGCATCCGGATACAACTTGACTACACAATCGCGCCAGTCCTCGGCGCCAGAGGGGCTGACTTCGCAGTACCTATCACCCAGTTCCGTCAGCCAGTTTTTCTAGAAATTATAGACAGCATCTGGAAGTACGAACTGCAAAAAAAAAACAAAAAACAAAAAAACTTACTGCGTGCAGTTGTTCCACACGTGCACCTCGGCATCTTGCTTGCAGCACGACGACAAGTCCTGGATAAGCGTTTTGGAGTTGTATGCACAGTACGGGTGCGTGATGTTGTCGGGAGCAATGTCATATACGACTTGAGAACTGCAGACGCCCGGGGTGGCGCTGGGAATGGGGCTCACGGTGCTGGAAGCCATTGTGGTCTGAGCGATGAAGAAGAGTCAGAAAGGGGGGGGGTCGCAGTGAGCAAAGCGAGGTTGTGCCTCCTAACATATGAATGACGGACCTAATTATCTTGGAACGGGTAAATAGAGTCCAGTAAGTAAGGATGTGGTTAGAAAAGAAAAAGAAAAAAAGCGGGTAGCAATGGTCTGATGATGTTGGCTTCCGAAAGAGCTGGGAATGAACAGATGCATTTTTTCTTCTTCTTCTTCTTCTCTCTCTTGGTCCCCCCCCCCCCAGAATACCAAATGTATTTCTCTTTGGATGCGATTCACTGGACATACAAACTGCCACCGACGTCACAAAGTTACATCCGATTAGCCGTCTTCTTGGTTACTGTTTCACCCGCGCGCCTCCGTCTCTCTTTGTTCCACATACAATAGGTGTAATATCAGGCGGGGGGAAACGTTCTCGGCAACACGTATTCGTCCAGCAGCAGCCATGGACGTTTGCATGTTTCAGTGCAGGCCAAGAAGGCTTCGGATAGCGGCAAGGCATGGCGTGCATCAGGCACCATGACAATAGCCAAGCGATGCACGTGGTGTGGAGAAGGTTCCTGGTCGGTAGTGGTAGGTGTAGTTCGTGCATGGGAGTGCGAGAACAAGGATGCTGGGCGATGCGGGCGACCCGAGGACGGCAATCGGCACTGCAGAGGCGACGCTAACAACGGACTGCGGGGGGAAATGGGGATCCTTCCGCTGCTGGCAGCACCACTATCTCGAGGATTAGGAATAGTGCTAGCCTACTGTTGTTGGAGGGGGGCCTGTTTGGGTTCTGCGGGTAGGTGGTGGTGGTAGAGCGACTATGCGTGCCTCGTTTAGGCCTGTACCTGTACCTCGCGTGTGCATGTGCGATCGTGATGATGACGTAGTGTTTTCCATCGAGTGTGTTTGCCATGCCTATGCTCGTGGTAGCTACACGTGGGTATTTAGCGAATCTTTCTCTGATTCCATATTTTTCACTGCGCTGTTCGGGAGACTCTGAATGAGCCTGCCACTGATCAATGGAACATGGACTTGCTTGAACATCTCGGCGCCGGCGTCACGAACCGCCTGTTGCCTCGCCATCAACTTACGATCGCGATGCACCAAATCTCGATCGCAGCATTGCAAAAGGCCGTGCGGAATAACCTCCAGCGCATCAGCCATGTGCATACCCACAGCCAAGGCTCGTCAGCCTCCTTCCATGTAGGCGTAGACGGGTGTGCATTTCAAGCATCGCTGGGCGCCTTACCATCGCAGTGGAGACGCCAGTTACCGTCAGCCTGGACGCCTTACTTTTGCCTCTGAAGCTTAGAGATGGGGAAGGACCAAGGATTCAGATGCGCCAATTGTGTCATGTGTGTGATTGCATGTGGAGTGGCATGACCCATGTTGACTGTAAAAAAATCCCATACTGGTGGTAGCGCGCAGAGATGTATTCCTGTGCTACACTAAACAAGGAAAGGGGGGGCTCTGCTTAACTTCTCCCGCTTTGGGGATTCTTTTACCGATCTGGGGGTGTATGGGTGAGTATGTCGGTAAAAGAGACTGTGGAGTCGATGGCTGTGGCTGCTTGAGCTTCTGCACTGTGTTAGCAGTGTGGCCTCTGTGATGACAAGAGACAGTGAATGGCAATTTTGGTGCCAAAGATGCGATAAAAAACCATTTCGATATCAAGAGGCTGTGAGACATATTGGGATTCAAGTAAACATGCTGTAAACCCGTCGTATCGTCCAGTGAAGGCGAGTAACAGCACCCACCAAACAGCAGACTCTAGCGAGCGAAACATTACACAACCTCTTCTCCACCAAGAGGCGGAGTTCGGCACGAGTCACGCATCCTGATACTTCTCTTGAGATTCCTACTTACTCAAAAGGAAATTGTTAGATATTGGTCGTGGCACGCCTCTCAGGCCGTCAACGCCTTCAGATCACAACGTCGGCCGCGCACGTCGACAATCCACCTAGATCATAGGCTGCAAGCACACAAAGGGAGGTAGATGGCGTCTCAATCCAATGGTCTGAGTGGATCCGCTGGTGTATGAGGTGCACTTCGTATTTCCCATCCTCCATTCCTTCACCGACTGCAGTACTCGGGGCCAAGAATCAACAGACAGGGAAGATTTGACGCCGCTGAGGCAACCACACTGTGGCCGGTGGTCAATAGACAACGACCTAGCGTTCAGTCAAGGAAGAAGGATCTGAGACACTTGGCCGGTTGAGAGTTATAAAGTGGTCAGAGGAAGCCAGAGGAAAAGGACCAGCAAGTCACAGCAACTCATCAGCTCTTCAACCCAATAGCCTGCATACCTCCCGAACATCGATCTGTGAAAAACATCGAAACCTCAAAGATGCGTTTTACAGAGTCCTACAGTTTCGCTTCTCAGCGGCCTGGCCGCAGCGTCTCCGGCACCCCTCGCAGTGCAGCGAGACACTGCCTCGGGCAGGATCGATGCGTGCAACAAGAACACTTGTAGCCAGGTAAGTGACACTGAAAGCATTCCATGTGGGTAGTGTTTCTGACACCAATCCAGGAGGCTGGAGAATGCCCAGCATACGGCGGCAAGGCTGTCGGATACCCCGAATGCGTCGTCTACCCAAGCGACCAGCTGGGCACCGACAGAGGATACCCTCGAACACCCTCGGGCCAAGTGCAGGCTTGGTTTGACTTTCCGCAGCCAGATGCTGGGTGCCGGTACATTTTGCGTAGCCCGGCTGGTGTGACTACGTATGAGAACTGCGGAATCCCCAAACTCACAGTTACGTCTGCTGTGTGCCAGCTTGCTACTCTCGAGTCGACATTCATGCTGCAGTTTTGCTGCGGACAGGTACGTGATGTGTCGAGATGGAATATCTTGGTAGAACTGCGTTGCTGACTGGGCAATAGGGCGACTGCAACGCCGCCACTGGCATCGGCAAGCGGCAAGACGGAAGCTCTGTGACGCCGTTTGTCTTGAACGACAAAGATGGCAAGCCAATCGCTGGAATCATGGGCAAGTCGGGCGACGAAATGAGCATCATGTCGCTGAACGTGACGACACCCCAGCAAGCGCGTAGCGTGGCCGCCATGCCCGAGGTACGCAGTCTGCACGAAGTACACTCGCTAGCCAAGCGCGACTGCAACTTTGTCAAGACCGAAGGGCCCTACACGAAGCTCGCTGACAAGAGCGAGTATGTCGCGGGGCCCTTTAGCTGTCCTCAGGGCGGCACCTGCGAGCAGACGGTGGAGAAGTCGTATTCGATCAGCCGCAGCATCAGTGCCAGCGTCAGTGTCAGCGACCCCTTTGGCATCATCTCGGCCTCGCTGTCCGTCGACTTTGAAAAGAGCTACAGCTACTCCATTAGCAAGAGCTTCTCGTTTCCAGAAAGCTCCACGGGATACGTGTCCAGCACACCTGTGCTCGAGTGCTACCGCGGCTACTTTGACGGCTGCGACTCGGATAACGGAAATGTCTTTGAGGCTTGCCAGCGCAATCCCGGCAACCCCAAGGCTGTCGACACGGCTGTCATTACGAGGAGCAAGAAGAGGAGCGCCGAGGTAGAGGAGATTGTGTTGTAGATGTAAGTCGGTCTGCACGACAAGGGAGAAGCGGGTGATTTCGGGATGAATAGCGTTTTGGTTGGTTGGGCTCCAAAACCGACGGCTTTCTCCACCTTGGCAGAGGAGCTTGATTGAACAGCAATGGCAACGTCCTCTTTCTTTTTTGAGATTACGTAGATGTTAGTCATACATACACGCTCGTTTATTTTGAAGTTTTGTCTTATCTTCCCAGTCGACTTGGTGCTATCAAACATTATTACTGCATCTCACCAGACTTGAGAGTGATCCTGGCTGCTTACGATCAGCACACCATCGACCCACTTTCAAACCTCTCTTCAAGCACCCATCCGAGGTTGTAAGACGGATAAGCGGTGTTCCGAACGCAAATCACCAAGGGTCTCTGATGGAATAGAGATTACTCTGCTAAACAAAGCATAGTTGTTGAATATAATATACAGCGCTTCTTCCCAGCATGGTCCACAATTCTCTCAATACACTCTTCGGTCTTGAGTCCTCCTGTGAAACGATCTATTTGCGAAGCTATTCTCTGGTCCTGGAATGGATCAACCCACACGACTTATTCATCCTGAGCCCACTTCTGCGTCATTGAACGAATCTTGGAACCAAACATGTATACAAAGACGCCCAGACCCATCAAGGCCCCCACGATTCCAGCGCAGATGTTGAATGCACCCTCATACCCCGCGCTGTTCACAAAGCTGATCGAACCAAAGGAGATTCCGAAGCCAATGAAACCTCTCAAAGAGCAGATGAGAACGAGCGCAGCATCGATGCGCTGAGGATAGGCATCCATGCAGTACACAAAGCTGGATACCACGATACCGACAAAGCCAAAGTACTCGGTATTGAGCGTAACGGCGATACCTGCCCAGGTCCAATCGTTGGGATTCTGGGCCGTTCTCCCGTAAATGATTGTCGAGATGAGAATGGAGATGAGTGGAATAATCAGCGCGAGGAAGCGGTACTCGGGCTGACTGACGCCATCGTTCCTCTTACTCAATACCTTGACGATCAAATCACTCAAGTATCCACAGAAGAAGGGTACCGCGACTGCAGTGGCGACCTGTCCGGCGAAGACGTAGCCAAGCATGTTGAAGTTCCAGAGGAATGGTGGCTTGACCAGCACTTCGGCGAATAATGCCGACATGAGCACATATATGCCGAGCGCGGCAGAGTTGATCAAGACGAGCCAGATAATGTTGGGAAACCAGATGATTTGAAACATCTGTTTCCAGCAGTCGATGGCCTCTGACCAGTGCGCACGGCCATTCCATGGCAACATGCCCCGGATGAAGCTGCGCGGTGCATAGTTGATGGTGTCGAGCTCGCGCTTGGTATTGGTTGTTACCGGAACGAGCGTCCCGTCTTCATCGATACCTTCACCATCTACGCAAAGTTAACACATGTGCAATAGTAAGCAGGGCGCTAGCTTACTCAGTGCTTCCAGCGTGCGCTCGTACTTTGTCTCGACGACAAAGATGATACTGAGAACAGCAATGGTTCCGCTCAAGCAGCCAAAGACGCCATACCACCACCTCCAGCCGAGATCGCTGGCGAGGTACGAGCTGGACACGATAAGGGCTGCAGTACCAAGAGTCTGGAGTGCGCAGAACCAAGCAATGACGTTTCCCCTTTCGTGCAGGTAGAAAATCTCCTGGACGATGATGGGACAAAGAGCTTCGGCTTGACCTGCAGCAATGGACATGACGTCTCTTCCGGCAATGTGCGATTCCAAGCTGCCACTAGCGGCGCACCAGAGGCAGCCAAAGGACAGGACAATGGTCGACAGGAGGTATACCGGCCTGCGCCCCACGGCGTGGGCAACGGGAATGGCGAGGAGGTTGCCAACGCCCATGTAGAAGGCAGGCCATGTTGCGAGGTCGCTGGTCTTTGGATTCCCGCCATACGAGGCTTGCACGATGGGCAGGATGGCAGTGATGCCGCTGGCCATGAGATTGCCCGTGGCTGCGTACAGGCCGACTATGATGAGGATGATGTACTTTTGCCACGTCGGCAGATTGAGAGGGTCTTGCAAACGTCAGCTTTGCTTGGACACGACCAGTCTCGCCGCGTGACTGTAGCCTACCGTTGGGGTCCCTGGTCGGCGTGGGAATCAGGACGATGCCATCTTCGTCGAAAAGCCTAATGGTGCCCACGACGGGCTTGGCCGCCTTCTTGTGCGCGTCGACAATCTCGACATGGGCGCTCGCCTCGGGCTTGAAGTCACTGGTCGCCATGGTGGACGGGTGGTGGTGATGCTGGCTCGCTGGGCGGCATGGCGCGCAATTTGTATTGCCGGCAAGGCCTCGGTGTACGGGGCAGACGTCGCCTTGGGCGCTCTGGGCATGGCTTCTTGAGAAGGGAATGAGTATCACTTCGCAGAATCTCCCCCGAGCTGGGCCGCCCAGCCCAATAAGTCTGCGAACGGATTGTGGAGGGCGCGGGCTAGCGTGTGGGGAACCATCTGGCCTGGGCATCGTGCGGCATGGGGGAGATTGTGCGGGGTATTATTGTTGTTCCAGTTCCAGTTCCAGTTCCCGTTCCAGTCCCGCCCGAGCGTTTTCAGCCTCATCGCTCCTCGGCAAATAATCCATCAACACCCACCCACCTGGCACCCGTCCACGCAACCCCCCCCGCCCCCCATCCCATGAGCGAACTCGGCATCAAGACGTCGCAACGCGTGTCCCGCTCATGCATCGAGTGCGGGCGCCGCAAGATCAAGTGCGACAAGAAGAGCCCCTGCCAGCCATGCATCCGCCGCAACGCGGCCCACGAGTGCAAACGCCCCATTGCACGAGTCAGGGGGCAGCTGACCGTCTACACGGCCGACGACACGGCCAGTCCAGCAGACATCGAACTCCAGGACTTGCTGCGTGAGCGGGGCGCCTTGCGCGCGCAGATTGCTGAGCTCGAAACCGCGCTGGCCTTGTCCAAGCCATGCGCTCACAGCCGGACCAGTGAGTCGACCGACTACACGCAGCCCGCAGCATCCCTCGAGGACCTGGTCCCTGCCTTTGAGCAGTTCGACATTGGCATCAAGATGGGCACGGCTGCGCGCCTGGGCGCCGAGAAGGCAATCCTCGATGGTCTGTACGAACCTGCTGCGGATCCACTGTTCCTGCTGCTCCCCAGCCAGGATGCCAGCCTTGGTCTCGTCACCTTCTCCCTCCAGAAGCTGGGATGGCTGCATTGCGCCATCAACGCCGACGTGTTCGTCAAGGAGCACGAAGACTTCTGGCACAACGCGCAGCTCGGCGCCAGCATCACGCGCGAGCAGCGACCATGGATTTCCGTCTACTTTTCCGTCCTGGCTGTTGGCATTCTCTACTCGGACCCCGACGACATACCAACCGCCGACCACCTCCCGCAACTCGGTGTGACTCTTGCTGACCCCGTCGCTGTTGCCGTCCACACGTCTCATCTCTGGTATGAAGCTGCTCTCAAAGAGCTCGAGAGGCATGGCTTCACCGCCGCGCCGTCGCTTCACGTTGTACAGGCGCTCTCCGTGTTGTCTCTTTGCCATTCCAACTTTGGCGAACATCAACGGGAATGGCTCATCACTGGATTCGGCACAAACATGGCGAGATTCCTCGACATGCACAAACTCGGCAATGAAGCGAATTGCTCAAAGGCGATTTGCCAAAGATCAGAGTGGTCTTCGCCCGTGCAGCGGGAAATGGGTCGCCGGTTGTGGTGGGCCTGTGTTATCAGGGACTGGTAAACTGCTTCTCTCCTAGGCTGCTGAATTGTCGTTTTACTAACTGGCCACCTCCAGGCTTGGAAGCTGGTCTCGCCCGCCATCCATCTCCCCAGCAAGCTTCTGCTGCCAAGCTTCTACTGCAAGCAAGCATGGTGACTACGTCCTGATTAGCAGCTATTCAATGAGTAGCCCCGGTTCTTCTGACTCAGCAAACCTGGAGCCCCCCTCCCCTGCACATTACCACTCAATCATGTGTCGTCTTGCTTACATAGTGTACCTGTACATCAAAGCAAACACCCATCAGACACACTTGAAGTTTTCAAAGGCGATCGAGGAGATACAGGCTGTGCAGCGAGATTTGCCTTTGCACCTATCACCCAGCTTTCCCGCTACCGAGGACGATCGGATATGGGAGTCGGAACACCCTTGGATCCCATTTCAGCGCTACCTGATTACTTACGTCTTCGATTTCTTGTTGTTGACAATCGCCCGGGTGCTGATTCCGAGAAACCCCGAAGATGATGCTGCAATTTCCAGACAACTCGCTCTTCAATGCGCGAACCGCATCTTGAATCACTATGCGACACCTGTGCCAAGAATATATAGGCTAGTATGGGCTGTGTCAGCCGCAACAGTCGCAGCCTCTGTGTATATATCGCTCGACATGCTTGCTAATTCTCACGAGTATCGTGGTGAATCCAGACTTCGCGTGATTGCGCTGCTAAGACAGGCTTCTGTAGAGTTGAGAAAGCACGCGGTTGTTGCAGCTCATGCGGCAAAGGGCTCTGCTGTGCTTCAGGGCTTACTGCCCTTGTTGGAGCAGCACGATTTTGACCGCCCTCGTATGTCGTACTCGATGCAGGATTTATTACAGCAGCTCGCAGCAGCTGACATGGGGGTGCCATCCGACGCGTCCATAATCACCGATCCTGGGCTCGACGGCCTGGCTCACATTGGGGACATCAGAAATCTCAACATGCTGACTGAACTGGGAAATACTCTTGAGGGGACTTATGGAATGGGCGACTGGGATGAAGTATTCTCACAACTATGAAAACAACTATGAAGGCCGCTACAGTAATCCACCGCTATACCAAGGAAACAAGAACGCTGCGACTATTACTCTCTCTCTCAGTACGGCTTTACACCTGCCAGCTTGAGCAGCTTGTCGGTGAGTTCGGGCTTCTCCAACGGCTCTGTCCTCTCCCAGGGATCGATTTTGCCATCCACCATGGCTTTGCCCTGCGAATGGATGTTGATGTGTGGCCAGTGTGTTGTCGCCTCCCACTTCTCGAAGATTTCCTTTTTCTTTTCCAAGTCCTCCTTGGAAGCCATGGCTGCTGGTGTGTAGCAGGCATATATGATTGTGCGGATATTGTCGGTCTCGGGGTACACGGCGTAGTGCATCTGTCGCGAATCCCAGAGGATCAGATCGCCAGGCTCGGCGCAGACCTTGACCAGTTTGCAGCCGTGGTCTTCATACCACTTGACGTCGGAATCTTGGAAGGGGTAGAAGTCGTAGTGAAGGGCAGCCAATGGGCCCTTGGTTCGGTCCGGTGGGTGCTGCTTGAAGAACTTGTCAAAGAGCCTGGCACTGCCTTCCATTACCACCAGACCGCCGTCTTTGGGACCAGCTTCGGAGACTGAATTTGATTGTTAGCGAGTTTTGCAATGTTTGGCAGACAAGGTGCGGCTGCATACGGTTGATGATGCCTTGCACACAGGATAGACCTTGTCGCTCAGGCGCCTGATCTACGTGTGGCCATGGCTTGGAGCCGCCCATTGTGGCGGCATTTGGTAGAGTGAGGTTGATCGTGTCATATGAGACAATGAGTTCATTTGTGTTCCAGAGTTTCTCAAAGGCAGCCAGAACGCCAGGTTCTCTGCGCGATACAGCATCAGCCACTTGCCACTTTGTGAGATCGAGCGACTACGTGCTACTTACTGTCTAGCCTCCCAGACATACTTCTCATGTGCGGCACAGTAGTTGAGGTACATGCCGTTCTTGAAGCTCTGTGGCAGATTCTCCTTTGTCCATGTTTCTGGCTTGTTCACGTCAAAGTCGTTGGGGAATGTGCCCAGCCACTCGAGCATCTTGTTGCGGTAGTTTTGGGCGCGGTCTTTGGGAACAACGCCCTTGAGGACCACGTAGCCCTTCTCGTAGAAGTCATCTCTCCAGTCACCGTATTTCTGCTGGGTGGGTTCGGTCTCGTTCTCGTTGATGTAGGGTGCCATGGTGTAAGATTGATGGATGGTGGGGTGCTATTTGCAAGAATTCAACAATCAGTTGGCCACTGGGCGGCCAGGGATACTTGTCCATATATACTTTACAGCATCAGCTGATTGCAGGGCGGACTGCAGTCATGCTCGCCCGTTCACGGCCGCTGTGACAGGGGTCTAGAAGCGTCGGTGCTGCTTGACCCGAACTTGGCTGCATATCTCGGTCGAGTACGGGCGCGTATGCCGCGCCCATGCACTCCACACCTGCATCTCCACATACCGACCACCAGACGCCATCGTATAATGAATAGACTTCTGCCTCGGATACGCACATCGGAAAGCACCCTCGCGGCCGAGTACGGTCGGGGGACCTGAAGCACCGGGCCCACGCCTATCATGCGCCGTATCAAAACCGCCATGATTTCCGGCCTGAAACTGCTGCACGTCAAGCAGCTCTTCGCCACCTCTCCAAAACCAGCCATGCCTCTCGCTTTCCAAGTCGCTAACCTCGCCGTCAAGCCACCCAAAGTAGGCGAAAATGGGTACCAAGGCTTCAACCCACGCAAAGAGACGCTCCCCAAGGGATACCAGAGTCGAGAAGGCGCCCGCGCGCTCTCTGAGGATTTGATCGCAGAGCATGATGTCGCCGTCAAAGTCAGAGATGGATGCACCTTGTACTGTGACATCTACCGGCCCTGCAGCAGCGACAGCGGTGCCAAGGTGCCCGCCATTGTTGCATGGAGTCCTTTTGGCAAGAAGCACACTGGCATTGACATGATGTCAAAGGTCTGTCAAAGCTGTCTTTCTTCACTCTTATTCAAGATTAACATGCAACAGGTAAAATGGGGCTGCGGTGTGCCCAAGGGTTGTCTCAGCGGCCTGGAGCGTTTCGAGGGACCTGACCCCGCGGAATACTGCCCTAGGGGTTTCGCCATTGTCAACGTGGATGCGCGTGGTGCGGGCGACTCGGATGGAGATATCGTGATTATGGGAAAGCAGGAAGGCGAGGACGGCCATGATGTCATCGAGCAACTTGCAAAGATGGACTGGTAAGCATTGGTAGTTTCAAGGCGGCAATTTGCGCTAATAGTGGCCTAGGTGCAACGGTTCCGTTGGACTTGCTGGAAACTCACATCTCGGTATTGTTCAGTGGTTCATTGCTGCAACCCAGCCCCCGTCCCTGAAGGCCATTGCGCCCTGGGAAGCTTGCGGCGACCTCTACCGCGAACAGTTTGTGCGCGGCGGTGCGTGGGATAACGGGCTGTTTGACTTTATCACTGAACATGTGATTCGCGGCAAGAATGGCCTCGAGGACTTCAAGGAGATGTATCGACGCTCCTCGACCATGGACCCATACTGGGAAGATAAGCGGTAAGCGCATCTGATGGTTGGATGTGGGAAATTCTGACTAACTTTGTTTCAGGGCGGAAATTTCCAAGATCAACATCCCAACATACGTTGTTGCTTCTTATTCAAGCTTCGTAGGTGCATCCCAATTTGGAGATGTGGAACTGCAGCTAACTGGCACAGGTTCACACCATGGGCTCAATAAGGGGATGGATGCAAGTCAACACCAAGGACAAATGGCTCCGCTGGGATGCATACCAAGAATGGTATGACCTTTGGGCCGTGCAGGAATCCATCGATGAGCTCGCTTCCTTCTTCGACCGCTACCTGAAGAACGAGAACAACGACTGGGAGAAGACACCGCGTGTGCGCATGGCATCTCTCCAGTACGGCGACAAAGAAGCAATCCACCCCATTGTCGAAGAGGACTTCCCCATACCACGAACCGACTACCGCACACTATACTTTGGCAGCGACAACAGCCTGCAACCATCACCACCCGCACAAACCAGCTTCCTATCATACAACTCAGAAAGCAATACTTCACCAGTCGCACATGCAGCCTTCACCATGAAGTTCGACAAGCCGACACGTCTCATGGGACTCCCAAAAGCCGTCCTCTACATGTCGTGCCCCGACTTCAACGACATGATCGTCTACGTCTTAATCCGGAAGCTGGACGCCCAAGGCAAACCCATGGTTGCCATCAACATCCCCTGGTCCGCCGCACCCTACACCAAAGCCGCCGACATCCCCGAATCCGACTACAGCAACCTGATGATATACTACGGCCCAACGGGTATCCTGCGCGCCTCGCACCGCAAGACAGACCCATCCAAAGCACTGCACCCACAGTACCCCTTCCACACGCACGACGAGGTGCAAAAGATCCCCGCTGGCGACATTGTCAAGCTGGAAATCGGCCTCTGGGCCATGGGCGTCGACTTCGAGGCTGGCGAGGGCATCAGCGTCCAGGTGAGCGGCGAGTATCCGCTCGTACAGGAATTCGGGCCCCGCAAGAAGGTCGAGCTGGAGGAGAGGAATAAGGGCACACATCGTGTGCATTTTGGAGCCGACTATCCCAGTCATGTTGTGCTGCCTTTTGTGTAGAGCGTAGATGTATTTTGGTGGCAACTTCTTTTCATCATGCGCCATGGTTTTGGTATGCCATACTTATACCCGCTACATAGACCGGTATTTAAAAATTAGAATCTGTTACATTCAGATTCAAAATGATCGCTGCTGGACTCGAATTTAAACAGCGTCTTCTCAGATTGGGAAAGTCTGGTGAAATGCTCCTGCTGGTGTGTGTGTGTGAAGAGTGAAAGTGAAGACGCGTTTGCTATTGCCTCGTGGGCATCTCGCGCCTACCCACGGGCTAAGTCACGAAGAGAGCAAACGGAAACCTTCTTCTTCATCTCGCGACTTGGAATCTGCATCTCAGATGTCACTTGTGGCTTTCTAGCAAGCTCGCCTTGCTCTCTCTCCACTCTACTATCCACCCTCCCCCCCCTTCTTGTTCCCCAATTACCCAGCCTCCTCCCGTATACACCTACAAGATGAATCCAGTGCAGCTAATCAAGTTCGAGCAAAGCGAGCTGGAAGATGGCGATATCGACTCGTCGCCGCCTTCCCTGCCATCCGAGCAGCACCGCCATGAGTGTACTGTTCCAAGTGACGGAGCCAATGGGCATCGCGGTAAGTATTTCAATTTGGATGAAGGAAGGACTGCTGATGTTATCCTAGATGAACTGCAGCTCGCTCGCTACGAGTACGATGCGCTTGAGCAGCGTCACCAAAAGCTCGCTGCTAGACATGCAGAGCTCCAAAAGCTGTGTTCAGCATACATGGAGGTGATAGGTGGCTTCTCCTCTTACGAGGAGGAGTCAGCTAGTATTGAGCAGCTGCGTGTCGAGGCCGGCCGCGAGGGTCTGCGCGCAAAGGCACTCGAAGCCAATGTGCTCAAGCCCATCATCCGTGAGGCTGGCGGGCTGCAGGCGCTCGTGTCGCAAATGCAGTCGGTACGGTCGCTGATCGACCAGGTCGGCGGTCTTGCAGAGCTTGAGGAGCTGGTTTCGGAAATGCATCTGTTCCGGACCAGCTTGGGTGAGATTGGAGGCCTGCAGGGTCTGCATCACCTCATCGCTGAAGTCAAGAGGCTGCGAGAACAGCAGATTGCACGTGTTTCGATGAACATCAAGATGCGTGCGCCCGATGGACCGCTTGCAAAGGCGGCAAAGTACGACAAACTTGTTCAGGCTTTCGGCGACATCCACGCTGTGCGGGAGCCCAGTGCTTCGATTGAGACGACTATGATTAATCCTGCACGAGCGAGCCGCATGGTTTCGACGCCACTCGAAGACGACCCATATCGTGACTTGTACGAACCGCCTCCGATGGAAGAAGCACGCACCAAGACGGGCTCAAATAACATTCCTCTAGGGCCTACACGCGTGCGTGGACAACCAGCCAGTCAAGCTTGTGAGCAACCATCGCTGAGACGAGATGCGTCAGACGAGTGGCAGAACTCCCCGAACAAGCGTCCAAGAATTGATTCTGGGCCGCTGTCCATAGAAACGCCACAGCATGAGCGTCAAATGCAGGCACCAGAACGTGATTGGGCACAGTTCTACCCACAGCCATCGGTGAAAGTAGAAGACTTCTGCAATACAGAGGAGCAGCGCCTTCCTATGTATGGTCGACAGCCACACGCCATAACCGTCACTACCGAGTATACCCATCTATCCAAGTCTGTGCTGGTTGGTGACTATCCAATTGCTCTTTGGACGGGAGCTAGCGACCCAAGTGCCCCAGAGTTGCCTGGACAAATGAAGAAGGTCGACCATATTCCAAAGGGATTGGGCACGTTCCTGGCCACTGAGCTTTCCAAGTACATTACCAAGGCGGCCGTTCGCTTCTGGAATGAGATGCCACCCAACAAAGACACATGTGTGCTCCGTTATGTGCTCGATGGTCACAGACCTTCGGGCCAGCCTCAGGAGCGCAGGGCTTGCCGGGTCTGCTCAGCTGCATGGGCTGGGCGCCAGCGTCCATGCGCCCTACTCCTTGATGTAGAAGGCATTCGCACCCTGGTATTTCTGCCGCTCCATGATGGGCCTGGTAGGCACACAGACTGGCGCAAGAAGACATACTGGATGGACATTGAGTAGGTGGCGGACTTGGGTTGAGATTTTCGTTACGGCATACCATGAGACATACGACACAGCCTGTTATGAGCTTAGAGAATGTTGAGATGGTGTCGCAAAGTTTTGCTGCATACCTGCTCAGCAGCGGGTTTACGAATAAAGTTCTGCGTCATCTGGTCTCTTGATGCCATGTATGCCACCCATGTCGCCGTGCTCGGCGTGTTCTGGTCTCTTCAGGGCTGTTCCCTCCTTCAAGTAGAGGATCAATCGAAATGCTGCATTGCCGTTCAGGTAGTACCGATGCAGCCTCTTGCTTCTGATGAAGCCTAGTCTTTCATACAGCTTCAGACTTGCCGTGTTCGATACTTCCGTCTCCAAGACTATCTCATCGGCGTCGCGAGCCGTCATGGCGTCCACGGCCAACCGGACGAGTTGAGTAGCTATGCCGCGGCCCCGATATTCCTCCTGCGTTGCGAGCATTGCGACGTAACCGCGATAGGTTCCTGACCGGTGCGGTTCGAGTTTGCATATTATGACGCCGATCAAGGAATTGGTGGGGGAAAGCGCCTACAAACGGTCGTCAGCGAAAGGAAACAACAGGGTCGAATAGCTGGACGTAGAGGGCAAAGCTTTCGTACCATGTAGCAAAGATCGCCCCATTGATACAGGAAATAGCGGTACACATAGATGCTGTATGGCTCCGAGAGGTCCTTTGAGATGAGTTGGCGGATGGCGGGCAGGTATTGCTCTTCCTTTGCCGGCTCGTATTGTATGTACTGCAGGCCTGATTCCTTGAGGTCTTTGGTATCCATTGCCTTCGCCGCAGAATGAGCAGCGTCATTGTCGGCCATGGCGCTCGTTCAGAGGGACTGTTGAGGCCGTCGGCAAGTGGAGGTTGTTGCGATTGCGATAATGATAAGATTAAGACTGCGGAGAGACCCCCGGCTTGGCGAACGGCAGCAGCAACCCCTCGACACAAAGATGGCAGTGGTCTGTGCTTCGCCCTACTATTGCAACGCGATACAAAGCAAATATCAGATACAGCTGTTTTGAAACGTGTAATTCTTGACAGTGATTTCGATACTAGTCTGAGTATTCGCAATCTTAGAATACTGCTTCGATACTGGCGATTCGCTATTCGCTATGTCGCAATACAGCGTGGCGATATTGTGTCAGGCATAGCCCTACCATTCATTTCGTCGAGGGGGTGGCAGTGTCGTGTGTGTGTGTGTGTGTGTGTGTGTGAGGGATCTTCTTGGTGGACCGAAGTTATCGGGTAAGACGCACCAATCGCGGGCACTTTTATCCGACTATTTCGGTCCAGAAAGAGGGTCCTCATCCCAGCGTCGATCATTCCGTCACATGTCGGAATGTCGGCCTGGTGCTTTAAGAACTATAGCACAACCACCACAATCTTCCGGCGGACGAACCCGCATCCTTTGCTCCTCCTCGCAACGCCCTCACCTTGGGGCCCCGAAGAAAGATTTCCACATGTCTTTCCTTAGGCACCGCTTCGGCGGCGCCAAAGCAGAGGACGACTCGACGCCCGACCTCTCTCGCGAACCCTCCCCGGGACCTGACGGCAAGCGACCAGCCAACATACGTCTGATTACCGCCGAACAGCTGGCAACGCTGAAGCAAAACAGCAGACACAAGAAGAGGAGAAACTTTTGGGTCTTCAGTCTGGGCGGCATCTTCGGACTGCTGCTTGCAGGCTTTTTTGCGAGCAACAATGACATGATTGACCTGACGGGCCTGGGCGAGGTCAATCTGGAGAGCATCATGGACGCGCTACCGGACAACTTTGTGAAGAGCGTACAGCAGTTGCAGGTGCGTGATACTCTTGCCGTATACATGGCGGATCAGCGGGATATAATCAACAAAAGAGAGGAATGGAGGCTGACTTGGTCAACTCAGTAGAAAACCGAACGAGACGCTGTAAACTACGATTCCTTCGCCGTCGGCCTCCATGCGCAGAAGCAGGGCATTAAGGCCAAGCATCCCGTTATTATGATACCCGGTGTCATTTCCACGGGCCTCGAGTCCTGGGGCACAGAGGAGACTTCACGACAGTACTTCCGCAAGAGACTGTGGGGCTCATGGTCCATGATGCGCGCATTGGTGCTCGACAAGGCGCAATGGAAGCGACACATCATGCTGGACAAAGACACAGGTCTCGACCCTCCCGGCGTCAAGCTCCGCGCAGCACAAGGATTCGATGCGGCAGACTTCTTCATAACAGGGTACTGGATCTGGAACAAGATTCTCGAGAACCTCGCCACGATAGGATATGATCCCGGAAACGCCTTTACCGCAGCTTACGACTGGCGCATGTCGTACATGAACTACGAGATCCGCGATCAGTACTTTACCCGGCTCAAGTCGCACATTGAAGTCGCCGTCCGCGTATCCAACAAGAAGGTCGTCCTTCTCTCTCACTCCATGGGCTCACAGGTCCTATACTACTTCCTCCATTGGGTCGAGGCCAAGGGCTATGGCGGCGGCGGTCCAGGCTGGGTAGACGCCTACATTGACTCGTGGATCAACATCTCGGGCTGCATGCTTGGAGCGATTAAAGACGTGCCCGCCATACTCTCGGGCGAAATGAAAGACACAGCCCAACTCAACGCCTTTGCCGTCTACGGCCTCGAGCGGTTCCTCTCCCGCTACGAGCGCGCCGAGCTCTTCCGCGCCATGCCCGGCCTCTCCGCTATGCTCCCCCTCGGCGGCAACGCCGTCTGGGGCGACGAAACCGGAGCCCCCGACGACGCACCCGGCCAAAAAGACACCTACGGCAACTTCCTCCGCTTCCGCAACTCCAACTCGTCCTTCACACAGAAAAACATCACCGTCGACGCCAATCTCCCCTTTCTCTTCAAAAACACCGAGCCCTGGTACAAAAACATGGTCCAAACCTCGTATTCCCACGGCGTAGCACACACCACCAAGCAAGTCGAAGACAACCAACTTCTCCCCGCGAAATGGGTCAATCCCCTCGAAACCCGGCTCCCGCTCGCACCGAACCTCAAAATCTACTGCTTCTACGGCATCGGCAAAGATACCGAGCGCGCGTATTATTACCGCAGCGATGATGACCCCACCAGCGGCCTCAACGTTACCCTTGATACCATGTATACGGATGGTACGACCGTTGACCACGGCGTCGTCATGGGCGAGGGCGACGGCACAGTCAATCTACTCAGCAGCGGCTACATGTGTACCAAAGGCTGGAAGATCAAACGGTACAATCCCGCCGGCGTCAAAGTCACCACCTTTGAAATGAAACATGAGCCTGATCGCTTCAGTCCGAGAGGTGGTCCGAATACCGGTATGTTTCTGCTCTCTCTCTCTTTTTCTTTTCTTTCCTTTTTTTCTTCTTCTCTTCCACCAGTTTAACTAAATCATACAAAAAAACAGCCGACCACGTCGATATCCTCGGCCGCATGTCCCTCAACGACTTGATTCTCCAGGTTGCCGGCGGCAGGGGCGAGTTGATCCAGGATACCATTCATTCCAATATCCGCGAGTATGCCGAAAAGGTCAAGATTTATGAAGAGGAAGATGCGCGTGCGTAGGCAGCGTGTGTGTGCGATGTGCGATGTGTGATGTGTATGATGTGTGGGTAGGTGCGTGCGTGCGTGCGTGTATAGAACCAGGGGGGCGCGGCTTTCTCTTTCCCCCCCCTTGTGTCGTGATAGAAATACGACATAGAATCAGAGATGTGGGCTGCGTATGCGACTCGATGTATGCGTGGATGGATGGGTACATAGGTGGGTAGGTGGGAGGGAGGCTGACTTGAAGAGCATGATACCATAGACCAATAATTCACTTTGTACTTTTTTTTTAACCTTTCCTTTTAATGGATTGATTGTTCTCGGAACTGCTCGAGTTCAGTATACGCACTCTATCTTATTTCTATGGCGCTTAGTTCTTCTCTTCTAGACTCAGACCCTCAATAGCTTTCTCGCCGCCCTCAGTCCCCACATCAACAGTTGCCTTGTCTGCACCCTCGACATGTCCATCTGGCTTGGCTTCTACATTGCGCTTGGGATGGAAAGTGCCCTTATTCTTGACCTTCTTCTCCTTCTTGACGACCGGCGGTGGCGGGTATGCCTTTTGCTCAATCTCCTTCCACTGGGGGTTAGCCTGGAACTCCTTTTGGACGGGCTCGAGCAGGGTGATGAGGGCTTCTGTGACGGCGGGCTTGAGGTCCTGGGGGGTGAGGATGTCGCTGCGGTAGTCGTCGTGCATTTTTGAGATTTCCGTGTAGACGAGGGGCTCGGCGTCGCGGCGCTTGACGACGAATTTGGGCTCGCCGTAGATGAGGTGGCCGGCGGGGAGGAGCACGTATTCGACGAAGCTGAGGACGCCGTTTTCCTCGACCACCTTTGGCGCCGCGTGCGCCTTCTTAAGCTTGCGCTTGACCACGTCTGCGTCGTCGAGAACGTCAATCTTGGAGTCTGGGTCCGAGGCGCTCATCTTGCCGCCTTGCAGACCGGGAACCATGGGGTTCATCAGGTGGGCGCGCTCCTTGTAGCCAATCTTGGGCAGGACGTCCTTTGCGAGTGCGAAAATCTTGCGTTGGTCTACGCCGCCGAACTGGACGTCGACATCGAGGTACTGCTCGTCGAGGGCTTGCATAAGGGGGTAGATGAGTCCACTGAGCGGCGCGTTTTCTGTCTGCTTGACGACTTCGGCACCCGCCTTCTTCGCGGTAGCTTCGCTCGTTATACTCGCCAATCGCAGGAGATCCATTGCGTAGTCGGCATTTAATTCGTAGCTTGAGCCCAGAACAAACTCTAGCTTCTCAATGGGTACCTTGACGGCCTTGAGCAGCGTGGTAATGGTGAAGCGGTAGTATTCGGCGCGGTACTTGACAAGCTCAATGGGCGCCTTGAGGTTGTCGAGGAAGCCGTGAATGTCAGCGAGGAGAATCTTAACGTGGCAGCCTGCCGCCAGAAATTGCGCAAGCTTGAGGATAGGCACAAACTACATCGAGTCTGTCAGTACAGCGCACGCGACTCTACGAGAACAACTCAAAACCTACGTATCCGCAATGAGGCCTTCCTGTTGTGGCAGTTCCCCAGTAGACCTTCAAATGGCCTTGCTTCTTCATTGCCTCGTCCATAATCTCCGGGTTCAAGACCTCCGCCAAGTTGACCTTGATGAGCGCCATCTTTTCCTCCTCGGACATGTTGGCGCCAGGGCCTACGTACATGGCATCCTGTGCCTTTCGTAGCCTTTCTCTTGCGTCCTTGAGCTGTGCTTGCGCCTCTTCAATTCGCTTCTCAATTGCGGCAATCTCATCGAGGATGGCGACGGGGTCGGCCATTGTGTCGGCCGTGGCGGGGTATATATGGAGGGGAGGGAGGAGAGCGCAATTGGAGCGTGCCGTGCGAACGTCTAGAAAGAGAGAATAAAACAAAGATACAAGAAGAGAGAAACAGCGAGAAAACAAAGATTTATGAGTGTTTGCTAGGCTCAGCTGAAGGGGATGGCGCCTGCAAGTCTGACGCGCGAGCTGAGTTGAGTTGTTGCGGGGCTGAAGACCGAGTCACCAAAATAACATTTGGATATCCAGGGTCCACAAGTCCCTGCTGTGCCACACTGATGTGGCGCTACTAATGCGCTGCGCCTAACCACCTAGCCGTGCCAACCTCTTCCCCGCTCCAGCTTTGAGTATCTTGCATGAGGACTGCCACATGTGCGCACATTTACATTGGGCGTTTACGCCCGGTGCTTAATTTAGATTTGAACTGTTGGGCCCCGCACGCAATACGCCTAGGACGTATTTCTCTACCCGCAAGAAATGTAGCAGCAAGGAGGGACTAAGTAAGAGATATGATGACAGAGAAGGCTTTCAAGATGACTATGAGCTGAGAATTATAGAGTTGACAAGGCAAAGAGCCCGCCAAAAGGGTTTTTTGACATTATCTAACGAGTGTGTATAAACATCAAGTACAACAGTCTAATGTAAAAGCAATAATAAGATCAGTAACCATAACCAACGCCATCGCTATGAACATGCAAATCATAACCCTATCCTCTGGCCCTCTCAGCCTCATAGGAAATCTGGTAGGTAGCTTTACTGCGGCTTGCACTTGGCGAGGCAGTTGTCAATGTCCTGCGCCAAGTTGGCAGGGATATGCTTGCGGAACTCGTCAATGTTGGAACCATCAATGGACTTGGGGAAGCCCAGGGTAGCATTGACAACACCCGAGTTGAGAGCAAAGAAGTTTTGCGCAATCTGGCTGGTACCGGGGTCCTCGGAGTTGAGCGTGGCAACGAAAACCGCCTTGTCGCAGTTGTTGTTGAACTGGAAGTGGATGGAGCCCTGGGGGAAGACGGTGCCTTCGAACTTGTTGAGGTAGCTGGCGATTTCCGGGTTCTCGCCGGGCTTGACGAGCCCGTTCTCGAGCACGTAGCCGAACTCGAGGTTCTTGCCTTCGACGAGCGTCAGGAACTCGGTGGCGCGTGGGTGCACGTGGGGCGTGTTGATGCCGCAGGGGTTGAGGAAACCGACAGTAGTGCTGATGCCGAGGTTGGTCAGGATGGGGAAGCTGTCAATGTTCTAGGCAGGATGTTAGTATGAACGAGTGTTTTTAGATTGCGTGTACTCACGGCTGAGACGGCTACACCGCCCTTTGCACCCGCGGGGGGAGGGGTGTTGCTGTCAAAGGGAAAGACGATGACTTTCCTCAGAGCATCTCCGGTGAAGAGAACCTTTCCCTGGGTAAGAAGCCTCTGGAAGCGCTTGATGGCGGTAGGAGCATCGAAAAGGTCGTTGAAGAGAGAATCTGTGTTGGATGTAGCAGCCGGTGGTGCAACAGAAGTGACAGTGGCAGTGGCGCTTGTAGTAGAGGCTGCCCTGTTGTTGTAAGGCTGAGGGGCAGCTTGCACGGCTCCAAGAGTAAGGGCGGCGATGATGATCTTGGTGATGGGAGACATGGTTACTGATTAAGAAGTGAAAACTTGTACAGTAAGGAATCAAGGAAATAAGGAAAAGAGATGATGGTAGTATGGTTTATTGGTTTGTGAGTAAGGAGATGATTCTCCAAAAGACATTCCACCATGCCATACTTATACATTCTTTCTGCAACCCATCTATCCAGACTGATTAGATGTCTCACTCGGCAACTTGTGAATCCGTCAATGGTATAATGGCTGATGGCTGTACAACAATCGTAGGCGACCCACTAACGGTGTGCCTAATCCAGAAACAGGTGTACTTTGCTTAGATATTTCGCAACCCAGAAATATCTACTGGTCAGAACTGGACAAAAGCTCAGCCCTGGCTGGTAGCCCGTCAGCCTTGCAGTGGGGCGACTGAACGGCGCGGGCAGGCAGTGCTGCTCTAGTACCCTTCCAGAACAACACGCCACGAGAACCACGATATTACTAAAAGATGCCTGTGTATAGCGGTGATGGCGATGATGATGAAACGGCTAAAAGATGACGTGTTGCTTGATGGGTACAGCGAATATGGCGCTGGTGTCTGCTCTTCCGAGTACCTCAAGATGGTCATTCAGCCATGAAGGGTTAGGGCTCAAAGGAAATCAAAGTCTTTGGGAAGGCGCAACGCAACGGGATGGCTACCAGCCGTGTTATTTGAGAGAGCAACTAGGCCAGAAATCACATTAGTATGTGTGGGGTGGAAATGAATGGTGGTAAGCTTCCGAAATGAGTGTTGGTAACGCCTGGGCCTCCATGCTTAGCGAAGGTGACTCCAAAAATAGATATAGGATTTGAGGCGCCAACGACCATTACAAACAAAGACCAGAAGCAATCGCTGAGCAAGGCGATATCCATTAATCACAAAGAACAGCACAGCGCACATGACGTTGGCCACTGATGGTGGGATACAAGAGTAGAAACAGATTCACTGGAACACCTGGTCCCGCTGCCCTAAAATTAAACAAAAGAACGCCGAAAAACTCCACGCTGATGAAGGCCCGGGTAGAAAGCAAAGACAAATGGGACAAGGTATGAGCCGGGTCCCATGACGCTCAAGTACCCCTATCATTATCTAATCGTAATCAGACTCGAAGTCCATGGTGACGTGGGCTCTCCAGAATGGAAGCTCGTCCAGGGTAAAGCCATCGTCGCTGGGGATGGATGGCGGGCCTTTGGAATGCAAGACTGTTCCTTCTTCAGGCTCCTCGACCTCGAGAATGTTGTTTGTGTTGGAGACGCCCTGGTCTTCAAAAATCAGCGACCCTCTTCTTGGCCCGCGCACGCGGCGACGCAGTCGGCGTGAGTTCTGGTCAAGATCGTCGAGAGGATCGTTGTCGGAGTAGCTGCTGTCGCCCTCCACGCTCTGGCTGTGGCTGCGCTTGAAGATTCCGGCGCTCCACCGCTTCTTTTTCTGTCGGTATTTGCGCACCCTCTCCTCGTCTTCGGACGAGTCTTCTTCGAGCTGCAGTTCGTTCATTCTGGCGGAGATCTCTGCTTTGACTCCGCCCCTGTCGCTCCTTGCGTCTTCGCAGTGGTCTGGCCGGAGTATCTCCACGTCGCAGTCGTACCCAGGATCGCTGTCCAATTCTTCGAGCACGAATTGAGCATGGTCCACCCGGCGCAGGGGAATCTCCTCTTCGCCGTCGCTTTCGTCGTCCGTCTCGTTGTCGTCGTCGTCGTCGTCGTACAGTTCGATCTCCGAGTCGGAGCTTTCGCACGTCGTCGCGGCAAAGGCCCGCTCCGAGTCCGAGGACGGGCGCGAAGAGGGCTCGCACGACTGTGGGCGGGTGAAGCTGAAGTGGTGGTTGAAGCCGGTGGGCTCAATGAATTCAAGGGGGGGTGTCTGGACGCAGTTGCCCATGCGCTTGTACTTTGGCGACGTCGGGTGTGGCGGGGGTGGAAAGCGGGTGTGGGCCTCCGGGCTGGGCGTCATGGGCGGCGATTGCAGGTGGCCGTTGAGAGGGGCGAATGGCGGCTGGTCGTGGGCTGTCATGGTGGGCAGCTGGTCGTGGGCGGGCGGTGGATGAGCGAGGGCGAGGGCGAGATTGCGTCAGGGTCGGGTGCAGCCAATTGCAAAGGCGTACGTATCAGCGGCCGTCTGGAGAAAGCGGGCGTGGTCGCTCAGGGAATCAGCGTCCGACAGGCGTGTCTAATCTTTGAGTTACGGAAGACAAGCTGCGCCGACTGTATCATTCTGGAGGTGGCCCGAGAGTGTTTGACTAGGATATCTGAGCGGCGAGCTCGAGCGGAACGGGGGGGCGGGCAAGAGTTTTGACAAGTCGAACCCTGCAACGGCTTGGCTTATCGTGCAGCACGGCGAATTGGAGCAGCTACAGGCCAGCAATGCAGGAAACGCAGCGTGCAGAAGGGTGAAGCCACAAGGCACGGAGCAGTCGGGGGGCGCAATGCGGGCTTGGGGGGGGGGGGATCGATTGGGGGATGTGCAGGAAGGAAGACGAAAAGTCGCGGAGGTACGAATTCCCTGCAACGGCGAGAAAATGTGCGCGGGAGCGTCGCCAATTATCCGCAGCGGTTTCAGCAGTGAGCTGGCCGGCCACGGGGCGGGTCTGCCGCAATGCTGCCCTGGGATGCGCAGCGCCGGCCTTGTCTCCATGACTCTTCGGCTGGGTCGCAATATGTGGTCGCGAACGATTAGTCGAGCAGCAACTCGGGCTCTCGTGCGTGCGTCAGGCAGCATGGGCGCCCAATGAGGTCAGCGGGCAAGATTATCCTGCACGGGGCGGGCAGGCAGTGCTGGCAGCTGGCACTACCACGGCCAGCTGGCACGCAGTCGCATTGGTGAGCGCGGCGGGGCATCGTCGCAGTGTGCCCGCGCTGCCCATGCCGCCCATGCGAGGCGGGCGAGCGAGCGCCGCGGCCCGCCAAAGTGAGGCTCTGCGAGCGCCAGGAAAGGTGGAAACGGAACTGGATGGTTTCCAAGTTGAAACACGCCCGCGCCGGGGGGGACGCGAGCGGCGAGCGGCGAGCGGGCGAGGGCGGGCGCGCGTCACGTGATGGCCGCAGCGGACACGTGATGGCCGCGCCACGTGACCGCCGCATCCCGCACGTGACCTTGGTGGGGAGTCTGCGCTAGCGCCGCTTGGGGCTAGCCCTCCGTCGACGGCAATCCGAATGTTGCGTGGCATATCGAACATTGGACTGAGCAGCTCCGGCCGGCGCAGCAACCACCCCCATACTCGTCGACGCCGCCCTTCTTTTGCACGTCCCTCTACCCCTGTGCCTGCGCCCTCGCCCCCTCGAGCATTGACTCCGCAACACACGACGCTGAAGCTGCGGCTTCGTCCCCAATCCCGCCATGTCTTCCTCTCCTTCCATGTTGACCAAGGCACGCCCGCCTCCCTACCAATGCGCTCCGCCAGCCCGCTGACCACGCCCAGTTCGAGTCCAAGTCTTCGCGTGCAAAGGGCATTGCCTTCCACCCAAAGAGGTATCTGCGCCCCCGCCGCCCCGGCCACTGTCCCGCCCTGTACTGACCGCCCACAGGCCATGGATCCTCGTGTCGCTGCACTCGTCGACGATCCAACTATGGGACTACCGCATGGGCACCCTCATCGACCGCTTCGAAGAACACGACGGGCCGGTCCGCGGCGTCGACTTCCACAAGACGCAGCCATTGTGAGCATTCTCGACCATCTGCTGCTGCATATGCACATACTGAGACGGGCAGGTTCGTCTCGGGCGGTGATGACTACAAGATCAAGGTCTGGTCGTACCAGACGCGCCGCTGTCTCTTCACACTCAACGGCCACTTGGACTATGTCCGAACCGTCTTTTTCCACCACGAGCTGCCGTGGATATTGAGTAGCTCCGACGACCGTAAGCGCATACCGCAGCCTGGCAAGGCGCTTGCTAATATACACCAGAGACGATCCGCATATGGAATTGGCAGAACCGTAAGTCCCTCCAGTCCCTCTCTCCAAACCAATGCTAACATGCCTAGGCTCATTGAGTAAGTTTCGCCCCGACACCTGGCAGTCGTGTCCTCTAACCCCTCCAAGTATGCACCATGACCGGCCACAACCACTACACCATGTGCGCACAGTTCCACCCCAAGGAAGACCTCATTGTTTCCGCCTCGCTTGACCAGTCTGTTCGCGTTTGGGATATCTCTGGGCTACGGAAGAAGCACTCGGCACCGCAAGCCATGTCCTTTGAGGACCAAATGGCACGTGCCAACCAGAACCAGGCAGACATGTTCGGAAACACAGATGCAGTCGTCAAATTCGTCCTCGAAGGCCACGACCGAGGTGTCAACTGGGTCGCATTCCACCCCACACTGCCGCTGATTGTTTCCGCGGGTGACGACCGCCTCGTCAAGCTGTGGAGAATGTCGGAGACAAAGGCATGGGAAGTAGACACTTGCCGAGGGCATTTCCAGAACGCGTCGGCATGTCTGTTCCACCCGCACCAAGATCTGATACTGTCTGTTGGTGAAGACAAGACAATACGTGTGTGGGATCTCAACAGGCGCACATCGGTCCAGTCCTTCAAGAGAGAGAATGACCGCTTCTGGGTCATTGCAGCGCATCCCGAGATCAACCTCTTCGCCGCTGGTCATGACAACGGAGTAATGGTGTTCAAGCTGGAGCGCGAGCGACCCGCGTCTGCCGTTTACCAGAACAATCTCTTCTACATCACCAAGGAGAAGCATGTGCGCTCGTACGATTTCCAGAAGAACCTCGAGTCGCCGTCGATGCTGTCTCTCAAGAAGCTCGGAAGCGCCTGGGTGCCTCCGCGGACGCTCTCCTACAACCCTGCTGAACGCTCGATCCTGGTTACATCCCCGGCCGATAGCGGAACATATGAGCTGATCAGCCTCCCACGTGACGCTTCCGGAGCTGTAGAGCCCACTGACACCAAGCGTGGATCTGGTAACTCAGCTGTGTTCGTGGCTAGAAACCGATTTGCAGTCTTCAACCAGGCCAACCAGCAGATTGACATCAAGGACTTGGCCAACTCCACCACCAAGACCATCAAGCCCCCCCACGGCACAACCGATATTTACTTTGGCGGCACTGGAAACCTGCTCTTGATAACACCCACCTCTGTTGTTCTTTACGACATCCAGGCCAAGAAGAACCTTGCCGAGCTTTCAGTCAATGGCGTCAAGTACGTTGTTTGGTCATCAGATGGATTGCACGTAGCTCTCTTGAGCAAGCACAACGTCACCATCGCGACGAAGAACTTGGAGCAGGTCAGCACACTGCACGAGACGATCCGCATCAAGAGCGCCATCTTCGACGATACTGGCGTCCTGCTTTACTCTACGTTGAACCACATCAAGTACAGTCTGATGAACGGCGACAATGGAATTGTCCGCACGCTCGAGCAGACTGTATATCTCGTCAGAGTCAAGGGCCGTAACGTATACTGCTTGGACCGAGCTGCGAAGCCCAAGATTCTCCAGATCGACCCTACGGAATACCGATTCAAGCTTGCTCTTGTCAAGCGAAACTACGACGAGATGCTCAACATCATCAAGACTTCGAGTCTGGTTGGACAGAGCATCATCTCGTATCTTCAAAAGAAGGGCTATCCCGAGATTGCTCTTCAGTTTGTTCAAGATCCACAGACACGGTTCGAGCTTGCGATTGAGTGTGGCAACCTTGAGGTCGCAGTAGAGATGGCCAAACAACTCGACCGTCCAAAGCTCTGGCAGCGATTGAGCAACGAAGCCCTGGCACATGGTAACCACCAAACTGTAGAAATGACATATCAGAGTGAGTACCTCCCATCTTTGACAGATTCTTTGCTAATCAATACATGCTAGAACTGCGCAACTTTGACAAGTTGTCGTTCCTGTATCTCACGACAGGAGACCAGGACAAGTTGAAGCGCATGGCTAAGATTGCAGAGCACCGCGGAGACATGACAGCCCGATTCCAGAACGCACTCTACCTGGGTGACGTACAGAACCGGATAGAAATGTTCCAGGAGCTGGATCTCTACCCACTTGCGTATGCAACTGCCAAGGCCCACGGTCTCGATGAGCAAGCACAGTCCATCTTGGAAGCCGCAGGTGTCTCGGAAGACCAGATCAAGTTGCCTTCGATAGGCGGACCCCTCGCACCCCCAAAGCCTATTGTACCAACTTACCAAGCGAACTGGCCAACACGTGCAGCCTCTTCGACTGTATTCGAAAAGGCTCTTCAAGGCGAGGTCGAAGGTATTGGATCCCAAGAGCCAGCAGCCAACGGCTACGGCGACGAAGACCTGCTAGGCGAGCCAGAAACCACGGGTGCTACGGCTGAGCTCGGAGGCGATGAAGAGGACGACATTGGCGGATGGGACATGGGCGACGATGCCGAAGTAGAAGCAGAGGACGACTTTGTCGAGGTTGAGGGTGCTGAAGCCGGTGCTGGTAGCAGCGAGGCCGATCTCTGGGCGCGAAACTCACCCTTGGCGGCAGACCACGTTGCTGCAGGCTCATTCGACACGGCTATGCAGCTGCTCAACCGTCAAGTTGGCGCTGTCAACTTTGCCCCTCTGGAGGAGCGCTTCCAGGAGATTTACCAGGCCACGCGGACATTCTTGCCAGCTACGCCCAACATGCCGTCGTTGGTCAACTATGTCCGAAGAACAGTGGACGAGACAGACTCGCGGAAGATCTTGCCAATAATCCCGCGAGACTTGGAGTCTATATTGACCAATGACCTGACTGCTGGCAAACAATCTCTACTCAAGAACAAGCTGGAAGAGGGTATCGCGATCTTCAAGAAGCTACTGCAGCTCATCATGGTCAATGTTGTTTCGTCTCAAGCCGAACTGTCCGAGGTAAGTCTTGTCAAAACGCTTAATTCAATACAAACTAATGGGTTGGTATAGGCCAGGAAAGCGATCAACACAGCTACACAGTACATTCTTGCCATGTCCATTGAGCTCGAGCGTCGCAAACTGCTCAATGGCGCCACTGACATCTCTGCTCTCTCTGACGCGGACAAGAAGCGGGCTCTTGAGCTATCGGCCTACTTTACGATCCCTGAGGTCGAAGGCCCGCACAAGTCAATTCCCCTGTCAGCAGCCATGAACTTTGCGCACAAGAACAAGCAGCTGAACACGGCGCTCAACTTTGCCAATGCTCTGCTTGACCGCACTGGCAACGCCAAGATGAAGGAGGCAGCCAAGCGCATCAAGACGATTGCCGAGAGGAACCCCAGCGATGCCATTGAAATCGACTTTGATCAATTCGCCGACTTTGACATTTGCGCTGCTAGCTACACGCCCATCTACGCTGGCCAGCCGTCGGTGACAAGTCCGTACAGCGGAGCCAAGTACCACGCGCGGTACAAGGGCACGGTTTGCAGAATCGACGGTATCAGTCAGATTGGGGCACCGGCTAGTGGGCTGAGGCTTGTTGGTTAATGATGATGATGATGAGGTTGTTGTTGTGGTGGTGGATGATGAGCAGGGGGGTGTCAGGGTGAGGGTGAGGAGTGAATTTATTTTTGGTGCTTGATTCACGATTGACACTGGGTATGCTTTAGCGTTTTCATGACCTTGTCGTCGGGTGGAGGAGAGGGTGGGGGCAAAGTGGGGAGTAGTAGTAGTAGTAGAAGAAGAAGAAGTAGTAGTAGTAGAAGATGATGATGATGATGATGAAAAAGAGGGGAGAAGAAGACATGACAAGGGAAAATAAAATCAAATAAAATCAAATAAAAAGAAATGCGTAAGTAGGCACTGGCGGAGGAAACCAAGTAAGTGGGACTTGTTTGTCTCGTCTTGTCTTGTCTTGTCTTGTCTTGTTGAGGTCCATCTCTCTCAGACTAGAACTCGGCGATTCAAAAAAAAACATATAGGTGTAAGTAGGCTCTCTCTCTCTCTCTCTCTCAGACAAGGACTATAAAAAATGCGATAGGAAGTTGTAATGACGCATTCACTGGATTGACTGTCATGGTGTAGTGTAGTGTAGTGTAGTGTAGTGTAGTGTAGTGTGGTGTAGTGTGGTGTGCATGCTTTGTGTGAGAAGTCTTTTCTGGATTACAATCAGGGTATGATTAATGTCAAGGCTGTTGTTGTGTATGAAAGTAGAAGAAGAGAAGAGGTTAATTATTCAAAGCTTATTTTTTTTTGTTTTTTACCATGTAATTTGCAAGTTTGTACAAGTTAAATTGACTTGATTCACTGAATGCACAAACGGATATCCTATGCATGTTGGTAACTGTGAGAAACAAGAAAGGACAGAGAGAGTGACCACCCAAAGAAAAAAAAAGACATTACAAAAATAAAAAAAAGAGGTATCGAGCGCTATTCCACGTGAACGAAAAGAGAGAAAAAAAAGGACATGTTTCCAAACCCCCGACCTTAGTGTTCCCAACTTCAGTGTCGCCGACGACGCCCAATTTGATCAGTTTTGTACGTGAGTGCGTATGTGAGTGCGTATGTGTGTGTGTGTGTGTGTTTCGTGTTTCGTTTGTTTCCGAACCTGATGAAACGCCATCCAAGTATTTCAAAAAACAAAACAGTAAAAAAAGTGCAAGAGAAAAGGAGAATCATGTGTAAACTGTTGTGACGTCTCGGCGTGGATTCAGTCGTGGCCATGGAAGTATGGTTTTTAGGCCTTTGCGGGTGGTGGGCCTGGTGGGGGCGCGTATCCACCAGAATAAGCGGGCTGGGGTGGCTGGAGTTCGACGCCACTCTGTTGACCGTAGTAGCCCTGGTTGGCACCATTGCCATAGTAGCCGTTGTTGTGAGCTTCATATGATGGTGGAGCGCCCTGATTGTTGTTGCCATTGCTGTAGTAGGGCTGGGCCGAGTACTGGTTTGGCGGCTGCTGTTGCTGCTGGTTGTTGTACAGACCAGGACGAGCGGCCCAGCCAGTGCCGTAGAAGGGCTTGCGGCCTGCCTTGCGACGGCGACGTGCTGTCAAGCAACTGTAGTTACGGGGTCAGCATGTGCTTCTGGTGTATGTAGTCGAGTGCGGTGATGAACTTACGAGCATAGTACGAAGAGGAGCAGGAAGCCAACGACGACAACGACGAGGACGACCCATCGGACCCAGTTATTCCATGCTGAGTTGGTGCAGCGCCTGTTTCCGTATCTGTCGTAATAGCACCTGACCGCCATGATGTGTTAGAGTGATGTTTTGGTCTTTGCAATTATGATTAGGTGGGGAAAGAAAAGGCAGGAAAAGTGGTTTGGGGAAGGGGAAAAAGGGCCTTGATGTAATGGTGAGGAAACCCAAGGGTTCAAAAAGCAAACAATGGGACAGGGAAAGCTTGGAATGCGATGGTCGAGGCCAGCAAGGCGATGTTTGAAAAAGGTGCCGGTTTAATGCGGTTTCAGTGACGTTGTGACGTCGTCTGTAGCAAACGACGCAGGCGATGCTCATAGCCAAGCCGTGGCCAGAGAAGCCGCATAGCCGCGGGGGCAAGCGGGCGTCGCAGCACCGCCACCACCCGAAACATGACAAGAACGGGTGCAAATGCAGAAAGGACTTACTCGTTGTCGCCGTCCCAGTAGTATTGTCTAGGGTGCAGATACATTGTCGAATCAAGCACGGAGCTAATGGTGTCGAGGGATGGGCGGGAGCAGGAGGACAGAGAGGTGGAGCAGAAGGCGAGGTTGCGGGCTGGTGTGACGGCGTGTGATGACGATATAAGCTGGAGAGGGCAAGGATACGTGTGCCGCTCAGCCACAGCCAAGTGCAGAGTGGGCTTGGCCTAGCTTGGTCAAGGCTGGTTGGATGCCGAGACCAGGACAGTCGGTGTCACAGATGGCGGTGGTGGTTGCTGCAGGTATCGGGATGAGTATGCGGGTGCGGGTGTGTGTGCGTGTGTGTGTATGCGAGCGCGAGGACCGAGAGGTAAGACGAGAGGTGGCAAGCGTGCGAGGCTTCTTAAAGCGCGATATACGTATGCTCGTGGCCGCGTCTTCCGGCGCTGCTCAGCCCCGAGCGAATGAATCACGTGCTTTGTTCCTACGTCATTCCGTCACGACACAGCCGGTCCGGAAGTCGGCTGGCTGTGATTGGCCGGCGCAATCATGGTTCGCCATGGTTCACACCAGCACCAGAGTGAGAGCGACGAACTGGTCTTGGGCTGGCCGTTAGAGCCAACCTTGCTAGTGTATATGAAACGGTCTTTTCGTCTATAGTTTGTTTGGCGGGTTGTCGATCTGTGTGGGATTCATGCTGAGGCAGCCAGCAATGGCGTATATACCGCTGGCTGGGCTGGGGATGGTGTGCCGAGCCTAGGCCGGAAACGAGCACATTGTTTCTTGGAATCTGACACCTGGAGCCATGAGGTGATGTTGGCAGCGCCCGTAACGTGTTGCGATTACGCGTTCCGGCCAATGGGTCCAGTCCTTCTGCCTAGGAGCATGTACAAGTGTGTAGACGTAGTCGACGAGTGGTGCGGCATGCGTCGTCTAGTCGGTACATGTGCATACACACAGCATACATAATGACGATGCAATTGCAAGAGGCGGCGACGTGTGGTTCCGGAGAGTAAGTATTTGCCATGGACACAGGGCCTTGTCCATGCTAACCCCAGCGCCGGCCTCTGCACATATAGTCAAGCCACTGCCACGGTATACCCCCCCCCCCGACCCCCCGTCTGCTATAGCAGCAGACGTAAAGCAAAGCAGTAGTAGTCGCAGTATAGATGGCCTACAAGTAGACCCAGAGAGCCCCTCCAGCTCGCCGGCTCCTGTTCCAGCACCCTTGGCCAAGCAGGGGCCCGCAGCGCTCGCCACGGGCGCGGGCCAATCAGGACGTCGGGGGCCGGGCTCGCGTGGGAGGCGCTAATGCAGGATGAGTTGTTCACCTGGTGCTGGCATGGATTTGCCTGGGTCCCGCCCATTTGCCAGCGTGCATTGTGTGAAATAATAGCTGTTTGTTCCTCGTCGTCGCCCGTCGCCATTTTGTGCATTGGTCCTCACCCTCTTCCTTGACACGCTTACGCTCTTCTCGTCTTTGGCCCAGCCCGTTGCGCCCACCACGCCTTGCCCGCCTTGCCCGCCCCTCGCCCAAGCCGCCGCTGCTGCTGCTTGCTGCTTGCTGCTGCTGCTCTGCCCAGCCCGCGCGCAACGAGCCCATTGCCCTACTCCACAGCTCGCAAGGCGGTCCACTCCAAGCAAACAAAAGCAGCCCCAAAAAGAGCACCAGTCGCACTGCTGCTACCACTACTGTCTGCGCCCACAATTGCCCTTCAGCCTTCGACCAGCGCCCCCTCCCCGACCATCAGAGAGTTCCGTGGCATTCGCGCGCGCGCCTGCTGCACATGCCACACACACACACACACCTTTTTGAGTCACGAGCACCGCACACACACACACATACACCATGAGTCGACAGAGACATAAAGAATCCATTCTATCGCTGCCACCCTCACCTCACCCCCCATAGAGCCCACCAAACCCACCAAAGCATGCGCACCCAAATAGAAAGAAAAAAACACAACGCACCCTGGACCCAATATCTTGTCCTCTTTTCTTAGCCGCTACTACATCTTCGCCCCAACTTGACCCCCAAAGAAAATGATACATGACCGAACATGGCCTGTCGCCCTGACAATCATATATAAAGAAAAGAAAAGAAAAGAAGAAGAAAAAAAAGGCCGTAAACGTGTCGAGCTGGGGAAACTGGAATGGCCATCGCTAGCCTGCAGAGCGATCTGCCCGTCTTTTCTTCCATCAAGTCGTAAGAATCATTAAAGATATCGTAGAAAGCTGACGACCGTTACTCGTAAAGAAGCCAAGCACATCGGCGTCGTGAAATTTGCCAAAACACCAAACCGAGTCGAATGCGTTGCGAGCGTCATGTGGCCCCACGAACCCTCCACGGTCACGTTACCTCCCCTCCACCACCACCACGAATAACACAAGACTTTCATTTGCTGGCCCGGGCAATCAACCACTGGAGAACGGCGTCGAGATTGGTTTCTTCCTTTGCGCTGATGCCGTAGCAGCTCACTTCCCGGTGCGACACCGACTTGAGGTCCAGCGCCTCAATCAGCTCGTCGACCGAAAGCTTGTTGGGCAAGTCCGACTTGTTGCCCAGCACCAGAAGCGGAATGCCCTCGAGCGCCGGCTTCTCCAGCAGCAGCTTGAGCTCCTCGCCGGCAACGGGCAGCGCCTCCTTGTCCGCCGAGTCGACAATGAACCTAGACGCATGAGCAAACGACGGCCGACCATCACATGCGAACCACACGTACACAATAGCGTTTACCCCGCGGCAGTACCGCTCCCACATGGAACGAAACCTAGGCTGGCCTCCCAGATCCCAACTGTTGCCGCTGGTCAGCAGATGCACCTTGGGCCTAGTAGATTGCCATGCACCCCGCAAGGCTGCCTCAAATGGGACTGGCGCTGCAAGAGCCCGACATGCGTGACCACAGGACCAGATTGCAGACCAAACAAAAAAAATAAACTTACCACTTCAAGGTGACATGGCCCTTCTGGACGCGCTTCATGTTGAAGCCAACGGTGGGGATGGAGCTAGGACCATTGTCAGCGCATGGACCCCGCTACCATGACGCTCATGGTTGTGCGAAGCAGTCACATCGGCTTTCTCGTGGAACAAGGTCGCCGCCGGGCTGCGCACCTCGCGACGCATTCAGACTTACTCTACAGTGAACTCTCCGCCCTAGACGACAGTCAGTCAGCTCGCATCCGGCACAGCGACCCTCGCCGGCATGCCATGGCCATGTGGCATCAGGAAGCGACTCACCGCCAGAACCCTCAGGAGCGAAGTCTTGCCAGCGTTTTGCAACCCAATCATGGTGATGTCCATCTCGGTTGCCCTAGACGGCGTGAGCAGTTAGCATTTCCATCTCAGGTCATCGTCGCTCGTGACGCTGCATTTCCCTGCAGGCGAATACGGGCCAGGCGAGAGGCATCAGATGGCGCGTCAGGCCAGCAGGCGTGCGTACGAGGCCATGGAGAGAAAGCAGACAGGTAGGCGTACCAGAACAGGCGGAGCAGCCAGTCGTAGATGCGGCGGAAGAGGTTGGCCATGGCCGTCGTCGTCGCGATGGATGCAGACTGGGTGTTGGCGTGTGTGGGCTGGTTGGGAGGACTGATGGTGATGTACGAGCGATGGAGGAAGCCTGGGAACCTTGATCCTTGCTGCGGGGCATGTAGTAGGCGTGATCGCCGGGTAGAGCTAGCAGCAGCAACCGCAAAATGACGACGGTTTCGCCGCAACTAGAGATGCAAAGCGTCGACTGGCAATGCCGTGGGAGAAGTAGAGAAGCAGAGCTGTGCCGCCCTAACGAACGAAGGCCAGGAGTGGCTCACGCTGCAGCGCAGTGATGGAGCCGCCGCGGCGTGTGACTTTGGCCCACGCGCTAGGCAGGGGTCGGCCTATCGGACTAGTCTAGCAAAAAAGTTCGAGATTGGCGTCGCAACTTCACCATCGCGCGCCTTGCTTGCCTTGCCTGCCTGCTTGCCTGCTTGCCTGCTTGCCTGCTTGCTCTGCCGTGTGCAACCCCCGACAACGCCCGCCGCATTGCCGCACGACGACGACTGCTTGCACATGCACATGCCCGAGCCCTTGTGAGCCCTCCCCCGCTGCAGAGCATCCGCCGCACACAGAAGCCATGGCGCCTGCTGCCAGTGCACCCACCAAGCCACAGCCGCAGTGGTCGACAAAAGTAGGTGCTCTGCCCTCACGCCTCGCCGCCCCAGAAAAGCTGACCCGCGCCGCCAGTTCGACACGCTGCGCCGCCACGACCTGTTCCGGAACCCGCCCAAGGACAGCACGGCCTACCCCACGCTCGCCGCCGCCGTCGATCCCCATGTCCAGTCCTTCAATGCCATCTTCGCTCCCGGCGGCCAGCTGGCCGAGGGCATACGCGACATTGGCACAAAGGTCTTCCTCGACGGCGACCGATATGCCGCCCCCGAAGAGGCCGGCGTGCGCAACAGGCTGCATCTGCGCATCCAGGACGTCTTCCTCGACAAGCCTGTCCTGCCGCCCACCAACAAGGTCGCCCTCAAGAACCGCAGCATCCTCCCCGCCGAGACACGCGAGCGCCACGCTACATACCGCGGCAAGATGCGCGCCCGATTGGAGTGGAGGGTCAACAACGGAGACTGGCAGGAGGAGATTGCTGACCTGGGCTCGGTCCCCATTATGCTGAGGTCCAATCGCTGCCACCTCGAGGGCCTTCCCCCCGCAGCGCTGGTCAGGGCGAAAGAGGAAAGCGACGAGCTCGGGGGCTACTTCATCGTCAACGGCATTGAGAAGATTATCCGTATGCTCCAGGTCAACCACCGAAACTACCCCATGGCCATCAAGCGTGGCGCCTTCACCAACCGTGGGCCTGGCTACACCCAGTATGGTATCCAAATCCGATCAATGCGCCCGGATCAAACATCACAAACAAATGCTCTGCACTATCTCAACGATGGCAACGTCAATTTCCGCTTCTCGTGGCGCAAAGCTGTACGGACCACCACGCCTTACGCTGCCATCTAGTGCTTGTGCTGACTATTTCTAGGAATACCTTGTGCCAATATGCATGGTCCTCAAGGCCCTGGTCGAGACGAACGATCGCGAGATATTCGAGGGCCTTGTAGGCGCAGCGGGATCAGCAGGTCTCGAAGAGAAGCAGTTTGTGACCGACAGAGTAGAACTGCTGCTCCGCACATACAAGGTCTACGGACTGCATTCCAAGGCAAAAACTCGGGCATATCTAGGAGAGAAGTTCAAGGTCGTCATGCAGTTGCCTGCAGATGTCACGGACGAGGAAGCCGGTACTGAGTTCCTCCGGAAAATTGTGCTGCCTCACCTGGGCTGCGTCAATGTTACCCCTGCCGAAGATGCAGACAAATTCCGGATGCTCCTCTTCATGACTAGGAAGCTCTATGCGCTGGTTGAAGGAGACTGCGCGGTCGATAACCCTGATGCTGTTCAAAACCAGGAAATCTTGCTGGGCGGACAGTTGTACGGTATGCTTCTGAAAGAGAGGCTGGAGGAGTGGCTTAACAGCTTCCAGCTCGTTTTGCGAGAATGGGGCAGGAAGACGGAGTACAGGCCTTTTACATCACAAGAATTCCACAAAGATTGGTCGTCGAAGATATTGCGACGGACACAAATGAACATTGGACAGGCTATGGAATACTTCCTCAGCACGGGCAACCTCATTTCGCCGGTAGTACCAGCCCGTTCAAGCTCCATGTGAGACATCAACTAACTGGAAAACGCAGACCGGACTCGATTTGCAACAGACTTCCGGATACGTGGTGGTAGCTGAAAAGCTCAACTTTCCAAGGCGAGTTGCACTCCTCTCTTGGCTAGCGTATGACTGACTTGTACATAGGTTTATCTCACATTTTAGAATGGTGCACAGAGGTGCCTTCTTCGCTCAGCTCAAAACAACAACCGTCCGAAAACTGCTTCCTGAATCCTGGGGCTTCATGTGTCCCGTCCATACTCCTGATGGTTCTCCTTGTGGACTCCTTAACCACTTTGCACACAAGTGCAAGATAGCGACAACCAACCTCGATGTATCAACGGTTCCCAAACTCGTTGCTGAACTCGGTGTATCGAGCAAATCCTCGGCCTCCCTTGACACAAGTGTTGTTGTGCAGCTCGACGGCCGCGTTCTAGGCTTCTGCTCGCCCAAGCAAGCCAAAGTCATTAGCGATACGCTACGCTACTGGAAGGTCGAAGGCTCGCACGGTGTGCCGCTAGAGATGGAGATTGGTTACATTCCAAACTCAAACAACGGCCAATATCCAGGAGTCTACATGTTCTCGCAATGCTCGAGAATGTACCGACCCGTCAAGTACCTACCGCTCAACAAGCTCGACTACGTGGGTCCATTTGAGCAACCCTACATGTCCATCTCTTGCACAGATGCCGAGATCGTTTCGGGCGACTCGACCCATGTTGAGTTTGACCCCACAAACATATTTTCCATCATCGCCAACCAGACTCCCTTCTCCGACTTCAACCAATCGCCAAGAAATATGTACCAATGTCAAATGGGTAAACAGTCCATGGGCACACCGGGAACTGCTGCACGATATCGAACAGACAACAAAACCTACCGCTTACAGACGGGCCAAACTCCTATTGCCAGACCTCCACTCCATAACGAGTATGGCATGGACAACTTCCCGAACGGCATGAATGCTGTTGTAGCTGTCATCTCCTACACTGGATACGACATGGACGACGCTATGATCTTGAACAAGTCATCGCACGAGCGTGGTTTTGGACACGGAACAGTCTACAAGACCAAGATTTGCGATCTCGAGGAGGGAAGTCGTAAGGCGCGTTCGAATAAGACTGTGACGAAGCTATTCGGTTTTGCACCAGAGGGCCTGATCAAGGCTGAATCCAAAGAAACTCTTGATGTTGACGGTCTGCCGCGTATTGGGACTATGTTGCGGCATGGCGACGTCATTGCGGCATGGCATACTGTCTCGTACGATGCAGCCACAGGGGAATATGTGAACCGCGACGGACAGACCCAGTTCTTCAAGTACAAAGAGGACGAAGTCTCTTTTGTCGAAGAGGTCCGTATCATTGGCTCTGAAGACGGCACACAGCCCTGCCAAAAGCTCTCGATCAAGCTGCGTACACCGCGTTCGCCAGTTGTCGGTGACAAGTTCTCTTCTCGTCACGGTCAAAAGGGAGTTGTATCTCAAAAGTTCCCCAGCCAGGATATGCCGTTTTCTGAATCTGGCATACAACCAGATGTCATTATCAACCCCCACGCTTTCCCGTCTCGTATGACAATCGGTATGTTTGTCGAGTCATTGGCTGGAAAGTCTGGAGCGCTCCACGGCATGGCACAGGACTCAACGCCTTTCCGATTCGATGAGCAGAACACGGCTGTTGATTACTTTGGTGAACAGCTGAAGGCTGCAGGCTACAACTACCACGGAAACGAACCAATGTACTCTGGAATTACAGGCAATGAGCTCCACGCTGATATCTACATCGGAGTCGTCTATTACCAACGTCTTCGTCACATGGTAAACGACAAGTTCCAGGTGCGAAGCAACGGTGTTTCCAACGCATTGACGGGCCAGCCTATCAAGGGTAGGAAGAAGGGTGGAGGTATCCGTGTCGGAGAGATGGAACGCGATGCTCTCTTGGTAAATCTCACCCCGTGAAAACATGACATGAAACACAACTAACTCGGTACCAGGCCCACGGCACAGCATTCCTCCTCCAAGATCGCTTGATGAACTGCTCCGACTACACAAAAGCCGCCGTCTGCAGGACTTGCGGCTCCTTCCTCAGCACCACCCCCACGGTCAGCGAGTACAGCCGCAAGAAGGACAGAAACGGCAAGGACATTACCATTCGCTGCAGACGATGCGCTACGCTCGCAGACGGCGTCTCCAACAAAGCTGATGTCTGGATGGATGCTCAAGGCATGCGATACACGGGCGGCGAAGACGTCGCCATTGTCGCCGTCCCCGGCGTACTCAAGTATCTCGACGTCGAGCTATCCAGCATGGGCATCAGGCTCAAGTTTAATGTTGATCCGTAGAAGCAGGTACAACTCTTGTTCCATACACCAAATGACAAATACGCAATCATGTTCTCTTTTTTTTCTCTCTCCTAGCTGGAGTTGAAGCAATGATTACACGGTTCCCGCCGGTTTTTTTTTTCTTGTTTTTTTTGGTTCCCGGCGTTGTGCAAAAGACTGAGACGGAAAAACAGATGTCGTTTACGACAAAAGAAAGAATATGGACGAGAAGAAAAAAAAAGTTTTTCATAGCTGGTATTTCTTCTTTTTTCTTTCTTTCTTTCTCCAAAACGTTGTAAGTATACTTGTATTTGCATGGCGTATGTATGGTATGTATCTACAAGATAGAGAATGAATGTTTATATATGATTACTATTATTATATTTCCCCCACCCCCCACCCCCCCTTTTTTTTTGTTGCAGTTTGTGAACGCTGAGGAAATATCCAGTGTTGGATATTTTGTACGTACTGTATGTGAAATTCTTGCGTGTGTGTTTTGCTGCGTAAGTATAGCTGTGTTGATAAATGTTGTTTTGATTCAAATATTGAGTTATCGTGCTCGTTAAGTAAGTAGCAATAATGTGTGTGGGCCTCTGTCTCTGTCTCTGTCTGCCTTTCCACATACACATACATACACATACACACACACACACAAACATACCCTGGGCAACTAACATCCCTTTCATCCCGCGATACCCTTTGCTTCTCCGCGAACTTACACAGCATTTCTCGTCATGCATCACGCAATTTTTTTTATAAAAAAGTATTTCATTTTCAGCATACGAATCTACATCAATTAACCCCCCCCCCTTCCCAAAAAAATGAATCAACCGAGAATCAAGACATTATTTTTTTTCAATTGCACAGCACACGCCTACCTCAAGAGGAAGAAGAAGAAGAAGAAGAAGAAGAAGACACACGGATGAGTGGGTGTGATCAAAAGTCCGTCTTACCACCCATAACTTTAGCAGCATTAACAGCATTCATCTTGGAAGCCCAGCCCTGCGCAGGCACGATTTTGCGGACAGTGCGGACCTCGTCGGAGGCGTAGCCGGGGATACGGATGTTGTAGTTGCGCTCGAGGATGACTTGGATGTCGCGGATGTCTAGTTGGGGGGAGTCGCGGAGCTTGGAGAGTTTGCATGCGTTGCTGATGACGTTGTCGACAAAGTCGTCGGCGAGCTGGAGAACAGCCTGGGAAGTTGTTAGTGGGAAGGGTCAAGTTGGGGTTGAGGGAACGCTTACCTCTTCGACTTCGGGTGTGAGGGCTTCTTCCGAGCCGCCCGTGACTTGGCGGACGAGCTCGTCTAGCTTGCGCTTGCTGAGTACACGGTCGCCATCGCCCTCAAGCTGGAATGGTGGTGGTCGTGGGATGACGGGTTGGCCCATAGGTCCTGGCGCGCCATTTGTGGGACCACTCATTGTTGGTCGGGATTGGCCCATGTGTACGGCCTGCGGTGATGTCACATTCAAGTGGCGTGGAATTGGCATCTTGGGATTGTTGAGCTGCTCCCGTTCGCGACTGCCAAAGTTGCCGCCCTGTCCGCCTGGTTGCATGGGAGTGTTTGTGCGCTGAGGGTCGGTATAAGACCGGTTCGCAGCGCTGACAGCCGCTTGATGAGAGAGTGGAACTGGCGGGCCAGCTGTTGTTGCAGATTGCGGATGTGGTGAGTTGCTTTGGTGCGCATTGGCTTGCATGGGGTTGATCTGGGGTCGCTGTTGCTGTGGGTGGAAGTTTTGTTGCTGTTGTCCTTGCGCGAACTGAGGCATCTGGTTTGGTGGCATCGACTGAGAATGAGGACCCGGCGGTGGTCGAGCCTGTTGTTGTTGCGGCTGCTGTTGCGGAAGTGAAGGAGGCATCTGCGGGTTGTGCTGCTGCTGGGGCTGTTGTGGCTGCTGCTGCTGGTTTGCCTGGTTTGCCTGATTTGCCTGTACGTTGAACTGTGGTTGTTGCTGAGGTTGAGCTGGCTGTTGTTGTGGTTGTGGTTGCGGCTGCGCTTGCTGGCCGCCTTCAATCTTGATTTGAGGCTCTTCTTTTATCTGGGGTTGAGCAGGCGCGTTAGGCTGCGACGGCTGTCGTTGAGGCGGCTGCGGTTGATTCTGAGATTGTGGTTGTTGTTGTGACTGCTGCTGCTGCTGGGGTGGCGGTGATTGTGCTTGGTTTTGCGCCTGGGCCTGGCCCTGCGGATTCTGCTCGCGCTCTCCCTTCCACTGTTTTTGCAGAGCTCGAAACTTGTCAATCTGGGCCCTCATGTTTGCGTGCTCCTTTTCAATCTTGGCCTTCAACACCAGTAAATCCTGTGGCAACTCTTGTCCGTTATTCTGTCGCTCGCTCAGCTGTTGCATAAGCTTCTTTCTGTTCTCGTTGAGGGACGCCTGTTTCGCCAACATGTTCAAATAGCCAGTCCGGTATTCTTTCAGCTTGACCTCATACTCGGGCGTGCCCGGCGAAGGCCCATTCAACGGCCCCTGCATGGGGAAATCTTGGACGTGCTTTACTATAGCAGGATCCACTTGGCCGCGACCTTGATTTTGGCCTTGGTTAGATGATTGTTGCCCCTGCGACTGTTGGCCCGATGCTCCCGCGGCGCCTTCGGCCCCCCGGTTGGGAGCCTGGCCACCTTCCTGCTTGACGGTGTTGGAGTTTTGCCCAGCCGCACTAGATTGGCCTGCTTGTCCCTGGTTTCCCTGTTGCTGCTGTTGTTGCTGGGCCTTCAATTTGGCTCGGTGTTGACGTTCGCGCGTAATGAACTTCTGCGACGACTCTGCGAGCTTTTGGCGGGCATTGGTGTTTTCTTGACTGCCTACCGGGTGCTGGTTGCAAATGGTCCAGAAGTTCTGCATGATTAAGCGATACTTTTGCTTCTCATCTTCGGGAAGACACTGTAGCTTGAGGATATCATCGGGGCGCAGTAGCTGTTGCTGTTGTGGCTGCTGCTGGCCGCTGGGCTGCTGTGGCTGGTCGGTCATGGTGAGGGCTGCGGACTCCCGAACCGCGCGATCGAGGTTTTCGAGGCTGTGTGCAAGATGTGCTCGGGGCAGGTATGGTTGGGCGAGTCGCGTGCTTGGTGCGATTGAACGAATGCGCGCGCAGAGAGATGGGGTTCCGCGTGTGAAGTTTGACGACCGGAGGGAAGAGGATTGGGGTTGTGGTTCATGGAGAGCCAAGCCACCAACCCCAGTGTCGCGCGGTTGTACAACAGCACGTGCACGCGTCTTTTCCACACTTTGGACCAGAACCATGAACAGAGAGGCCATATAACCCCAACAAATATATTGGCATCGCGTTGAAAATCCGTCTCATATCACTATTCTGACGCGTCTGACGACCGATTATCCTCCACTGTTGTCTTTCCCGCCTCTGCCTTCGCCAACGCCCGCTCCCGAGCATTTCTGACCTCCCACTCGAACTCCTTGAGTGCCCTGAGCTCGCTACCAACAAACAGCAGCCCCATCAGACCGTCAATGACGCCCACACTGAGCCCCAGTGTGCTCAAAAACATCAATATGAACGCGACAAAGTTCCTTGGTGACCACCATACACCAATCAAACACCCAATCGAAAGGGATAATTGGTAGAAGAAGTGGCCTATGCGCAGCTTGCGCTGCACCCGCTCCCGATCCTGGTACTTGACTGTCGTTGCCAGGATCTCATCGTACGTTTCGATGGGCAAATAGCGTTCCGGCAGAGCCCAAGGCGACAGCGGGACAGCTGACGGCGCAGTCGAAGTCCTCGTCAGTGTTGCCTCCACAGAGAAGTGGTCACTGAGAGAGCAGTGGAGTGTAGGATGGCGCATTTCCATGCCCACATTGGCTTCTTTCAGCTCCCACTCGGCCATCTCCTCGTTTGTCTCTGGGTTATGAGTCCTTCCGCTGCTGAAGAAGATGTAGTCGAGCCGCTTCGCATTGGGGTCTGGAACAGCAGGATCAATCTGCACATTTTCGCCCTTAGCAAGACGCCTCTGCTGCCCCTTGTTCCACCGCCAGGAGTTTAACTCGCTGTCACACGTCGCCCCGTTGATAGTCATGTTGAACTCAGCAGACGGGATTGGGACGCCTCGGAGCTTTTCGACCTCGTCTCTTGCTGCACCGATCGAAGACTCGGGATGTAGTATGCGCCATACGTCACGGACCGGCGAGTGTGTCTCTATAATGCGGTGTGCGAGGGATAGGGGAATCATGTTGAAGTCACCCATGCCGATGACAAGGTGTCCGCGTTCGGCGGCTGCACGCATGAGTTTCGTGATTTCCCATGCTTGGGCTGTTCGGTGGCAGAGGTAGGAGTCGTGGGGTTCGCGTTCGTAGGGGGCGTGGAGCTGCTCAGGTCAGTGTGTGCACTTGGAGTCTTCGCCAAAGGGATTGGGGACAGACATGTGTACAGAAGACCTCTGCAACATCTCTTTGCGAAGGGCCCATTTGTATCCTTGCGCAAGCCACGCCTTTGCCTACGAACCAGTCTCCTCGGTAGAAGGCAGCAGGCCGTCCGTTGAGCGGATACCGCACCATGTTACTCTCGATGATGGGCCATCGAGATAATATGACCAGCCCGCCGCCAAAGATTCCGCTGTGGTAGAACTTGCCATAAGGCAGTATGTGTTTTGTTTTTTCACGAATCGCATGGTAGTCTTGCTGCGTCCAGCACTCTTGCAAGCCGACGATATCTGGTTGCTGACTTGCGGCGGCGATCTGAACACCGATTTCTGTGAGGCGCTCGTTGCGCAGCTTGGAGATGAACTTGAGGCCCCAGCAGTTGAGGGAAAGAAGTCGAATCTTGGAAGGTGGCTGGATAGCTTGAGAAGTCATGGCGGGCGCGTACCTGGAGAATTGGGAGGACAAGCAATGATGCAACCGGGGGAAATAGTTCCTGGGATGCTGCAGGGGTGCTGGTAGACCGCCCGGACGCTAGCAGCCATATTGCCGGCCAGGCGCGTTTTCCCAATCCAACACCAAACATCTTCCTACTCTGCATTTCACAATGGATGGCACTCCTTCTCCTTCACCCAAAAGACGGCGTGACGACGACGACGGCTACGATGACGAACGACCGCGCAAACGCTCAGCATCCCACACACCACCCAATGCTTCGCCCAGCTACAGACTAGCTGAACGGCCTGCGCGCCGGTACAGCAGAGACAACAGCGAGGACGACCGACGAGACTATGCAGAAAGAAGGCGGTCCTATTCGCGATCCAGATCACGCTCACCGCGCTCGCGGTCCTCATCACCAAGTCGGCGGCGCACTTCTCCACGACCACCACCAAAGCCAGCTTCCCTCAACTACGCCCCTACGCTTGTTCTGCGTGGCCACAAGAAAGGCGTAACCTGCGTCAAGTTTTCTCCCGATGGCCGATGGCTCGCCTCTGCATCCGCCGACTGCACCATCAAGATCTGGGACGCTAGGACCGGCGAACTCGAACACACCCTCGAAGGCCACCTCGCGGGTATCAGCACAATATGCTGGTCACTGGATTCCAAGATTCTCGCGAGCGGCTCCGACGACAAGAGCATCCGACTCTGGGATACAGCAACGGGGCTAGCACATCCCACTCCATTCATCGGGCATCACAACTACATATACAGCATAGCGTTCAGTCCAAAGGGCAACATGCTTGTTTCGGGCTCCTACGACGAAGCAGTCTACCTGTGGGATGTGCGCGCCGCTCGGGTCATGCGCTCTCTACCCGCACACAGCGATCCAGTCGGCGGCGTCGATTTCGTTCGGGACGGCACACTCATCGTCTCGTGCTCGCATGACGGCCTGATCCGTGTCTGGGACACAGCAACTGGCCAGTGCCTGCGCACCCTCGTCCACGAAGACAATGCCCCCGTGTCCTCCGTCATCTTCTCGCCGAATGGAAAGTACATCCTAGCCTGGACCCTCGACTCGTGCATCCGACTCTGGAACTACATTGATGGAAAGGGCAAATGCGTAAAGACGTATCAAGGGCACGTGAACAAGAAATACTCGCTCCTGGGAACCTTTGGAACGTATGGCGATCGCCGAGCTGGGCAGGAATATACTTTTATAGCGTCTGGAAGTGAGGACAACACCGTCGTCCTCTGGGACGTGAGCAGCAAGAACATCCTCCAACGACTCGAGGGTCACTCAGATGCTGTGTTGAGCGTTCACACGCATCCCACAGAGAAACTGATTGCCAGTGCGGGGCTAGATCGTACCGTGAGGCTATGGAGACCGAAAGAAGGCGCAGTCGAGGCCGAAGAGAAGAAGGCAGACGGGCACAACGACGCAATTGTTGAGAATGGCATCAAACAAGAGGAAACCAACGGCTACGACCCCGATACCTTGCCTCCGAACCCTTTCATCGAGGCCTGAGCGCAAATTAAATAGTCGGGAAAAAAAAGTTAGATAATGGAAAATGGGGGGAGGAGACGAAAGACTTGGATATAGTGAAGTAGGTAATTTAAGATACCCCAGTACCAGTTTGTTCAGATGTAGAGTTAAAAATATTGTCCAAATTCTCTCTCTCTCTTTCTCTCACACAAATGTATGATCACCCCTTCAAAAAGCATACATCAAGGCGGAATGAATGCCATGCCCTCTTTTTTCGTTTTGGGTATTAAAAAAACCCCCCAGCCTTCCCTCGAACGCCCATTGTGATTCATAACAAGGATCCCGATAGAGGAAGAAAAAAAACGCCATGTACAATGCCCATCTCTTTACATCTCAAACAACATGTCTTTCCTTTGCCGTCGTGCCTTTCATTCGTCTAGCTGAAATGGATACCCTCTTGATTAAACGCATACAGCAGCTTCAAAAAGTCGCCTTCGTCACACAGCCTCGCTCTTTTATCCGCAAGCTGCGTCTCATCTTCCAGGACCTTTCTAACCTTTTCCCTGACCAGCTCCGCGAGTCTGCCCTTGCGCTTGCGATTCGCGCCGTTTCTGTTCTTCTTGCCCTCAGCTTGCAGCTGCTTGAAGAAATCAGGCAGCTCATCGTCTGGGTCATCTGGGTCAGAGAAGCCCTTGAATTCGTCGTCTACATCCATGGTTTCGGCCTCTTCAGCGGCTGCGATTTCGCTGGGGTCGAGCGGGGTATCGTCGATGGGGATGTCGTTTTGCGCGCAGTACAGACGGTAGTTGCTAGTGAGGAGATCGAGGACGGCGGCGGTGCCCATGAAACTCGCGCGCAGAGTCCTGTTCTTACGCACGAAGCAGATGCGCAGCAGGCCGTCCCATTCCTCGTAGGCGATCTGCGGCCGTGGGTTCTTGGGTTCGATGCGCACCACGTTGCTTTCGACTTGCGGCGGCGGGTTGAAGTTGTTACGCCCGACTTTCATGACGTGCGAGACTTTGGACCACATTTGCACGTTGACTGAGAGGCGCGAGTAGAGCTTTTCGCCCGGTCGCGCAAAAAGGCGCATAGCGAATTCGCGCTGAAACATGAGTACGCAGCAGCGTGGTGGGTGTTGCAGCGCCAGCAGCTTAAACACCAAGGGCGAACTGATCTGGTACGGTGTGTTGCTAATGCATACGTCGAATCGTGGCAATTCGGCCTTGATTACATCGCCCAGTCGTATTGTAAGTCTCTTCTCTTCGGGTGTGCCTTGCACTCGCTTTGTCAATTCGGCTGCCATACGCGGATCCATCTCGACGGCTGTGACTTGCTTTGCTACCTTGAGTATCAGGACTGTCAGGTTACCGGTACCAGGACCGACTTCCAGGACGTGGTCGCTTTGCTTGAGGTGCGCTTTCTGGACAATGGCTGTCGCGACACCGGGGTTCTTCAGGATATGCTGACCAAGGTCCTTGTCCATTTTGAAAATCGAATGCGCCGCGGCGGCTGAAGTTGGCTTTGCGTAAGGAGAGACATTGCTGTCGCCGGCTTTGCTGCGCTTTTGCTTTGCTTTGGGCATCTTAGGCGGTCGTGGGTGGGCTTCTCGCTTGTTCCGTGGAGTTGATATGGGTGGTATTGGCTCTATGTTATAAGCGGCACGATATCTAGGACACCGCGACTGCTCTGTCAAGCGTCTGTGGTGCTACGAGGAGGGAGTGTAGTTGGCGACAATGTTGGCGTCGGCTGTTGGATGTGGGGACAATTTTTTGGATGTTGCGGACTTAACGCGGGGTTAGCAAAGAAAGGTGAGCTCGCGTCTCTGCTAAACGCGTCCTCGGTCAATGACGTCTGGCCGTCTTTCCTTCCACCATCGCATCAATTGCTCATACATTTCATTATTTTCGTATGAGACCCGAGTGCATGCAAGCCAGAAATCTTGTTTTCTTTTCCCTGCGCAGTCGCTCTTTTGCCGTTTCCATTCATGCTCGCTCTCTCCTGAATCACACTGCGTCGAAACCGCGCTCCTCGTTCGCCTTTTCGAATATCACCAACATTCAGCTGCAGCGTCATTTTTCGTACCAAAGCTTGCGTTTTACTACTTCTCGCAATACGGCATTCGCTCGGCCCCTCCTAGCACCGCCTTCTTTGTCCGGAATATCACAAAGAAACGTCTCGGAAAATGCGATCAGGGGCGCATTGAGCAATTTCTCTCACCGGCTACACATTCGATCTTGTCTTCACCACTCTCGCTTCCTATCCTCCGCTCCTTCCGTTCGCACAAAATACTTTTCGCCTCATACGCTTGCGCATTCCCGCACTCAACATTCGGCCATATCAACCGTCTCTACCGGCTCACAGACCCCACCTACAACCGACAGCGATTTTCCAGCAATACAAACCATGGCCAAGAAACTGAGGAACACGTCTTCTGACTCTTCACTTTCGCCAGTCCCGGACAACCTTGTTTCAGCGACCGAATCCGTTGCCGCTGTCCAGCCGGTAAGCAATGGCAAGAAGAGAAAGGCAGAGACAACGCCGCGTACGAAAAAGACCACGGTACAACACACTGCCATAGAGGATACTGTCACGCCCGCCACTGAGTCACCTCGGCCTAAGAGGCGCGCTACGAAAAAGGTGAAAGTCGAGCAGGAGACAGACGAAGAAATAGTTGCTCAAGAAAGTGATGGCAGCGAAGGCAAGCCTGAGAAAATACCCCCAAAACGTGCCAAGGTTGTGAAAAAGACGGAAACGTCGGCCAAAACAAGCACCAAAATTATGACAAAGAAGGCCGACGATGACAAGGAAGCCAAGCCCAAGAAAACAACAAAGTCCAAGACCAAGATTGCGAAGGTTCTACCGCCCATTGCAGAGCGTACCAAGGATACCAAGCTGCGAGTTGGCGCGCATGTCAGCATTGCCGGAGGTAAGTTTTGGTCAAATTTATGATTCGACTTGACCAAGTTCTTAGCAGACATGAACTGAATATAATGATTAGGTGTACACAACGCCATCCCCAACGTCGTACACATTGGGTAAGCCTTTTAGTCTTTGCACATCAAGAACCCTGTGCTCCAAAAATCCATCTCTTACTTAGACAAGGCTAACTTTGCTAGTGGTAATGCTTTCGCCTTGTTCATGAAGAACCAACGCAAGTGGGAAACAGTCGATATGGATCCAGAACATGCACAGTTTTTTATCCAATGGTGCAAAGATCACAGTATAGACGCTGCAGAATGCTGCTTGCCTCACGGGTCCTACTTGGTCAACCTTGCACACCCAGATCCGGCACGCAAGAAGCAGGCCTATGATTCCTTTCTCAACGATCTATCGCGATGCCACAGGCTCGGTATTCGCTATTACAACTTCCATCCTGGCAATTCCAACGCAACTTCGCACGAGGAAGGCATCCAGATCATTGCCGAGAACCTTAACAGAGCTCATGCGGACCCACAGACTGGTAAAGTTGTTACGGTTCTCGAGACCATGGCAACTGTGGGCAATACCATTGGCGGTACATTTTCTGACATTGCAGACATTATCAAGCTTGTCAAGGATAAGAGTCGCGTAGGTGTTTGCTTGGACACATGTCATGTGTTCGCCGCCGGCTATGACCTCCGCACCCCTGAGGCGTATGCTGAAACGATGAAGAAGTTCGATGAAGTAATCGGCTTGGATTATCTCAAGGCTTTCCACGTCAATGATAGCAAAGCTCCTCTATCCAGCCATCGCGACCTCCACGCTCGTATCGGCACTGGCTATCTTGGGCTCCAATCGTTCCACAACCTGATGAATGACGAACGCTTCCATGGCCTTCCAATGGTTCTTGAGACGCCGATCGACGTTGTTGACGAAAACGGCAAAAAGATCGAGGACAAGGGTGTTTGGGCCCGCGAAATCAAGATGTTGGAAAGTCTTGTGGGTATGGATGTTGACTCTGAAGAGTTCAAGACGCTGAGTGCACGTCTTCAGGAGGAGGGTTCTGCTGAACGCGAGCGTGTCGGTGACCAGGTGCAGAGGAAGGCAGTCAAAGATGCAAAGCCAAAGAGTAAGAGAGGGGCCAAGAAAAAGACAGAGAGTGAAGATGACGATGGCATGGAAGAATAGGCACGAGGCCCGTAGGACTGCTGACTGGCGCCACCAACAGGATATGACGCATGTGGATCCGTTCGATCAAAAGCAAAGATTCAGCTGAAACGGATACAATATACCAGTGCCTCGGCCCAGTTTCGGAACCGCTAAGATCGGAAGAAGCGTGTGTGATGCATCAAGCCCAGAAGACTGGGATATGGGGCGGGTATGATTTCATGCATTTTAGCAGCGAATGCAGACGGGCTGTGTCTGCCAAGCTGATGCGTTGTACATGTTGGATCGAAGAGCTGTTTTGTTGTTTGTATCATGCAGAATGCAGAGTGCAGGATAGCAAAAGGGTCACTTCTCCGCATACACCAATTCGGCATCTCCACAATATCATTCCAGGCACACTCACACTGTATCTTTTCTGGATCTACCTGGCTTTCTCCAAGATTGGGTATCAAGATATAAAAACAAACCATGAGTATGACGCCATTAGATCAATACACAAGTTCAGTAAGATATACACGTTGATGGTGTAGGCCATGCTATACTCAGGCCCCCTGTATTTAACTAGCTCACTTCACGATTGGCAGATACTCATCAGTGGTTGAGGATTGATAAGAGTGTCAGCAAGCTGACGTCCTGAGCGCTAATCTCATAGGGGGACATGAGGGCAGTGCAGTGCATTCGATAGTGTGTCGAGGTAAGATACCGAGGCTCAATCTTACAGACAGCCGTGTCAGGCTCACACAGTTGAATCTTTTGGAACAGATGGTCCTGGTATGCCTGTCGTTAAATTATCGTCAGTAAGGTTGCGTGGAGTCCGGAAATAAACGACTATAGATCTGGGATTGGTAATGCAACCAAGCTTCGCCACAATCCTCCCGCAACCACTGGGGACAGACTTGTGGGGTCACGAGGGGCATTCTCTGGCCCTTACGTATCGAAAGAAGGCCCAGAGGCAGACCGTCCCAATGGCCACTGTTGTATGGCGTGACGGGCCTGGCGTTGAGGATGCCAATGGCTACTCGACTACTGTGACTGTGGACGCGTTCACCCTCGTAGTAACGACTGGCGGACCCTCATTGCCGTTACACGGCATACGAAGCCCTTGCCCCAGCCATTCCACGGCAGAGTCATACTGCAGGTGTCTTATCAGCCCTACAGGCGGCCATGCTCTTACATCATTCTGGCTGCGTGTGGTGCATCGGCACGCCCGTTGGAGAGGCACTAGGTGCCGCGAAGGGTAAGTGCTCCACACCTTGGGAGCCTCGGATTTGTCCGAACGAATAACGGATGAAATTGCCGTTTGCATGGTGCTTCGTGGCCGCCGTTCCCGCTACACCTAGCCCTACCACTACTGTATGCCTATGTCGCAGACGCGGCAATCTCGTGCGGTGAAGCAGCCACGCAATGATGGCGTGTGGCTTGTGGCGCATGCAATGAGGCAGGCCGGGAATAGCATCGTCACGGTGAGGGAAAGCCACCAGCAAAGCCAACTGGATGGGGCCAAGTGCACGCCCACCGAGGCTCCATGGAGATGCTGGGCGGCTTGAGGGGGCGTGGTGTGCATAGTTTCTAGCGGCTTGGCACCGTGTGTCGCCCTTGCATCGGCCCTTCCGCTGTTCGTCTACACTTACATTACACCAGCCATCTGACCGACACGCAGCGCTTCCGGCGACACTTCTAGCATCCGCTTGGAGCAAAATCCGTACCCGAGACCACTTCCTGGACCTCGTCGTCATATCCGGCCCAGCCAATCATTTGTGTTGGCGTCGTATACCCGTCAGAACTAGCCCAGTTGGGTTCTATGCTGCGAACACGTGAGTTGACGAGCTTCATCTTCGTCAAAACGCCCACCGCCAGTCTGGCGGGATGTGGGCACCCAGCCTTGTAGCACTAAGCCTTGTACGCAGCCACAATGTGGGAGCTTGTCCAGGAAGCGTAGGAGAGGGCTGCCATCCTGCATACTTCATACACAGCATCGTCCAACGGCCAGATGGCGACCGACGGGTGTCGACAGCGAATATTTTTGAATTCGTTTCCCTGTATTCTTCCTAGTTCCACGGACGCTGCCCAACGCACAACACAGTACTAACACGACGCACTGAAGGCTTTCGACAGGCGCCCCAGCGGTAAAGTATGGTTGGTGTCCCAAAAAGTACTGGGTGCCTCATCTGCCGGAAAAGGAAAATTAGTAAGTCCTCCGGGTCCCTTCACAGTGGAAACTTCTTCTGACCATCACCAGAGTGCGGTAAGGCTCATCCCAGGGCTCGGGCTCGCGCGCGACTCAAGCACCCTGACTAATAGCGAACAAGACGAAACCTGGCCAGCTTGCTTGAACTGCCAAAAGAACGGCAAATCCTGCCCTGGCCCCCCAGCACGACATACTTTCAGAGACCTCGGTCCTAGATTTAATCCCAGCTCTGCGAGATTTGCGGCAGACCAGGCCAGTGCACCAGCGGGTAAGCTGCGCCCGTCCAACACAAAGCCTGATGTTCACATGAACGATAGAACACCGAGAAAACCGCTTGACACAGCTCAACGAAAAATACGCCGAAAATGGCTCAGTTGTCCACAAGTTCAGGATATCGAACGGTGGTTCGACACTTCGAAAAAGGTCCCCGCGCTCAGTGTCTGCGAGTTTGAGTCCGCCCAAGTCTCCTTTTCTGAGACAGCCGTCGCCATCGCAAGATCAACAGCTCGCCTACGCCTTGATTGCAGCTACTCGAACGGGAAGTGCTGGACACCGAATGTCCGTCTTTGGATCGTTTATTCAAGAAGTCCCAGCAAGGATTGGATATAACCCCGCCCTTGACGCAGCCGTCACCGTCCTCGTAAACGTCCATTCATCGCTGGTCTATAAGAAGTCAGCGAACGAGATTGTTTCCCCCGAGCTCTACATCCGTGCCATCAAGACATTGCAGACATGTCTTGAACACCCCCAGCTCGGCCTATCACCCGAGACACTTTGCGCATCGGTCCTGCTTGGTCTGGTTGAGGTAAAGTTGACTCGTTCTAGACTCATCTTTACAAGCATACTCACCACACCAGGCGTTTGCGGGTCCACGGACGGGCAACAGATATCTGACGCACGTAGGAGGCGCGGGTCGATTAATGGAACTACAAGGTCCAGGAACGTACCAAGACACCTTCACAAAGGAGATGCTGCGCTTCAACCGAGGTGGAATAGTAGGTTTACTTCCCATGATCTATAAACGGGGCTATTATGAAAATAAGTTCTCGGTTAACACGTGGGCAGATCATAACTTGCATGTACGAGCGTAAACCGTGCTTCCTCGCTTCGCCCGGCTGGCGAGAAATCGCTTTCGACAAGACAGGGCTTGGATTCGACGATTGTCTCAACACTGACTTGATGCAATATATGGCTGAACTGCCAGGTATCTTCAACCAACTAAAAGAGCTGGGCAACCAACACGTCTTTCACCTTCCGCATAACATGAGCTTCAATTTTGACTCAAGTGAGAGTTCTCACAAATCTTTCTCTGGGACTCCCCCATCGTTGGACTTTTCTTCCGACTCTTTCGATGATATGGACTTCCTGGACGAACTACAACCCATCAATGCCCCCTACTCAGTCGACACAAGCTCGTTTGCCTGTCCATACGAACCTGCACGATCTGCCTTGCTGCACAAGGTACGTAATCTTAAGGCTGCCCTTCGAACTTTGGGCGAGCATATGAATGCGAAGCTCAGAAATGGTACCGTTGCTGCTGAGGCAATATCCAGCGAAAGTGATAGCCCCATACGCAACATCTATCACTTCAACAATTGGCGAGATATGACGGCATACAACTGCTTCTGGTCTGTCGTCATATTAACGAACAAAGTTTTAACACGGCTCTTGCCACCGTGGGACCGAACTGTATATGATCTGCAATGCGAATGCCGATCCCTTGCTCTGGAGATCTGCAAGACATGGGAGGATGCTTGGGCTAGCAGGCCTATCGGCGCATTTCATACGGGCCTCAGTTTCGTCGTGGCGTATGAATACTGTACGACGGAGGTCCGGCAGTGGATCATCAGAGCTTTGAATTCCCTTCTGGACTACCAGCAGGTCGATGCATTCCGCTGGTCTGATGAAGTCATTACCCACATGTCTTCTAAGCTTGCTGGGGAAGGACCAGATCTTGCGTTCTCCAACATTAGGGTCTCAGGAGAAGGGACTTGAAGGAAGTGGTTCTCGAGTTCAAGATACACCAAAGCGACCAACATGTTCCGATCCTCCAATGCCGGTTTCAGATGAGAACATGATACCGGGCCGCGGTCAGTAGGGATTGCCTAGTGGATGTACGACAAGATACTGTCTTACTCGCGTTCTTACTTGCATGCGACAACTAGATGTGCAACCATCAGTCCTATATGCGTCGTAGAGCCGAAAACATCACATAGCTCTCGTGTCGGTAGTTGAATGCTGACCTCTCTGCTCCACATGGATACCGGGCTCTTGGAACGGGCAAGCCACGGCGGTTATTGCACGAATATCCAACCGTCTCATTTCGGTGGATGCACGCAAACAACAGGATCTGCAACACCCACTTCTTTTGACAAAGCCTGCCATGCTTACTTTCGGCATTATTACGAAGCAACTTGGTCATATCGCCGAGGTGGCTCCGCGCCCCCGCTGACTTGACGCGGGCTGACGGCCCGTAGCGAGGCCGAGCGGGATGGAGTCATGCACAGAGCACATGTAAGACGAGACTAAGACAACGCCAAAAATACGAAGTTGGCAGTGAAAGAAAAAAAAGAGTTGTTCTTCTAATCGCGATCTTTTATCAGCGTTGTAACATCACGTGTCGCATCAAAGTGGGATGTAGTTTTTCCTCTTCTTCTCTGTTTCTCGTTGTATCAGAGTAAATCGCCGATTCTGTAAAGTGAGAGAGGAAGAAAGAACTAAAGAAAGAAAAAGAAAAAAAAGCGAACACAAGGAATTGCTGCGACTAGTGCACGAGACATCAGGAGGTTAAAAAATAAGCTTAGACAGGGAGAAAAGGGGAATATATTCAAAAGCAAACAGCGGAATAATACAATGACTTTGTTTCTAGAAGGAGAAAAGTAATCCAAAAAAAGAAGTCGCCGCGCCAACGCACACACATACGGACCACGCTCCGTAGCAGCTGCAACATGATTCTCTCTTTTTTTCTTCTTTCTCTTATTCTTTTTGTTTTTAACCCTTTCACCCCGCCATGCCCAATCAACTCTCCAATCTCCATCCTCAAGACCATCATGTCTGAATACCACACCTCTTCTTGCACTCGGCACTCCCGATGATAGCGCCGGTGCCGACAAACGGGATCTGACTGCCGACGTCCTGCGTGTTGAGCGACGCATCGCCGAAAGCAGCGCTGATGATGTCCTGTGGGACGGACCACAGGCTAGGTAGGATGTTCAGTGTGCCGCTGTCGTCGGTGTTGAGCGAGGAGAGGAGGAGAGAGGGTTCGCAGTCTGTGGGTTGGGGAAAGAGGGTGGGGTTAGTTGGGGTGTGGAAGTGGGGGTGGATGTTGAAGGAAGGGTAAGTAAGCCCAAGGAAGGAAGAAAGAAAGGAAGAGAAGGTAGTGATGCGCAGAGATGAGTAAACCGTAACAACCTCCATCCCAGGAAGGAAAGGCAAAAAATCAAAGAAGGCGGAGGAGAGCAAGAATATAAAAACATACCATTATTCTGCATCATATGCAGACTCGCCTGCGGAAACACCGTCACCATCAACGGCAGCAAAGTGACGATTCTCACGCCAACGCCATTCTCGCCAATCATGTACGTGGTGGTGTTTCCCGTAATCGCCGTGACCATGTTGGTGGCGCGCGGATGCAGGTGTGGGGGCAACATGCCGCAGGGCGCGAGCTTGAGCAGCGCCACGCTGGACCCGAGGCCCGTGACGGCGGGGAACGTGGCGGCGTCGGCGGTAATGACGGCGCCCGTCGCCGAGTTGTAGTTGGGGTGCTGTGTGAAGTCGTAGGTCCAGTCTGCGGCGCGGGGGAGCAGCGCCGCGCGGTCAAAGGCTGTGGCGGCGGTGCGTAGCGCGGCGTTGAGTTCTGGATGCAGAGTACGTGATTTAAAGGTTTCGGTTGTGCTGGCCGTGGTGAGGAGGGCGAAGGACAGGAATAACAGGTTGGTGATCATTTTGATGGTGACGAGGTGGGTTGGATGGGGAGTGGTAGTGATGGTAGGAAGGGAGTATCAGATGCCAATGGCTGGGGAGATGAACGGTAGTTTGTTGAGTTTTATGATCGTAGGTAGGGGGAGTGCCCTTGATATAGCTTGACGACGAGAAGGTATGTTGATACTGGTGGTCTCGTTTACCCACGGCGTTTGTGTTGGCAGTCTGCAAAGCTGGAAGGGGGGGCTACAACAAGCCCTTAGTCCCAAAGCAGAGTGTGATAAAGTTCACCTGATGGTAACTGGAAGGGGGTGATTAGAAAAAAACTGGAGGCTGTGCTGACTGCTTTGGGGGCTAATATAGATTGATTTTTGGTGGATGAGTAAAGTAGTAAGCAAAGTTCGGGGTTGTAGTTTTGCGATCCTACACGAGTCAAGCCTATGTATGCGCGCAGACTTATATAGAAGAAGTGGGGCTGGCAAAGGCAAGGCAGACGCCCCAAGGAAATTCGGCGGTGGAGAGAAGATGGGCTTGAGAGAAGGGAATGGTCGAGCTGCTGACCGCTCAGTCTGCACTCGTTGTCGTAGGCTTCCAAGCCACTGTTACTCTTGCTTGGTGGAGGCGGTCATCAGAAAGGATGACCAGTCATTGGCCTGTTCCTGGATACGGGCTTCCCTGTCCTGACTTGTTTGGTGACCGAGTTCCAGGTATATTCTTCCAAAATGATACTGTGCTTACGACATTGTTGCTCCCGCTGGGAAAGTTAGAATTTAAGCTTATCACTTACAAATTGTCGTAAGATGAGCCTTTGCGGATCAAACCACCAAACACGACTACCCTCCTGAGGTACTTAGGTACTTAGGTACATAGGTACCTCTTACCTTCTTCCCTTTGCAAACTTGGTCTGTGAATAGCTGTTGGAGATTGCGACCATGTGTGCCACAGCATTGAACCGACAACCAGGGTAGAGCAAAGCCTGGCCAGAATCAGCTGAGATAGATTGCTGTATCATTATCTGTAGAGCGTATTGGTCTGTTCGAGTCTTTGTGCAAATGCGCTCGTAACCGAGTGGGGTTGTAAGTGCGTGATATTGATGCTGCCGTCACCCAAGCTGTGCTGCTGCGAGCTTTACTTGGTCAGAGACACCAATCTTGTGTAACCGGACATTGCTTGTGAGCGCTGCTTGAACAGTGAGTTTGCTGTTGGAGATGATTGGGCCAGCATAGATGATGGTACATTGAGCCGTAGTCGTAGGTCTTGTGCTGCCCGTGGTGCTCCAAGCTGCCATCAGCAAGCGTCTGGGAGCACTGACCATTTGACAGCCGCCATCAGGCGCCCAGGCGGCACAGACTGCCTAGAAAACGCCACAGTTATGCTCGACGAGGCGAAGTCTTTTGTTGGATGTTGGTGAGCAACGTTGATATTCTTAGTGATACCGTCGGCCTCAGAGCTTGCGCAGGTGATTGTGCCAGATTCAATGACACCCAATGGCACCGAAGATAGGCGTACAGACGAAAGGGCTCACGTGGACCATGCCGGTCGCATCATGGCTGTGCAGCATGAGCCTTATCAACTCAAGCAGCTGTGCATCAGCATCTTGCAATTGTCTTTTTCTTGTAGTCTTGTTATACCTTTTTCCTGGTCACTAGTCAGACAACTGTCACCGAAAAGAGGTGTATTGTCAAAATCAACACTGCTTGAGTTAGCGCAATCTGCAAAGTAGGCACATTTTAGTGTCATTCTTGGAACGTATTGCGACACGAAGCCTTGCTAGTCCTGCCACATCTAGTTCGGCGTCTCATGTAGACGGGTACAGAGCGTTGACGACTTGGAAGAGGGGCTGAGCGCATATGGGTCGATCAAAAAGTTTGTGTCATTGCTCTCAGGCTTAGATGCCGCAAGAATCGCAGGCCTCCAGCGCTTGATGAGTCTCCCAACCCCATATCCACGACTGATGCCAATCGGAAATTTCGTATTGTGATTTCGCTCGTGGGCGGTACAGGAGGTATGCCAATTGCGGAAATTCCGTCACCTGTTCGAGACAGCATCTTCGTGGCTTTTCTTTTCTGCACGCATAAGATAGGACATGATGCCCCAAACCCCTCTCATAGCTTCGGTGCGGTCATCGATGTTGAACAAGTCAAACCATCTTGTCCTCTGCAACTTTGGCGAGCACCAGTCGGCTTCTGCTGGCGTTTCAACAGGCAGTTTACCTTCTGTAATATATTCCAGGTATGCCGGGTGTATGCGAAATCTTAGCAGGCTAATATGGTGGTTCAATGACGAAACCATGAAGATCTAGAATGTCGGATCAGCAATCGAGCCTGATCAACTTGTCGCACGAAGCCCTACATCGTCCCACTTGACACTTTTGTCCTTACCAATGGCCTCGTATGTCACCTTGGGGTCCCAGAGCGGGTTTCCTGGTCGCAGCGTCTTCCAGACTTCAGCTGGCGTTGGCCTGCGACGGGCTTTTGAGCCGTCTCGATTTCTCTCAAGAGGCTTCTCCTCAGGCTTAGGAGCTGCATCCTTTGCGAGGATCTCAGTAGCTCCAATAGCCTCACCCACTTCGCCTCCAGGACCGCCGCCCCAGCGCGGCTTTGTTGTCCACCATTTACCCTCGCCCCCTCTCCGTTCTTTCTTTCCCTCTCTAGCTCTCTCTTGTGCAAGTAAAAGAAGCCCTCCTATCTCGCGCACAGCATCAAGAATGGACTGGGCTTCTAACTTTCCCGTTGCCCCAAAATTGACATCCGCTCTGCATTGCATGCCTAGTACAGGACCTTCTAAGCACCCCTGTCTAGCTTTCGTTCTGTCTTGCGGACCACGCCAGGCTACTGAGCTCATGCGAACAGGAAAGCGGACGTGCTCGATTGTGAGCACAGGCGGACGGCGGTGTGGGGAGAGCGTGACACCAAAAGCCCATGCGATGGGTTCGAGGAAAGAACGCACGCACTCAATGCGGTACTGATCCGGCATTTCAGCCCCGTTGCCGATACGGTAGCCCCGATATGAGCCTGGAGAATGATTCACTGGTGTACCCTCAGCTCGCATCCTTGCAGCTCTAAGGACTTCGAGAAGCTCAATTTTGTTCCGAAGTATACGATCGCCAGCACCTATCTCATGCGGCGAAAGTGTTTGAGAGCTTTTTTCAGTTCGGACTCGCATCGACGGTTTCTCACCTCCATTATCTTCCATCCTTGCCTTCTTACGAGGCTCTTCTGCACCGGGGGTACAGGCTCCCGGAGTTGTCGCAGAAGCCCGTTCTATATCAGTTTCATGTGTGGCTTGCTGTAGGTTGGCATCTGTAGAATCTGGTAGGGGGGCGGATGCTGTTTGTTCAGCATGGTTTGCTTCCTGATCTGACGGGAGATAGTCGTCCAAAGATGTATCCCAATAATATGCGACATTATCGAGGGCCTCCCAGAATTTGCGAAAATGAGCCAGCCGGACGGGCGGCTGTTGATTGCCACTGCTTTTACGCGTCAGAGTTGAAAAGGCATCTGCATTGTTGACAAAAAGCTCTCTTGCACGGACGAAGAAGTCTCGCTGGTCTGGTGGTCTCCTGCCATTGCTCAGAAATGCACCAGCAGCGCTGGCACCGGCAGCCGAATGGTGCTCTCCAGGGGCGTCGAGCCAGCATTTGGGAGGCAGAAATGACTCTGCATTGTTTGACAGAGACGACAGCAACGTTTCAAGGTCACATTCGGGCTGAAACGTGACATTTAGCAAGGCCAAGGTGTCCTTATCGACATCGGAAGGCTTCTTCAACTGCAGAAAACGGTCCGAGATGCTAACGCCTGGCTGGGACCAAGAAGCCGGCGGTGCTCGCGTCGACGGCTCGGGAGGTTGCAGGGCAGGAAACGTGACTGGTGTCGGTTTCGGTGGAGGCGACCTTTGTTTCTGCGTGTCATATTGCCCTGCCAGTAGGTTTCCTATGAACGAACAGCCCTGTATCAGCGACTAGATTGCACGTGCACTGCACGTCTCAGACGAAACATGTGTGAAATGCCCACCAAACAGACCAGGCTATGCAGGGCACCTTATAGCTGCAGCATCCGGCCAGCGCGCGAGGAATAGGAAGCAGCGTGCTATGGGCACAGGGTAGCAAAGAGGAGCTGCTGCATCGTGTGTCGAGATTTGTCCGCAATGCTTGTTGGTGATGGGAGTGCATTGGGGGGAGCGCTTAAACGGGGCCTCGGCATGTGCCCACGTGGAGCCCCAAGGAAACGGGAGGGGACGAGTGGAACGTGGACGGGCGACTTACCGCTGAAGCTGAACATGGCGGTGTGCTGGGGCTATATAGGGCGCTCTCGCAGGGCCTTGGGCTCGGGGAGGAGAAAGAAGGAAGCTGGGTGAGGTTGGGATGGGACGACGTCTGCGGACCTCTAAACTGGACGTGCGCACCCCGGGTGCAGCAGCGTCTCCACAACTGCATGCCACCAATGTGGACGTCCGCGAGCAGACAACGGGTGCGGCATGCTCAGGCAATTGTCTTGAATTGCGAGTCTGCAGTTTTGACAGCTGCTATGTGCCATGCGTGGCCTGGCTTGGCTGCCAAGCGCCATCAGAGCTCCTCCATGCGTGATCTCGCAGCCGACGGGATGCGCGCCGGCATCCACAGCGCGGGACTTGGCTGTGCAAAGAATCCAGGGAACATGCTTCCACGGGAGAAACCGTTGCATCGACATGATGGCGGGCCCTCTTGTCATGTCGGAGAGTCCATGTATGTGTATGTGCTGTGCCGTGCATGCTGCAGACAGGCCCGGGTCACGTGGCTGCACGTGGTCCCCCACCCTCCCCTCCCCTCCCCTCCCTGCCCCTCTCACCACTCCCCCCCCCCCGCCAAAGCTTGCCAACCCCCCTCACCACACAGCGGCCCTCGACACATCGGCCACGCCCATTCTCCTCGCCACCAAACACCATGGTGACGCCCGCAATCATGGCTGCCAGCATATCCCATCGGCTGGCTCGTCCCAGGGCTGAGACGGCGAGGCTGCCGGTGCTCAGAAACTGCGAGGCCTACGGCGCTTCATGTGTTGTTCGAAGCGCGACATGAAGCCGCCCACGTTTCAGACGCATACAAGCGCACCACAGCGTGCCAACGGTTGCTGAGAACCCGGCGACCCTCCGAACGGCCGCCACGGTGCTAACGTCGTCTCGCCGTTAACTATTCGTTCAAGACCGCCTACACGAATTGCTCCCTACTTCCTAGGTTAACATGCGAAGAGCATCCGCGGCGCTTGGGTCTTTTTTCTCTTAATCCTCATCTCCAAGTCCTTTCCGCCCTGTCTTTCTATGACTTGTTGCTCGAATGGCCTCCCCACCAGAGTCGATTACGACCGTGAATGGGAGACGATGCACACGTTCTCGGGCCCGGACGCTCGCCACAAGCGCACCACCATCGACTTCATCCATTGCGACGACTGCCGATGTCACAAGCTCGACTACCGTGCAAAACACGCCGCAAATACAGACCAGTGCTCCTGAGGCACTCTCCAAGCCTCCTCAACCGCCGTCGCTCCCGCCCCCGCCGTCGTCAGCACCACTTTCTCCACCATCGTCTCCTCCACCACCGCCCCCGCCGTCGTCACAACCACCATCGCTACCACCGCCACTAGCACCACCACCTTCAGCACAAGCGCCATCGTCATCGCCTGCACAGGCACCAGCATCGTCGTCATCGGCACCGCCAGCTACCTCTTCGACTCCGCCGGTGCCCGCAGAACCGGCACTCCAGGGATCGGCTGATGGCCTTGCAACGCCCACAGCAGACCCATTAGCAGGAACTTCGCTGACAGGTACGCTAAGTGCAGTCCCCACATCTTCCTCTGCGCGCATAAAACCACTTGCTCTTGCGTCTGATAGCCCTGCCACGGCTTCCTTGACTGCGCCTTCTTTGACTACGCCTTCTCTGAGCACGTCTTCTTTGAGTACGTCTTGTTCGGCTACGTCTTCTTTGCCCACGCCTTCTTTGCCTACGCCTTCTCGGGCGACGCCTTCTCTGAAGCAGCCAGCAAAGGCTCAAGCCACGGCTTCGGCCAAAGTGCCTTCGCAGGCTGCTGCAGTATCACCAGTTCGTCCTACGAGCACAACACCAACAAGCTCTGACACAATATCAACAGCTACCCCTACACAACCTGTTGCAACCGCGGGGCCGTCGGCTGGCTTCACTGGGCCGGCTGCATCCGACGCTGCCGGGTCTGTGGAGACGAACACGAACCCGGCGATTCCTCTCGAATCCATCACGAGTTCGCAAACGCCAGTTCCAGATTCTCCAGCCCTCGGTGAACCACGGCCAACGGTTTCCGCGACGAGAGGGTCTGCTGGCATCATTGCGCCCAGCCAGGGGTCGCCCGATGACGACAGTCCCTTGACCCTCGGAGCAAATGGAAATATCACAGGCGTCCTGGGAGGCGTCTTTGGTGGAATTGCCGGATTGGCCTTGATTATTGGGCTGCTCTTTCTTTACCTGCGTAAACGCAAATCAAGGCCAGTGAGATGGAACGAGAAGAGGCAAACCAACTCCAGTTTCCTTGAAAGGATAAGGACAATACCGACCGGACTGAGCGCATTTGTTGCAAGACTAAAAGGAACCCAAACCGGATCTACCAGCAACCCTTATCAGCGACACGTGCCAAAAGCCAGCGTCGACTCTCTATACGCAAGAGACGCCAACGGACGAGCTCGATCAAACAGTGAGGGGCAGGGCGTACTTGGCGTCCAGCGTGCGGGTTCCAACAACAGCAGGCCAAGCAAAGATGGCAAGAGGAACGGGCTTCGCCAAAAGCCAAGCAATGTGTCCAGCTATCGATTCCCTGGCATTATAGAGGATACAGGCTCGCCAAATCCATTCGCCGACCCACGGCAGACGAATCAACTCCTAGTACTCAACCCCGATCCACTTAGCACACCTGCGACACCCCAAAAGCCCGAAGCTACTGCAGATCCTGAACCAAGAGATCCGTTTGCATCTAGCTATGATCCACCAGAAGCGGCACCGGCTTGGGAAAAGGGCCATCAACGTGGAATGAGCTCAATTTCGGGGCACAGCTCACAAAATTCCTGGTCAATCTACACCGGCGACGACCCATTCAGAGATTCCTCGAATGTACCCCCAATGCCAAACCAGGCCGTGTTGCCTGGGCATACCCGCCGCCGTTCTTCGATGGCTTTGCCAAATTTCAATCCAGCTACGACATTCGATGCAAACTCGACTTTTGCGACCCGTGACTCTAGCTTTTTTTTCGGGGAGCCAGGGCCGAGTAGACCTGCAACCAACATGTTCACGCCAGCCTTGCCTACTCGTCGAACAATTCGGCAATCGGATCCGTTCGATCTTGACAGACCTGAAGTGCTCAGCTTTGGCAGCGTCAGCAGCGGAAAAGATTTCAGGGCTAGCTTCGGTCGACAGCCCAGCAGAAACAAACGCAACAGCAGCAAAGGGTTTAATTTTTGGACCCCTGCTGCAGACGGTACCTCCAACAACCCGGGTCCAGCGGACAGCATGAGACAGCCTGGCTGGGTTCCAGGCAGAGGAAAATGACGACAAAGACTGGATTTCACAGCAAGAGAAAACTAACGCACAAGCTGCTGCCAAGGAGCGCACAAGATGCGGTACATAATGAGCAAACATGTTGTTGCACGATGATTTTTATTTTCAACGATGGCAGGAAGTATTCCGCGGGTTCCATCATGTCCTTCTTTTCTAATATGTTTTTTGTTGCAACCACGACCATCATTACCAGCATGACCACCAACACTGCATAGCGAGATTTTTTCTGTAACATACATGTCCGACATTTTTGTAGCGTAAAATACCCCTCTTTGAGTTATACTGGGAACATCAAGGTACGATTCAAAAACAAACAAACAGAGCCTTTTCGGCATTCCTACCCCTTGGCCACTATGTAAATCATACGACGCGAGTGAGGGTGTGGCGCTTCTGGCCAAGGGATGGCCTTAATCTGAGGCAGCCTGGTGAAACGCTGGACTGAAGGGTTTGGAGGGAGGATTTGTCAATTCATCTGCCTCATTCCATGGAGCAAGAATGGCAAATGGCCAATGGCGTTTCGTTATGCGGTATCTGATAGAGTGTTATGCCTGCGCTAAGCTCAGACGAATATCTCACGGAAGAATCCAGTCCCACTCCTTGGGAGGCACGAACGAGCCAAAAAGAGCAAGGATGCAGTGGGTTGGATGCTTTGAAGACCGGAAAGAGGAAGCTGCGTAAGTGATGCCTAAGCAGAATATTGGCGCGATGGGCCAAGCGTTGCAACATACGAGTGTCAAGAGTGTCTAATGCAAAGTCGAAGAAAGAAAATAGATAAGAGAGAGTAATAGAGTACTGAATGGGCAAATGGGTATGTAATAATGAAAATACAAAGGGAAATCGTAGAGGTCGTGTAGACTAGATACATGGATAGAAATGAGCCATCAACGCTGGGGTATTACATAAATGAGCAATGTCGTAATTCAATATCCTCCTCTTTCTCCACACACACACACACACATGCAATGACTTGTATACAAAGCCAAAAAAGGAAAAGGAAAGGGAATCGGCAATTTCCACCACCACCAACCACCCACGTGCAACCTCTTACATCCACTTCTCCACATGCCTAAACGGTGGATACTTCAATGCGGATCCACCACGAGCGCCACCAGCAGTGGCAGCAGCACCCGCAGCCGCGCCACCTAGAGAGCCCCCGCCAGCGGATTTCCTCCTTACCCATCGGCCGCCGGCGGTGGCAGCCGCATTGCTGGCAGAGGCACTGGGGCTGGTAGTGTTACCGCCACTGGAGCTTGGCGCAGAGCTACTTACGCAGTCCCAGTCCCAGGGGACGTTGCGCCCGAGGACTTGGTAGCCCGCCACGCGTCTCAGGTTGTTTCTTCCTGGGCGGCCGTCTGTTTGCACGGTGCGGAGGGCCACGCGCGTTGTTTCACGGACGGTGGTAGGGCTGCGGCCGCTAGGCTGCATGATTTGAGTATGGTAGATTGGTTCGCGGGGCGATGCGGGGGCGCTGGGCGACGACGGGAAAAGGGGTGATGTGTCTGTGGGCGGGGATGACGGCGGAGACGAGCATGACGCTGGTGTTGATGACGATGCTGACGACGATGGGCAGGGTGACGACATGCTTGGTGTTGCTGGTACACACGGACGCGTAGGAGGAGGTCGTCTTGATGGCTCCCGTGACGGCGGCGGTCCACTAGGTGACGCCGTGGACCGTTTTCGGCCTTCCCCGTGTAATTTGACATCCGTCATGTCGTCGGTTATGTCGAGGCTGCCGCGGTAGTGGTGGTGGCCGAGCCCTAGTCCAAGGCCAAGATGGTGCTCGCCGTGTACGCCTACAGGGTGCATGTGCAGTGGGTGCAAGTGCGGGTGCCTGTGGTGATGTTGCAGATGAGGATGTAGATGGGCGTGAGAGTGTTTCTCGTCTACCTCGACGTCGACACTAGGCACCTTGATGCGTACGTTGGTGAGCTGGGGGACTGCCGGATTATGGTGTACGCGAACGATGTCCTCGACACAGGAGGAATCGGACGTAGGCCGGTAACCTTTCTTTTTGCCTTTGGTGGGTGTGAGAGTGATCCAGCACATGATAGGTGCTTCTACGTGGTGCCGAGATATCAACTGCAGAGTCAACACGCGGCAGGGGGTGAAGACGTGCTGGGGGAGCGAGGCGGTGGTACGCAGTATGTGAGAAAGCTGGAGTGTATGACGATGGGGGGCGCGAGGGATGATAATATGAATGAGCTGTTTGATCGTGAGGACGGGGCATTCAGAAGATGGACATGAAAGAAAGGGCAAGACAACAGGAAGTAACTGTGTTACTTATTCTAACCACTGGCACAAGACCTTTTTTTGTACATATGATCAGCTCCTCTTTCTCCCGTCAAACTTCCCCTATGATTTGGTGTCCTTCTTCTATGTATATACCCACCACCATCATCGCCGCCTCTTGCATAGTCACCCGCTAGCTCCCATGGTGTAGATAGCATATGGTACTACCACGCGGGCGGCGCGTCTGCAGGCAGAGTAGAGGACGAATGAGACAAGTGTGAGTAAAAGCAGTGCCTGCATGATTAGTTGACGTACCTGCATATGGGTAGATGCAAACATGTGTTCCGGTCCGTTGGGCGAGTGACGGGCGCTGCTGAGGTCTGGAGACGGGCGCGTGGGTTGCCGTCGTTGTCTTAGAATGACCTCGAGTCTCAACACGGTTGGGCATGTGACGGTCCAGCCACAACATCTCTTTGTTATACCTTGCGGCAAAGGACGCTGTGGAGCCTGGTGACGTAGCTGACAGTATTTGGCCTCGTAACAGTGTCGCTAGGTACGTCCTTTTTTTTTTGCAGTTGAGCCTATGCTGTGGTAGTCCTCCGGTGCGTGTGGTGCCGTAAGCGTGGTCCTTGTGAGATGTCTGTCGTCACTGCTACTGCCTCTTATTCCCTTCTCTTTCGTATTCCAAGACCGCAAATTGCTCATGTGGGCTGCGCGCCATGGTAACAAACCAGTCTGCGTCATGGCTGCCTGTGCAGGCATAGAGACGACCAGCGCTATGGCATGGCATCGGGACAGGCTTGATGCTGGTTTGATGATAGGCGCATGATAACTGGGTGTATCACAGTTCGCAAAAGGTCTTACGAAACCCGATCCAAGAGCATTTAATTGATGATGCTTTGATCTGATGCTGGCGATGAGGTTGACGCGCCAGTGCGGAGTGGGAGGTGAAGGCAGCAGCTGGGACGCGGCTGGCCTTGGCATTACCGACAACGCCGGAGCTTGGAGCTCACATCACCAACCCCAAACAGCCAACACCACCCCCACGGCGACTATTCGATCACGCTCTCGATACCCTCTGATCGTCGCCCATACACACAGTCGCCGCAGCCATGGATTCATTAGTCTCACAGTACAGCCGACCGGCCTACACGGAGGAGGGCCCGTCCGAGGAGGAGCAACTGCAGCTCTACAGCGGCGCTCCAGAGCTATCTCTCAAGTTTGCCCTTCCACCCGTCGCCCAGGTGCGCACTAATATTCTCCTGGTCAATCACAAGAGCGCCGTGTACTGACGATAGCATAGTCAGCATCATGGCTCCGCGCAATGACCGACGACTACTCCAACCCAAACTGCCCCATCAAGATCGCCCACGGTACCACAACCCTGGCCTTTCGCTTCAAGGGCGGCATCATTGTAGCCACCGACTCGCGTGCCACTGCTGGAAACTGGATAGCAAGTCAGACGGTCAAGAAGGTCATTGAGATCAACAGCTGCTTGCTGGGAACCATGGCTGGTGGCGCTGCTGTACGTAACCTCCACATGACAAGGCCATGTTGGGAGAAAGGCTGTGTTTTGACATGTTGTAGGACTGCCAATACTGGCTTGCATACCTTGGCATGCAATGCCGTCTCCACGAACTGCGGCACAAGCGCCGCATCTCTGTCGCTGCGGCGTCCAAGATCCTGGCCAACCTGGTCTACTCGTACAAGGGCATGGGTCTGAGTATGGTGAGTTATGGCGCGCGGTTGTATCAAACCATCCATCTAATGCTGATGGACAGGGAACCATGTGCGCCGGTGTAACCCCGCAAGAAGGCCCCGCCCTCTACTACATCGACAGTGACGGCACGCGTCTCGCTGGCAACCTCTTCTGTGTTGGTTCCGGTCAGACATTCGCGTACGGTGTGCTCGACGCACAATACAAGTACGACCTTGAAGACGACGAGGCGCTCGAGTTGGGCCGAAGGAGTATCCTGGCGGCTACCCATAGGGATGCGTACTCTGGAGGTTTCATCAATCTGTACCACGTCAAGGAGGACGGATGGGTCAAGCATGGATTCAACGACACGAACCCTATCTTCTGGGAGACGAAGCTCAAGAAGGGCGAGTTCTCCAACGTTACAAGCGCGTTGGAGTAGGATCATCCTGGGCAGAGCACCTATCACGTCCATGGATTGTAGCAGTGACGAACGCTGTCGTTCAGCTGCTATATATTCACTATACCAGTCACGAAATAGACACGTCAAATGAAATGAAGAAACCCATGTACACTTCACGCACCGTGGAAAACAAACAGCATGTCTTTGCTTTTTTTTGCTTTGAACATCTTCATTACAGAAGTCCTGGGACTATGCAAGTAATCCTCTACATACCTAACTATGAAAACAAAGAGTCGCAGTCCCCATCCATATGCTGGGCATTTCCGGAAGTCAAAAAAAAGAGAGAAATCAACGCCAGAGCCCCCTCCCCCATACCCCCTTACACCTTCCCATACGATGGTAAATAAACCAGAAAAGAGAGAGAGAGAAGGAAAAAAAAGACAGGTGCGTGTGTGTATGGAAATGTATGTAAATAAAAACACACACCTTTGTTGTTTTTTTTTCTTCTTTTCCCACAGTAGCGAATCATCGGGGGGGTATAAGTAAAGTAAAAAAAACAGCTTTTTCTTTGAAAAAGAGAGAGAGAGAGAGAGAAAGAAAAGTTTCAAGGAACTGGGAAATGCAGTGAACTGGAGTGAAGTGAACCTAGTACCTGAGAAGAAAAAAAAGAAAAAAAAGAAAAACAGGATTTTTGGAAAGAAAAGTTCGAACGCGAGGAAGAGGAAGAGGAAGAGAAGAGATGGGATCCAGATGAAGGTTTTGGAGTCTGACGAGGGAGGGGAAAGGAAGGAGGGAAGGGGTTATGCCATGGGAAATGCGAAAGTCAATTGTGACTTTTTCTTCTTCTTCTTCTGTCTTTCTTTCTCTCGCTTTTTCTCTCTCGCTTTCTCCTTCTTGTTTTTCGCATACTCTTCTTCTTCCCCTGAATATGGTAATGCTCGTGGTAGGAGTAGTAGGAGTAGTAGTAGGAGTAGTGTTCAAACGGGCTTTTCAGGCGCCTCCACCCCCACCCCCACCCCCAAAAACAACTTGAAAAAGAGTGAAGAAACAGGAATAAAGGAAGAAAGGAAGGAGGTAAAGAATCCTTCCACGTCCGGATACACACACACACACACAAAAGAAAGAAAGAAAGAAAGAAAGGAAGAGAAAACGAGAGAGAATTGCACTCTCGGTATGCAGAACGCATAAAAGACAGGAGGACAAGGGAGACGGGATCGGGGAGAAAGAGAAGGAAAAAAAAACATGAAGAAAAACATGGGGAGCTGGAGAAAATGCTTCATGTAAAAGAGTAAGAGAGAAAGGAGGAAGAAAGAAGATGATATCAGAGTATGTAACTAGACAAATACTGATAATGATGCTGATGATGCTACTACAACGCCCTACTAACGCCACATACACATACACACACACACACACATACACATCACCGACTTCGCCTTCTCAATCCCAAGTCTTCTTGTTGCAGCTGCTTGATGAGGTCGAAGCTCGCCTGGTCGAGATTGGGATCAATCATGTTTAGCATGCCCATGTTCATGCCTACACCCGTGCCCATGGTCATGCCGTGCTCGAGTTTGATGCCGTTGCTGCTGTTGTCGTGTTTCTTGTTGCCTGGTGTCGACTTTGGTGTTTTGCTGTTGCGGCCGCCGCGGGAAGGCGTGTGGCTTGCTTTGCGGGCTGAAGATTGGTGGTGTTGTTGTTGTTGTTGTTGTTGCTGCTGTTGGGTGCGGGTTGCTTTGCATGAGGTGACAGTGGGTGTGATGGGCGGAGGCGGAAAGTCGGAGTTTGTGGTAAAGTTGGTGTGGGTATTTGTCGCAGGCGATGTTATGTACGGACTGTAGCCGTTGGCTGCTGGCGAGGGGCCCGAAACTGGTGAAGAAGGATGACGGACGGCGTGGTGCTCTGAGGCGGGTTTTGATGTGAAGCCGTTCGTCTGTGGGTGAATGTTTTCATCATGAGGGACAGGGCCAGGCGTGAGTGGTTCTACGCTGGGTCCGTGGGGCTCGCCATTGTGTTGTGTGAGCTCAACACCATCCATAAGCATGGGATCGGTGGGCTGATACTCGACAGATGACATGACAGTATCGCCGTTACCATGGTATGCATTTGCTGCGTCTATGTTGTTGTAGTCGCCATTCGTGTATGCTTGGAGTGCAGGATCAACAGGCACTAGTTCATCGTTCTCGGGCGTCTGGTCTAGCGCTTGTTGGGCAGAGTAGGCGATATCCTGGAGGAAGGATGAGCCACCGTTGAATTGGCTTGGCAAAGAGTGCCGTGTGTGCATGTCTCCGTTCATGTACTCGTCTTCGTATGATGATGCGTGTCTCATCCGCTTTGCGGTTGATGCTGAATCTTCGTCACTGACCCGTCGTTTCTTGGACGCAGAACCTCTAGGAATAGGAATTTCGTTGGCTTTGATCGGATCGACATTGCCATATTCGTCATGTATGCAGCGGCGCTATGATTGTTAGTTGTGTACAGCGGTTCAAGTTTCATCATTCTCACCTTGCTCTTCCGACAGTCAGCACAAGCCTTTACTCTACCAGACTTGAGCGCGTAGGGATCTCCATTTACATCTGCCATGATGGGACCACCATTCACGGGACCGTTGGGGGCGTTGGAAAGGCTATCCGCGATAGAGTGATCACTAAGCCGACGTTTGACAGAGATGCCGTATGAGCCCGAAAGATCTATGGTGTGCATTCCAGGCTTCGACGTGTCAATGAGCTCGTCTTTGTGCTTGCATCGTATCCGTCGCTTTCTGCAAGCATCGCAGGCAACACGTTTGGGTCCGAGCTGAGAGGTCTTGGGTGTCGTGATATGCGGGTTGTTTGCCGACGGACGGAGGAAGCCAGTTAGCGGGCCAGAGGTGACAGGTACCATATCGAAATTGTGGAAATTCTCCGTCTCGACAGGGGGAGAAGGCTCGGGAACCACATCAGAAGCCTTGATACGCGCCGAAGACCTCTCTGCTGTTGCTCGCAGAGCTTCGTGAAGCGTCTCCCGCTCCAGTCTCTTGACTTGAGCCGCACTCAGTTTCTTCTCTGTAGTCTCGGCCACTTCGGGCAATATAGCATCGGAAAAGGCCCATGACGGGATGGCTTCGTTTCCGCGCTTCCAGGCAATCCACATAGCAAACCGCCGCGCTAGCACAAGCGGTTCGCCGTGGCCTTTTGGTATCGACTTGTTGACTGCACTTCGAGTCTTCTGTGGTACATCAATCTTTCCCTCGGTAATGAGAACGGTCCTCCAGATGTAATTGAGGAGGTCTGTCAGCCCTTCCAGCTCGTGTTTAGGATAGTACCGCCGATTGTAGTTTTGCGCGCCGAGGTGCGAGTTGTGTCCAAATCTGTCTGGTTCGCAGTAGATGGGTGTGGATCGTTTGAATTGCTCGCCGCCCTGCAGGAGTTCTTGAACGGGAACGGGAACCGGGTCGTCTTCGAGGTATTTGATGACGGTCAACCACATGATCTTTTGGAAGAAAGGGTACCGAAACTGCAAGGCCACCTTGGTGTTTTTCTCAATTTCGAGAATTTTGATTTGCATGCCGTAATGTATCCGAGTGAGAAAATTGCCTCCAATGACGAGACTGTCTTCGGGCGTCCAGACTGCATGGATCCAGCCAGACGGGATCAGCATCGTGTCGCCAGGGTACAGGTCGACCCTGTAACACTCTTTGACTTGTTTGCCGAGCCAATCATGGCCTTGATTGGGGGAAAGACACCAGTCTTCATACTTCTTGAGGTTTTGCTTGGTTGGCGGGATGAAAAAGAAGACCTTTTTGCCTTTGACAATGTGGTAGTAGACCGAAGAACCACCAAAGTCGATGTGAAAATCAGTGAAGCAGTCGGCGACAGACATCAGACAGTAAAACTGCACTGGCGGTGGTGGGGCTTTGTCATCTTCCCGCCATACCGAGTCTTGAAGGTCCATGTCCCGGACGGCTTTAGGTCGTCGGATGAGCTTTCCCAGTCGGCTTCGAGATACCTCCAAGCTGATGACGTTCCGCACAGGCTTTTCTCCTTGCTGCTCGTAGTAATCCGCCCATTTCCCCATGGTCCACTTCTTGACTTCGCCCTCCTGAGCCTTGACGTCAATGACGGGTACAGGTTCGTTCGGACCGTAGAGTTCTGCTACGCGCCGGACGGTCAATCCCTTGGGGATGACCATGTCGAGACTGTCTTGCCCGTCGTCTTTGACTGTTTCGTATTCAAAGTATGATGTCGTCGACTCGTCTTTTTGCTGGTCGATATCATCGGCCTCAGCTGGCGCCCCTACTTTGGGGTTCATATCGCCCGGAATTATAATTGGCTCTTTGAACCCGTTCATCTTCTCCAAAAAATCGCCAGTAATGAGCTGCGCTGGCACGCGTGCGAACGTCTCGGGTGTGAAGGCAATATCCCCATTCTTGAACGCTGAAATATAGTGGTGTTCTGGGTTATCATCCGACGTCTTCAGCACCCCTTCGTTTAGACCAGCGTAGTCAACAGTGGTGTGGGCTCTGACGGATTTACGAACCTCTGGACCATGTTAGAACTATAAGCCCAATGTGCGTCGGTAGACCTACTCGTTGTTTCACCAAACTTGGGTCTACACGGCTCGCAGTAGAATTTATTTACCTCCCGCACCTCCCGCTCGCTGTTGAACCCAGCACAAGGGTAGTGATACCACTCTTTGCAGCCATCGCACCCTATCCATTGCTCGCCGTCACCGACTTTGACCACCGACTCGGAAGACTTGCAGGTGGCGCAGATGAGTTCTGGTTCGACTGGGGCGTTTGCGGGCTGAGACGGTGTATCGGGGGGCGCAGTTGCAGCTGGTTGCTGGCCGAGAGGAAGTGACTGGGCGCGCGAAGAGACTGACGGCGGTGGTTCGTTGGGCTGTGGCTGGGTCGACGCGGAGAAGGAGTGGCGGCGGGCTTGTGTGGGCGAGGTATGCGCAGGCTCGGTCAGCGCTGCTGGGGGTATAGAGTTCTCGGCTGTAACGGCAGCAGGCAGCTCGGCTTGCAGATTCGAAGGCGGTTGGGGCTGTTCTACGGCTCCCGTAGTCTCTCCAGACGATGCGCCCTTTGGCTTGGGGGTCCTCTTTCGCTTGCTACTCGTCGTGCTAGCGCCGCCACGTCCTCCGCGTGCCTTGCCTTTCGGCCAGCCCTGCTGCTTCTTTGCCTTGGGCTCTTCCACGGGAGCGTGGCCTTGCGCTGCATGCTGTGCAACTGCACTTGGTGCTTCGTCAGGTGATGTGTGGATATGCGCAGCCGAAACGGTCCGGGCTGTATCGGCTGGCAGGGCCAAAGGGTGCTTCGTGTCTACGGGAGGCTGCGTATGCTGGTGGTATCGATCGGCAGGCGGCGGGGGCGGCGCTGTATATGGGCTCGGAGGCTCGACTGGCTGCTGTGCTTGTCCTACAGGTTGTTCGGCTGGCGCTGGTTGTGAAATGCTCCACCGCTTGGCTGTCGACGGCGGTGATTGTGCAGTCTGTGTAGAGACATTGAAAAAATCCAGCAAAAGCTGGGCATCGGACAGCCGGTCGTTGGGCTCGCCGGTGGGCTGATAGATGCGGTTGCCATTATCTGCCATGTGCTCGACATTGTAGGACCAGCCCGGAAGGTGGCTCGTGGCGGGCCTCGACTGAGCCTGGCCATACTGCGGCGAGCCATAGACCTCGGAGCGCGCTCTCTTTGCCGGCCGCTCATTGAAGGGATATGTGTGGTCTCTGGGCAGGGCGTGTGCCGGGGCGCGTTCGGCGACGGGGTAAGGGAGGGACGAGGGCGATTTCGCGGGGTGTGAAGAGCGGCGCGACGGCTCCGCAAAGGCTGGGCTGGTCCGCTGCGACGTCACGGCGGCGTCTGCGAGCGTCTCGATAGGCGATGCCTGCGCCCGAGAATACTGCGGTGCATGGGGAGGAGGCACGGATCGCGACGCTGGCTCATACGTCACCGGCGGCGGCGCCAGCTTCGGCGACGCGCGCGTACTCTGCCCGAGAGTAGGCGTATGTGTGAGAGCGCCATTACCGTGTGCGCTGGCTGGCAGCGGCGCTGGTGGAATATTCGCCCTGCCGGCGGGGTGCGCTGACGAGAGCTCGGTGGGCGGCAGGATGGGCGACAGCGGCTCGTAGACGGGGGGCGGAGGGGTGGCAGCACGCGCCGAAGCTCGCCTGTAGTGCTCCTTGAATGAGGAAATCCGTCGCATGGCGGTGGTGGGCGGCCGAGGGGGGTTCGATGGGGGCGTCGGGGGTGCGAGGTTGCTCCTCGGACGGGCGTCTCACGATGCGCGGCTATGGAGCAGCGGCACTGTAGGCGAGGCGGCGTGCAGGCTGGCAGACGGGCGCGGGCATATCCTGAATTGAAGCGACAGTGGCGCGGCGCAGAGGGAACGAGCGGCGAGGGGGGGGGTGGTGGTGGGTGCGAGGAGCGAGGTGGTGGTGGAGATGTCGCGGGGACTGTATTGGGAATGTTGCGGCCGGAGGACCAAGGCGATCGCTGGCGACGATGCGACGGGGGGTGGGCAGGCGGTGGCAACGCAGAGAAATGTGCCCAGCAGGGGCGCAGCAGGGCGATGGAGGAGCAGCAGCGCCGGGCTCTCGATGACGCTCGCACGACGGCTCTCTGGGCTGCGCAAGAGGTTGGGTGAGCTATGGAGCGTTGAGCCGCTTCATTCGCTGCCAGCCCGCAACTCCGATTCGAGCGCTCCCGGGTGCGTCTCTGGCAGCACCTGGACGGTACGCCCACGCCCCAGCGACGCTTTCCGCTGGCTGCCTCGCTGGCTCGCCCGCCCGCGCTCTGCCGTCTTCTTCTCTCTTTCTCCCTCTCTGCGCATGCCAAAAAAAAGGCCGTCCGCCTCCCGCACGCGGCGCCCGTCTTGCGCTCACGGCCACGGGCGGGCATGCGCCTCGCCTGTTGCGCTGCGGCGGCCGCTCCTTGCCTCATGTGCATGCGTCACGTGGCGCTGGGCGCTCGGGCCCACGCTCGCCATTCATGCATCGAGCCCGCATGTTCACCACCAACCTCTATCTCCGCTACCCACGCCTCCCACCGCCCGCCCGTCCATCTCCCAGCCAGCAGCTAGTCCGTTCGACACCCGCCACCGTCGCCAAAGTATGAGTCGAGGAGGAAAATTGGCCCCGGAAGTCAACCGGTACGTGGTCCCTTGTCCGCATCGCGTGCGCAGGCCAAGGCCGCTGCCGCCCACTCCCTCGACATTTGCGCTAACACGTCGTTTGCATAGAGCTCTCTTCGTCAAGAACCTGAGGTCGGTCGCCCCATGCCCCGTCGCGGCGGCCCTGTGCGCTAACCCCGTGGCAGCTTCAACGTCACCCCAGAGGAACTCTTCGATCTCTTTGGCAAGTTCGGCCCTGTGCGGTACGTCGTCTGCCTCTTCGTCGCCATGCGCCCGCGCGTGCGGGCGTCTGCGGTTCGCGCGGATCACTGACCTCTCCGCAGCCAGATCCGCCAGGGTATCGCCAACCACAGCAAGGGCACCGCCTTTGTCGTTTATGAAGACGTAATGGACGCAAAATCGGCCTGCGACAAGCTCAACGGCTTCAACTTCCAGAACCGATACCTCGTCGGTGCGTGCATGACACCTGCCGCGTAGCACAATGGCCGCTAATTGCCGCAGTACTATATCACCAGCCAGACAAGATGCTCAAGGCTGCGAATGATCTTGCCGAACGCCAAGAAAACCTAGAAAAACTGAAAAAACAACATGGCATTGACTAGGGGTGCGAGAGGCCTCAGGAACAGGTGATATCACGCGAGCAAAGCAAAGACAAGACTCCTGTGGGCCTCAAGACCGATAGCGTAATCTCAAATCGTTCTTCGAGTCGTGGCGACGAACCGCGCTCTACCTCAACGTCGACGGATTCGACCTTGGCGGAAAAGACCGACGCTCCTTCCTCGATTTCTCCGACCCCCGTCTGCCGCCATGGCGACTGGCGCACTCTGAAACAATCGCTCAAGGGCCTATGGAAGTCGGCTCACGGCGTTAAGAGTTCGTGATAGGGTTACGATCCATGGCAGATTGCTGCATTTTCTTAGAGTGGGATCTCTCGTCAGGATAGCTGGTGACGAACAGGCCGGGTCGAACAGATTGCAACAGGCCTCAGCTTCCATTTCTTAACATATCCAACGGTCGGCAAGCTTAAGCGCCCGAGTCACAATCAAGGAATCCTTTTTCCTTCGCATACACTGAGTTTGATTCCCCGTGAAGTTTGCACAACTAATGCTACATCGGTATTACGGTATTAACAAATATGGCGCAGCTTACACGATCTACATTGGATGCTGACAGTGACCACCTACAGTGCCTTCCGCACCTTCCGATCAGCCTTGCTCTGGCACGAGCACGGCTATTTGACCGAGCTCATGGTTTAGAGAAACCCAGTCTAATCCCTTTGCGAGATGATCAAAGCTGAACTCGGCCACCACATCCAAGCCCCGGTGCTTGCCAAGTTTTCGAACGCCAGTGTCGGCCATGTTGATGATTTCTCTAACATCATCGCCCCTTTATATTGTGTGGCCATGCCCTGTGATGCTTTGAAAGGCCAGTTGCATCGTGGAGATTTCAATATCCTTCATTGCGCCTGCGCCCATGCCCATAATGCAAGCTCGGCCGTACTGCTGAAGGCCGCCGAAGGCCGTGTGCACGTGGGTGCTTCCTCAGGCGCCGATTGGTGTCATCTCGACAAAGGTATCAATTACTCCGTGTTGCTGCAAACTGGCAACGTCCTTGTTCACGTCTTTTGTACGCACGACGCTTGATACCAGACGGGCAAGCGCGCGTTCGTTGCGTCCCGTTGCTATAACAGTCGCACCCATTGCAACACCATTGCAACAGCTACGCCAACTGCTGCTCCTGAAAAGATGCCTGTGGCAGGAGTGACGACAATTCTCGCGCCAGGCTTGATATTTATACCTTTTAAACCGCTGTACACAACCACACCCACAGTCAGCGGCACGAGGTCTGGAGTCGAATACCCCAGCTCCTTACACAATCGGTTCTCATTCAGCGCCCAGTTAACCTCGAATGTAGCTTTCGCATCTGTGCAAATGTCGAGTATCGCCGGTTCTCCGCAAACAGCTTCCTTGACCCAGCGCTGGTACCCTCGATTACTCCTCACATGATCCAGACTGGAGGGTCGTCGCGAGCCCGTATGAACGGCTCAATCGAGACTAACTGACCATTATCCAAGAACGTCGTGTCCGGACCCGTAGTGACAACTCGCCCCACGACATGTCCACCAGGAATCATGGTTGTTGGATACGTTAAGGCGAACTTTGCAGCGAGGAAGTCTAGTGTCTGATGTTGAAAGAGGTTAGCAAGGACCTTGACAATTACTGAGCCTAGACCAGGCTAGGATGAGTACTTCTTTCAGAACCAAAGGACCATTTTTCTCCTCTTGTACGAATGCCTTCATGGTCTGGGGAGGACGCTAGAAGTTGTGACAAATATTTGGGGAAACAAGACTGAATGGGCCTCGACTATGATGTATGACATGGCAGACCATGTTGCTCGCGGCCAAGAGGTGTTTGTAACATTATTTTTTGGTGTCCCTGAGACTCATTTCTAACGTCTTTGTAGCATCGTCCGGACTTCACAAGATTAAAGCAATATCCCCATTTGCAGTCGCTTTGTTGATGGTTGATATCGCCAATCATACGCCGAGGAGATGCTGATACGAAAGGGGGTTAGACTAAGCCACTAGTGGAGGCCTGACAGCTCGTTACCAAACAGTGAGCTATGCCGGCGATGACAAACTTAACTCCGTGTCCTGTTTCTTAAGGCATCAATGTACCGCATACGGAGGATCATACGATACGACTACAGGTTAGATCCGCCCACATAACCTGCAGAAAGAGCCATATTATCCACAGCACCACGCTTTGATTGACTACGCTCTACAGGTAGACCAGTATCATGCCTGCCACCCTATCCAAGAGTACCACGCCACGCGAACGCAAGCGACGCGCTCATGCAAAGTCCAGAAAAGGTTGCAACAACTGCAAGCTACGACGGGTCAAGGTTAGCTTCAAGAACACTCACTACCCCTAAACGCAGACTGATCAGGTGATCAAAGTGCGATGAGACGAGGCCAGGCTGCACCAAATGCAAGACCTATGGCGTCTCTTGCGACTTTGGAGAGTCAAAAGATTCTCTAGACGCTGCCACTCATGGCTCGTTCCAAGTCAATCTTACGTCGGTCATCGAAGACTCTGTAGTGTTTGATGGAAGGAATGAATCACCAAACTGGATCCAAATCGATAGCCCGAGGTCAGAAGTCTACGGTAAAGCTGCTAAGTCCCTGGAATTCACAACGACTAGCAGTGTCGTCAGCAGCTTGGGCAACCCATGGTCTCCTGTTTCCAGCAACGCTAACATGACCGCCATGATTTCCGGCTCACTCGAATCCGTAGCCTTGAGTCAATACGTACGGCTAGAAACAGAAGCGGCGCCGTTGTCCCCTGGGTGGTCCTGGGAGTTTACCGAAGTAGACTTTGAGATTCTGACGCGGTTCCAGAGTAGGACGTCTTTGACCATCGGAGGTGAGCCCTGCTTCCGACCCGTTCCTCGGACGGGTATGAACTGACCGGCTCTGAACAGATCAGCGTATGGCACCCGAGTATCGAGATGTAGTGTGTCAACTAGCCTTTCAGGTACGATCTAGGCTACCCTTCGCTAAGCTCGAACGTCTCGCCTTATGAAGCACGAGGCTGATCACCATATAGCACCCCTTCCTAATGCACATGCTCCTGGGCCTGACTCTGATGCACGACTCCGACCTTTCCCTGCGTCATTCTCCCGCCCTTTCTGCCAAGCAACAACACATGTCGCTCTTCCACTGGGACCTTGCAACTAGCCTCTTCTACCGCATCATGGCGTATCCGCTGACCCCTGCCTACCGCGATGCCATCTGGGCCACTGGTGTCCATCTTGGCGCCTCATCTTTCTGGTTCGTCGAGTCCAACGATCCGAATGCCGTGTGGCCCCTGAAACCCAGTGAGCCCAGCGACCTATCCTGGATCAAATTCGGAGAGGGCAAACGACACCTGTGGCGCATTGCAGATCCCATGAGGGAGGATAGTTTGTTCCACAACGTACTGAAGCACAGACCTCGTTCGCCGGCACCGCAGTGGGTCAATGGCGAAGACACGGAGTTTATCCCAGAGATCTTCCAAACCCTGTTTGATATCCACGAGTCTTCTACGAAAGAGAATAACCCGTATCTCGTCGCTGTCGTCATTCTCTCGCGCATCCGAAACATGCATCTGACGCACGCCAACGTGCTGCACTTCCTCTACTTCACAACCTTCATCACACCCGAATTCATCGAGCTGCTCGAGCACAAAGACACAAGAGCCGTGTTCCTACTCGGCTGGTGGTTCAGGATCCTCGAAGACGGCGACCTCTGGTGGATGACTCGGCGCGCGCGGATCCAGGGAAAAGCCGTCCGAATGTGGTTGCGCGGGCGCAACAGAGAGCTCGCCCATCTGCTGGATGAGCTGGCTAGAGAACGCGTCCTGTGTGCAAGCGAGACGCCAACCATGCAGATCGACGGGCCCTGTGATGGCGATAAAAATGGCTTCGACGTGAACTGGGCGTTGGATTCGCGTGGCAAAATTCCCGTGGAAAAGTAAGTTGGGAAAAATTAATAAAAGTAATTTACTCGTTCTTTTTTTTGCCACAAATTATTACCCCCTTTCTTTCCCACTTTGGAATCTCGACATCACACACCCCACCACCACCACCACCACAAAAAAGCACAGTCCCCCATCCTCACCACATGCCATGCCAACGCCACTCCCCCAGCCATCCCGCACACTAACTGCTCCAACCAGCACAAACGCACAGTAAGTATCCCAGAGCACTGCTGCTACACCTGCTATATACCATGCCCACGCCGCCGCCCCCACCGTCTTCGTCATGATATTTCCATTTCCATTTCCACTTCCATTTCCATTCCAGCACGCGGATTCCCCGCTGTAGAATGCGGAGAACAAGTGTGATGATATTCAATCTAGACTACTCACGCACGACGTAAGTATATCCCTCTATGCTGTGCTATGCTATGCTGTTAACGAAAGTGAGTGAGTGAAGTAGGCTGGGAAGATGAGGTGTTTGGCGCAATGTAGGGTTTCGGGGTTCTGGTGCTGCTGCTGCTGCTCCTTCATGAAAGAGGCCGTAGTAGTAGTGCTGATGATGCCTAAGATGCGTTTGTCAAGGGACGATGGTAACAGCTGGTTTAGGGGCTAGGAAAGGCGGTTGTAGCGATGGATTCTGGGTAGGTGTGGGTGAGGGATGCGGTGCAGCTTAGGAAAGAGGGGGGTTAGGTTAGATGTAGGGATATGAGGAAGGGAGGGAGTCAGGGCGGGCGTGAGAGTGAGTGTGGTAGTTGTGCTGAGATGCATGGTATGGTGATAGTCTATGGTTGTAGCGAAAGAGGTTGGAATTCTTTTTTTTCCTGGATTGTAATTATTGTATATGCAGCAGCTGTAGAAAACCTAGTGTTGCGACTTCTATTGTCTTTTCGTCAGGGAAGTGTTGTTGAATCGGGTAAAGAGTATATATATATACGCGGTATAAGCTTAATGGCATGATATGATGTAAAGTATCTCGGCATCTTTGTCAGTCACTGTTGGAATTAGTAGCCTGACGGTATAGGCGTTAGGATAGGCAGTGTAGAAGACAAACAATTTCTAACGAGGGTATCATGTACATTCGAGTGATAGATACTTGACTATGAAACGCCATGTTGAAAACAAATGCTATACTTTTACCATTACCATGCAAGGTTGGCGCCGCCACCCAAACGCGCCACGTCCGTCTGCATAAAACCCGTATTTACCATCCTCTTCTCTTGCTCCTCTCTTCGGCACTCCTCTCCTTCCTCTTGACCTTCTTAGCATCGTGTCTCCTACGCTTCTCCTTGCCAAACTTTTCTGGATCCACAACAGCTTCGACTTTCCTTTTTCTGCGTCTTTCTTCTCTCCTTTCCCTCACGCCCTTTTGCACTTCTCCCATAATCTTCAGATACTCTTGCGTGCCAAGGCGCTTCTGCAAAGTGTTCATGACTTCACGAGCCTTGTCGGTCAGGGCCTTGTATGGTTCGCTGACCACGTTGTCAGGACCGGCTTGCGTGGAGGATCGAGGAAAGGTCGCAGTGGCATCGGTAAGGGTAGACAGGGTAGTCAGTAGGTGGGGGAGGGAGGTAGAAAGAGGTTCGACAGGGAACTTGGCGGCGATGGTGTCGAACAAATTCATAATTGCGGTTTTGGCGTTCATAGTGCTCTTGTCTTTTCGAACAATTCCAGAAAGACGAATCATTAGGCGATGGATCGCTGTTGGTGGAGCATCTCCCGTCTTCTTCGGTTTGGTGCTTTCTGGCGGCGGCGAGAAACCATCAAAATCTTCCTCATCTTCAGAAGCGGCTGCGTCACCGTTGGTCACGGTAGTTTCTTCCATCTCTTCATCATCTTCAGCCTTCTGCCATTGCCATTTCGCCCCGTTAACTGCGAGACAGCGTGCAAGGAAGGCAATGTTCTTGACACTTTGAAGGCAAAGCTGTTCCGAAACCTCGGGATTCAGCAAATTTCTCAAGAAAGCATTGCACAGCTGCGTCATGTTCTGTTCCGCCAACTGCAGACCACCCGACCCCTTCAGCGGGAGTGCCTCCAGACCAGAGTCTTTGTTTGAGACTCCCAGATGGGCAAAGTAATTGCCCAGCAACTCCGCAGCTTTGAGCTTGACCCACATGTGCGGGTAGGTTGCGCTGGCTTGGATTGCTGTCCAAAGATCGTCCTTGCTTGACGAGAACATGGTGTCCGTGTATTTCTTGCAGGCCTTCGAGAGCATGGTGAGGGAGTAATACAAGAGCTCCCAATCGTCCTCATCGCGTCGACTCAGGCATTCGTCAATCGTTGCGTCAAGTCGCTCGAGAACATATGCTAGCTCTTTTGGCTCATCCTCGTCTTCCATAGCCTCGAAGTAGAAGCCCCAGACCTGGATGCCAAGGCGCTTCAAGCCAATGTTGTCGTCTTGCTCCAACCAACTCTTAAGATCGGAAGCGAAACTTTGCAGTCGCTTCTCGCTGGCTTGCTGGAATAGTCGCTTGATCAACAGACTGGCCATTTCTCTGCATTTGCTCGAATCATCGTTTGCTACGGTGTTAATCAATGGCAGAAACATGATTCCATGATATTCGTATTGCGCCTTTTCAGGGAATCGAGGCAGAGCCTTTCCAATAATAAGATCAAGGGCTTCCATGACCGATTGTCTGCCTTCCACATGCTCGTAGCGCAAGTTCTTGAGTAGGAACTCAATCTGCTTCTTGAAACGCTTTTCGCTCTGAGTGTATGAAGTCAGGAATTGGAAGTAGTGGCTGCGAGCAATGTCTCGGGCCGACTTGGTCTGGTTGGTAATCATCATCTCCGCAACCTTGTCCATAGATTCATAAATTTCTGGGACTTCGAAGTGCCGGTTCATGACAGCTTTGAGAAAGCCAAAGATGACACCTGAGCGATCCGGTTCATCCAAGTCAGGCATCATACGCTTGAGGAGATGGCCGATGTCTCGTTCCTTGATCTGGACGTTTGGCCGCTCGCGCAAAACAGCCGACACCAGCTTGAGGGAGGCTTGGGCAAGCTCAGTGTTGGATGACAGCGCACCCTTGATGGCACGCATTGCCTCATCAATGTACACGGGACAGTTGGCGTCCAACTCGGACATCGGCACCTTGATGATGGTTGTTAGAAGGCGGACAGCCGAGACTTGCACTTCTTCTTGGCCTTGCACCATTGCGTCGCCGATGATGGGTAGGAAGCCAGCCAGGTTCTGTCGGGTCTGGAGATCCTCATGCTTGCGCAGCACAGTCCGAAGGATGTCTAGGCCAAAGCGTATCATTTTGTACAGGTATGAAGAAGTACTAAGCCTTGTTCCAGACTTGGCTGCTCCCTTATTGTTGACCAGGTACCGTTTGTGTTTGGGATCAATATGGATCTTGTTGTCTTTGGATGTGTTTGCCGCATAGACTTCTTGAATCAGCTCGTAGCAGAAGACTAGTATGTCCCTGTTGTTGACAGTGGGGTTCTGGAGAACACCTAGTCCAATGCGCCTCAGTAGCTCATCAATCTTCTGAACCATCCTGGAGTTGAGCTTCTCAATCAAAAGGGATCTGATCGGAAGTACGAGCTTGATAAGATGCGCAGGAGTAGCCGATCGTGCGATAATGTCCATGGAGTCGAAGCTTTTGCTGCTCTTTACTTCCTTCATCTTGGATATGTACTCTTCAGCGTCCTTTTCTTGGCCAGCAGCGCCAAAGGTGTCATCCATAATCTAGACTCGAGTCAGTGTACTGCCAAACAACAGCCCACAGATTAATACTTACCACATCCACTAGGTCCGTGAGACAATAGTCCAGATCGCCTGGTTTTGTTTGGTCGGCCAGTTTCACCAGAATAGTGTGCAAGGTGTAGGTGAGAACGTGAAGTTGGTAACCTCGTTGAAGCGCGGTCCGCAATGCTTTGAGGATGAAGCCTAGGTATCCTGGGCCCATGAGCGTAGCAATGTCGCTAAGCGTATTTCTTGACATGTCACGGGCTTCCTGGGCGCGACTCTTCAAGATGTAACATATATCCAGCAGAACTCCAGGTAGTCGTGTCTCGATTTCCAGCGGTGGAAGAACGAGAAGAACCTTGGCAATCGCAACAGCGATAGGCACTCGTAAACTGACAGTCGCTTCGTCCTTCTTGTGTAAGAAATTGGTCAGATCAGGGAGAAAGTTGTTGACCATGTCGCTGCTGAGTTTTTCCCGCTGTGGAAGAGTCTTTGTGAGTATTGACTGAGGCTTTTCGATATCCATAGCCTCGGCATCATCGTTGGTGTCAGCATCAGGGTCATCCGGTTCAGATGTAGACGTAGCAACATAGCCTTTGGCGCGTCCCGCTTGGTTCAAACCATCCAAAAGACCTGCAATCAGTCGAATGACAGGCTTTTGGAGGTCTTCCTTGGTAGCCAGATAGCCAATGTACCGCTTCAGGAGAGAGCGGAATTGCGGCCACTCCAAACACTCGGTCAACGCTGTGAGTGTTTTGATTGTCTCTCCCAGGAGGCTGTCCGCAGCTTCATCATCACCCTTGTTGAAGACAAAGTGCTCCAGCAGCGGTATAAGGATGTGGTAGACATTGGTGCCACGCAGATGAGAAGCATGGGCGGCCAAGCGGCGCAGTGCTCTAAGTCGGCGATGGCCCTGAATGTGCAGAATGTTGCCGAAGAATGATGCCTCATCATCGTCTGAGAGAAGTATGTGTAGATCGGACACAGGAGCCCAGTCAGAATGTGTCTTGACCAGATGCTCAAGGACAGCAAGGTATTCGATTCGAACCAGTTCGGATGTCTCTCGCATGCCATTCTGAATTCCAGGCAGAACTGCCGATGCCATAAACTCCCTGAATTCTTCACTCTCCGAGACCTCGCTAAAGCGGCGCAACGACAATGATGCGTTGACTCTGATACTAAGCTCGTCGTTGTCTTTGATGAAATAGAGCATGTTGTAGACTAGTGGCTTCCATTGGATGGGAGAGAAGCTTCGATAGGCTTCCTCGTTGATAGAGCTGAAGGCCTGTGAGCGTCGTTCGAAATCTGGCTCGTCCAGGCGCCCCTTTACAAAGGAGTTGAGATCATGACATATCTTTGCCACCACCTGGAGATCGCTCTTGGTGTCAGAGAGGTCCTGAACAACATCGCATATCAACTCTCTCGCTGTGCGATCCTGAACAAAAGCGAACATGGGGCAAACAGCATCATATATGGTACTGAGTAGTTCGTTCAAGTTCTGCTCATCACAGCGCTGAATGAATTCGTGAAGGATTTTGAGTAGCCCCAGTTTAGTGCGAGGGTTCACACGCTTCGAAGGCTGCCGGAGAAGGAAAGTAGCGATTTCGATCATGCTGCGCGATTCAGAGGCACCAACCACGTGAGGGGCCAATTCTGCAACTGTCTGAACACCAGATTCGAGCACTTCTTTACTTGGGTTCTGACGAAGTAACTGGCCGACTCGGCTAAGAATTGAAGTGGAGTATGGCTGAATGACGTCGGTATGTATACGGTTCTTCAGTATTTTCGATTCGGTTGTTGGCGCATCTTCTTCAGCAGCCACAGTGGCCACAATGTTTCGGATGATGCTGTCGAGAACGAAGCATTTGACCTCGTCCTTGGCTGAAGGTACCCCAAGACAGTCGATAACCTTGGATAAAATGTTTGGGTTGAATTCCACCAAAAAGGGGGCCGTGCGAACAGATTTTGACCATGCTGCGAACAGTCGAAGAATGCCCGAAACAGACTGCGCTGTTTCCACAGGGAATTGATCTAGCCTAGGCTCAATCATCTCTTTGATAAGAGCCCCAGTGTATGGATGCCACTCAAACTCTGGGCTATTCTCGACCAGCCTGCTCAGAATCTGGAGCGCACGTTGCCGTACAGTCTTCAGCAACGATGTCCGTGTCGACCGGCCTTCATCTTCTTCGCGGTCGGCTGAAGCCGAGAGCTCGCGCGATGCTTTAATGGCAGAGTACAAGATGGGATCCACGACGGTGGCAGTGAATGGGGCAAATGTTGTCGCAAAGGTACTTAGTAGGTCGTCCAACAGGTTCAGCATTCCGACCTGCTTTCGCGCGTCTACCAGAGTTTTCTGCAGCAAGTCCTCGTCAACAACTCCATCATTCAAGACGGAGATGTGACCCAGTGGCCCGAAGGCAATCTGTAGGAATTGATGTATGGCGTCGTCACCAAATCTTGTTTTCAACCCAACAAAAACTGCTTTTCTCTTTGACTCAAGGCCCCGTTTTCCAGCTATAACCTTTCCATACAGCAGTCGCAATACGAGTGGCAGGACCTTGTCAACGTCAGATTCTTGAAGCTTGCCTTCGCTGAGGAATATTGGGAGCTCGTCACGGAATCGTTCGTCGTCCAGTAGGTTCAGTAACTGTTCTTGGTATGTGACAATTTCACGGTCTTTCCAGGTGAGAAGCGCCTTTAGCGAAGCCTTTTGGATCTCAACATCTCCGTTGCTGAGCAAAGCGAGCAGAGCTTGGCGGACTTCATCCGTTCGATACAAGACCTTTGGATTGTTAAATTTGGCGAAGATGGAAAGCATTGCTTTCTGATCTTTTCTTGCCCAGCGGTCTTGTGGCGTAGCCGAAGCGTCTTCTTCCGAAGCAGTATCTTCAGACTCTGGCGCCTGATCAAAAGCCCATTTCAAGAGCACAGGCACAAGCAGTCTCGAGCGCTTTTCCGCAATGTGCGGCAGGGTACTTAATACCTTGAGAGCTTGTGTTCTGCTGAAAGCATTATAGAAAGGTACTTCAACATGGGCTTCCTTGAACAAGGCCTCCAGTTCCTCCTGGATGTTGTCGGCTTGTGCCTGAACATTGGCAACCTGCTCCTGCAACTGCATGATATTGGTACACTCAAATTCAGTAGCGTAAGGCCGCGACGCAGCTGTCTGAGCACTGTCAGGGGTGATGTCCGCAGCATCGACAGCGGTCAACCATTCGAAAACAGTTTGTGTGACAAAGCCTTCTCCTTCTTTTGTCTCACAGATGGCTTTCAGGGCAGAGCAACTGTCATCCCACACCGAGGCTAGGCGAACGTGGAGCAATCCCAGACAAAACGCGGGGATAGCCTCGCCGACCCACTCGTCAGAGCACACACTGGGGTACAACTTGGCCATTTGTCCTATGCGCATCGCAATAGATCTTTGTGTCTCGAGATTTGGCGGGGTCTGTTCAATCAACATTGCAACTGACAGAATGTTCTGTAGTTCTTCGCTTTGCCCCGCGACAAGTTGCAAGACATAGATAGCCGAGAGCCTCAAGTCATGCGAAGGAGATCCTAAGCAGCGCATGATGGTTCGTTTCATAGGCTCCATGTGCGATCCAGTAGTATCCAGAGTTGCCCTGTGCTTTTTAAACAGCTCGAGCAGCGCTCGCCAGAAGGCTACATAATGTCCGAACACCGTGGATGCTTGACACAAGGCAGGCCACAGACTTGTGGTTTGGTCGTGGTCGCGGCCTTTGCTGACAAGAAACTGGAAACCCTTTCCAGTTGCGAAGATGTCGATTGTTCGCTTTGATGTGGCATTGGTCCCCTCAATGGCGTTTTTGAGTGAGTGTGAGAGATCCTTCCAGATTCCTTGCGTCTTGTCATCAGCTATGCGTAGCGACTCTATCGTGTCCAGCAAAGCATTGCAGTAAAAGGTCCTGGGATCCAGCTCGGACTCATCGTCCACACATGTATTGAGTTGGTCAAACGGCTCCTCCAGAGTCGCTTGCCAGCGTTCCGAAGGCTGCAAAGCGCTATTCGCCAGTGCACCGCTCTGGTAGAGTCGAGGTAAAGTAGCGCAGAACTGGGGCCCGTACTCATGAGCCTTTTGTGTGACAAATCTGTATAATGTGAGCAATGAATACACCTGAGAGCAGTATCTCGTACCTCTTGAAATACGGGAGTAGCAAAGTTCTGAACCTCTCCACGCCCAAATCAGCAAACAGATTGCAAAACGACAGAAAGTAAGTTTCCCAAGGACCGCGAGTCAGTCCTTCCAGGAGCTTCTCATGAGGTATGGCCGAATCGAGCGTGCAATACTGGAACGCGACGCAGATTAGAGAAAGGAGCTCCCATGCATCGACGGTATCAAGTTCAGTAGATGCTTTTGTGGAACCGAGCAAATGGCTGATTGAACCCAACACAGGTCTCCAATCCTCTACACGGCTACCTTGACGTACACCGCAGACGACGAACAACAAGCGAGACACGGGACCCGCATAGCGCTGGTTAGACGATACTTTGTCTACTTCAGCAAGAACCACCTCGAGCAAAGGGCTGAAGTTCTCCGCATCTGTGTGGTGGATAGCGGCCGTAACGACACTGATAAGCACGGGTTCGAGAGGCGGAATTCGGAGGTGGAGATGCTCTTCATTCAAGGTTTCCGCCAGCAGCTCTTGCAAGATAACCATAGCACTTGAGTGGAAACCGCGCTGTACGCCCTTGAGCGAGTCGGTAAAGAGGTACATAAGACCCTGTTGAAAAGCATAGTCCTTGGTCGATTCCTGCTGGTCCTTGAGCTGGTCCGATATGTGCTTGATGATTGTCCTAAGAGGCATCTTGTCTCTGTGATAAGCAGCTCCAGCTTTGCGCACCAAAAAGCTGAGCGACTCGGCAGCGAAGCGAGACACAAAGGCCTTCTGGCGCTCTTTACCCAGCAGCGGGGACATGAGATCAAAGACAGGGCGCAGGTTCGGCACTAATAGTCGCGAGAGGTATTTGAACAGCCATGCCAGGCAGCCAAATGCCCATTCAATGACTTCGACATCGGCATGGGTGGCTGCCAGATGCGACACCGTCTTGACTGCCTTTTCAAAGTGCTTCTCGAACCTCTCGCCCAGGTCGTGTGCAAGATGGGCCATGAGGCTGAGCAGCGGCTCCTCGCTGAATTTCTCGCCCTTCTCAATGTGTTCTACCAGCAATTCGAATATGCGGTCGCTGTGGTGGAGGACCTGGGGGAGGCTGTCGCAGAGTGGCGCAACTTTGCGGGCGAAGCTGGTGAAGGCCTCGGACATGTTGAGTTCCCTCCATTCGAGGAAGGAATCGCGGAAGTAGGAAAAGGTCGACTCGAGCTCGGCATCGTCGAGGATGGTGCTGCGACCGCGGCGAACGGGCTCGATCTTGAGCTGGGCAATGCGCTGCGAGAAGCCTTTGAAGACATGATTGCGCGTGGACTCGGTGCCGCCCTTGGCTCGTTTCTGGAGGCGGGCGGGCTTGGAAATCCGGGCGGTGGGTGTGGCAGCGGGCCTCGCAGCAAGCCCCCGCGACATTGCGGCCATGGTGTGCAGTGAGGGCGAGGATGGTGTTGAGAACTGCAGTGCGAGTATCTTCACTCGATGCTCCACTAGAATTTCCGTGACGCTAACAAAAAAAATGGGGCCCTGGCACCACCGACGCCGCCGACGCGCCAATCGCCCATGCTCAACACCAAACGCGTCTGCAGCCCGCCATCGCATCCCCGGCTCCATCACCCACAATGGCCGCAAAGATGTAAGTCTGTCTTTCTCTTGCTGCATCGCAGGTCATACTAACACATGCAGCGTCGTCGTCGGTGACGTCAATGGGCAGTTTAAGACTGTCTTCCAGAAGCTGGGCGCATTGCACGCGAAGAACAACTTTGCCTGTGCCCTCGTCGTAGGCAACTTGTTCGCGCCCCCGCTCGACGATGATGAGAGTGCGGATGCAGGCGACGTGCAGTCGCTCATAAATGGCCATGTCGACGTGCCATTGCCGACCTACTTTGCGCTTGGCAGCAGCCCACTCCCCCCAGCAGTGGTTCAAAAGTTGGAATCTTCGAGTGATGAGCTGTGCCATAATCTCTTCTTTCTTGGCAAGCGAACGACTATGAAAACGTCTGAAGGCGTCCGCATTGTAGCGCTGGGCGGCCGGCTTGATCCCAACATCGTTGCTGGCCAGTCCAAGGACAAGTACCCTCCCTTTTACAGCGAGACAGATGCAAAGATATTGCGAGGAGCATCGACAGCCGATATCCTCATCACCACTGAATGGCCAGAAGACATTCGGAAGCGCTCCAAGGTCGACTTCAACTCCGATGTACAGCCGACAAGTCAGCAATGCATCGCCGACTTGGACGTGATACTAAAGCCCAAGTATCACTTCTCCACATCTGGAGGCACTTTCTACGAGCGGGAACCATTCTTCCATGCGCCCAGTGAGGAAACCGACAACCTCTATCCGGTAACCCGATTCATCAGCTTGGCTTCGTTTGGCAACCCCAACAAGCAAAAGTGGATTTATGCATTTTCTCTCGATCCTTCAGCGAGCCATCCAGTCTCGCCGCCAGCTGGGTCGACTGCTTGCCCTGTGGCCCTCTCTGAGAAAAAGCGAGCTGCGCCCGAGCATCCCGAACAGCACCTGGTCTACGATGATGGAAACCGGGGTCGAAGGGGCAACAAGAGGCGGAGGGGTGAGCCTCGAGGACCCATCACTGCATCCGAGTGCTTCTTCTGCCTGGCCAACGAGAACATTGCGACGCATTTGATAGCCTCGATTGGCGAAAACTCGTACTTGACGACTGCAAAAGGCCCTCTTCCAACCCCACAAACCTTTCCCAAGCTCGGCTTCCCTTGCCACATGCTCATCATTCCATTCACGCACCAGCCGACATTGGGGTCAATGGAAGAGGAGGAGCGTCATGCGACATACGCAGAGATGCAGCGATATCGGCGCGCAATGAATAGCATGCTCAAATCTGTAGCAGACACCGACTATGGCTCCGTCACCTGGGAAGTCAGCAAATCGAGCTTGCCGCATACACATTGGCAATATCTCCCCGTCAGCGCCGACCTCATCAGCAAAGGACTGGTCGAGGCCGCGTTCAAGGCATTAGCAGATAATTTGCACTGGCCCAAATTCCAGAAAGAGGATGTTGGTGACGGATTTGAAGAAACGAGCGACTTCTTCAGGGTCTTGGTATGGGATCCAAAAGACGACCCCGACAAGCAGACGAGCTACATTATGCGTTTCGACGAGAAGATACGGTTTCACAACCAGTTTGGGCGAGAAGTGCTCGCAAAGCTTCTCAGGCTCGACCGACGCGTCGACTGGAAGGATTGCGGGCAAACGCAGCCCCAGGAAGAACAGGACGTTGAAAAGTTCAAGGAGGCTTTCAAGGAGTTCGACTTCGCCGCATAATGCGCGCTCGCCATGGCAGCCACCGCGTCACACGCCTTTACCGCCAGTTGATGGCGTAATAGACTACCTGTTCACGTGGTGATTACGCATACAAGCTTTACACTACTTATCACCCCGTTGTATTGATTACACAATGGAGGTAGTCAGGCGCACGACTATTTTGGAGCGTAAGCATGAGTACTACAAACGCTGTAGACACCGGAGTACGCCCGACACAGTATCCCCAAGACCCCGGTTGTGGCCGTTGTGCGTGGCTGCCAATCGAGTGTCTGCTGCAAGCTGTGCCAACCCACCAGCCAAGTCCCCAAGGCCCCGACGTCGCTGCGAAGATACTTGAAACGGCAGGTTTTGCTGCAGAGTGTTCGTTACTGCACTAAAGGGTTGGCATACCAAGCTCCGGTCTCGCCGGGGTGCTCGACGGCTTATCTCCGGTGCTCCGAGCGGCCTCATGCCTCGTCCGCATGCATTGCTGTGTTTACTTCTGGACGAAAGAGGCATTTTGTATAACCGATTCAGGACGAAATAAATACACACATGGCTATGCGCCCTTCACACATCATTCCTTTAGATATCTCTTGGCATCTTCCCCTTTGGGCTAAAGCATTCCTTCTTGCAGCCAAGATTGGGTTTGGGCTTTCACGTGTCTTGTCAAGGCGGGGCCACGGCCAATCAGCAGCGTCGTCGCTCGCCTCCAGCTCTACCACGTACTTGCAAGCGGCTCCTGTCAAGCCCCCTCGTCCTCACGTTGGTTCTTCTGCACCAGCCATTCGCCCCTCGACAGACACACTCTTGACAACCATCTTTCCGAGCCGCATGACGCGCCGGGACGTTTCCACTCGGACCAGTTTCCTTAATATCCATAGCACCCAATCATGCCTGGTGCCTTAGCGCATGCCAAACCCGGCGTCCTATCGCGAGTCGTGATAAGGCCAGGCGCGGTGATGCGGTAACGCCCACCCAAACCATGATGATTTCCCTTGTACCCGCCATGTTTCCCCCCACTGCAACGCAGTGCTGGCCCAGCCCAGCCTAGTCCGCGAAAGGAAGGCAAGCCACTCTTTGCGGTAACAAAAGCATTACACACTGCCGATCAGGTACAGATTGCTCTAGTTGCCCGAGACCTTAGATGAGGCGCGATGCTTCAGCCGTACGACTGGGTCCTTGACCTGCCTGATTGGGCAGCATAAGAGCGATGGTGCATCTGGAGAGCGGGCATCTCAGCGGAAAGACTAGTCAGCTGTGTGGTGAGCAGGCAGGGGCCGGAAAGCGCAAAAGCGTGGACCTCTCTATTGGTTTTGAGCTCGTCTGGGGACGTCTCTTTTGATAGCATCCAAGGGGTCCGGGGGAGGGGCTGCTCCAAGGGATGGAAAAGGAAATGCTAAGGTACTGGTTATATATAAAAGCGGTTTACACGTCGCTCTTTGCCATGTACAGAACAGCCAGTCATCCAAAAGATAACTTCCTCTCTTGTTCTGCCCAGCCCCCCCTCCACCCTTGACCCTACTCGCATCCAAAGTAATCCAAGATGAAAGCCTCGCTCCTCATCGCCGCCGCCGCCTCCCTTGGCCTCACCTCAGCAGCGCCCACATCGTCGTCACCCCTCGCCGCGCGGGCTCCCCCCAACGTGCCCAGCAAAGCCGAGGCAACCTCACAGCTCGCCGGCCTCACCGTCGCAGCCCAAGGCCCGCAAACCGGTTACTCGCGCGACCTGTTCCCCCACTGGATCACCCAGTCCGGCACCTGCAACACGCGAGAGACAGTCCTCAAGCGCGACGGCACAAACGTCGTTACCAACAGCGCCTGCGCTTCTACCTCTGGTTCCTGGTTCAGCCCGTACGACGGAGCGACGTGGACGGCCGCTAGCGATGTCGATATCGATCATATGGTTCCGTTGAGCAATGCTTGGAAGGTATGTTTTCTTCTTTTCCCCCACAATCCCATTTCCCTCTTCATCTCACAATCCATGCATATCATTACTCCACGCATAGCTAACACATGCATCTATTTAGTCCGGCGCAGCATCCTGGACCACAGCGCGCCGCCAGGCCTTCGCCAACGACCTGACCAACCCGCAGCTGCTGGCCGTGACGGACAACGTCAACCAGGCCAAGGGCGACAAGGGCCCCGAGGACTGGAAGCCCCCGCTAACGAGCTACTACTGCACTTACAGCAAGATGTGGATCAAGGTCAAGAGCGTATATGGCTTGACCATTACGAGTGCTGAGAAGAGTGCGTTGACGAGTATGTTGGCGACTTGCTGAGGCTGAGTTTTGGGGTTTGGGGGGGGGGGGGGGGCAATGAATGGATGAAATGAAACGAAATGAAGTGAAGTGAAGTGAATCGAGAAAAAAAGTGAGAAAGAAACAAGGATTTGCGGAATGGGGGATGGGAGAAATAGGAGGAGGAGTTCAAGCACACGACGCATGTTTTTTCTTTCTTCTTTTCTTCTTCTTCCCCTTCTTTTAAGGGGGTGATTATTTTTTTTGGTTATCGAGGATTGGAGAATTCTGAAGTATGCATAACATGAATTGTCAACTTGAATAGACGAAGCAAATTTTCCGACAATCGAAAGCCAAGAAAAAAGAACATGCAATTATCCTAAAGTGTGTAGACAAACTCTGGGTTCTCTCTGTCGGTCAGATCGAGCCATCTGGAATGCCTAGTTAGCATACTGCCAGGTCCCCAGGTCAGTCAGAAGGAAGGGTGAGAAAGAGGAACTTACTCTTGGTTCTCGAGCCTCACGTATTCCGGCGACGCCCTAATCTGCGCTTTCTTCTTGTTCTGCCACACGCAGTAGAAATGGACGAATGCCATGATGCCCAGGCAAACGCTCCAGCACACGATGATTGTGACTTCGGCTGGGACGTAGCGGGGGGCGTCACTGGCGCGGAAAGTCTGGGGGCCTGTCGTAGTATGAGTATGAGTATGAGTATTTCATGTGAAGAAGCGTAACCAAACATACCAATGATATTGCCCACACAATACCCAATCAGATACATAGCCGCAACAGTAGTCTTCTTGGTGTATCCCGCGACATTACTCGAGATCAAGCTGAGGATAGCGACGAACGGGGTTGGACTGGCCTGGGTGAGATAGTAACCCGCGAGTCGGCCGTGGTTGTTGGACAGCGGCAGCGCGACAATCAGCACCATGCCGAGAATCGCCACGCACAGCCCAATCATGGAGATTAGAATTCGGTAGCCGTATCTGTCGCCGGCCCAGCCGCATGCAATTAGCGCAACGACTTCGACGGCGCCGCCGGGCGTCCCGTACAGCAGCGATTGCTCGGGCGTGTAGCCGAAGCCGACGATGAGCTGCGAGAAGAAGTTTGTTATGCCGCCTGTACGGGCGTTAGTCTCTTTTTTCTTGTAAATTTAGAGTGGTGGTGGAAACGAGGATAGTGGTGATAAAGCTGGAAAGAAAGAGAGTAAAAAGGGACTGTACCATTCGGAATATCCGCAATAAGCGCGTAGAAGAAAAATGCCCAGCTCAACGGATCCAGCAACGCCTCTTTCAACTGGTACCACTTGAAATGCTTGTTGCCCACACCCTGGGCATTCACTCTGATGCGCTCGATAGCCAGCACGCGGTCTTCCTTGCTCAGCCACCTGCAGTTGAGCTGGTTGTCCGGGACGATCCACAGGAAGGCGATTCCAAGGGTTGTTGTCAGGAGGCCGGTGACGAGAAAGACGATTTTCCAGGGCTCGATGGAAGTGCCGTATTTGCGGCAGCCGACAGCGATGCCGTAGGCGAGGCAGCCGCCGAAGAGCTGGGCAAAGCCGTTGAAACTGAACCAGATTGCTGTTCGTGAGCCCTGCTCCTTTTTCGTGTACCATTGCGAGGTGAAGAGCGTGAAGCCGGGGGTTACGGCAGATTCGAAGAGGCCGAGGAAGAAACGGATGGCGATGGCGCCGGCGTAGTTGTTCACTGCGGCGAAGCACGAGAGGACGATGCCCCACATGATAATATTGAAGGCGGCTTGATAGTGTGAGTTTCCAAGTTCTCTCCTGAGGATATATGTTTAGGCAGGTGATACAGTAAATTCATAACTCACAGTATTTTCCCAAGGGCAGCACTTGCAAAAGTCGCGACGTGGGATACTCCCAGGCAATGTAGCCAAAGTAAAACATGCTTCCAAGCCAGGAGTACTGGTCGCCTACAAGCCCGATTCCCGAATGCAGCGGGTTACTCGATGGCGGGAGCTTGAGGCCCATGATGCTGGCGTAGGATAACGTGGTTTTGTCGAGATAGTTCAAGCCGTATACGATACACATGATCTGGTGCATGTAAGTAGTCTAGCCAGAAAATGAGAATGAAGCCGAATATTACTCACCGGCATCAAATGCATATCGATTTTCCTGAGTAGAGCTTTACTCTTCTCCTCGCTCAATTCAATGACTTGGCCCTCCATGCCTTCAAACGCCTTCATAGCTGTGTCGGCATCATGTGAATGTTTCAGCAACTTTTCTTCCAGCCCGCTTGACACAACACTCTTCTTGATCTCTTTGGTTGCATCTTCCACGACTAGCTCTTTCTCCGGATCCGTGGGCGACACCGACGACGACGTCGGCGCTACAACTGCCGCGGACGCCATGATCTCTGTGCTTATTTCCACTAGCTCTTACAATGTACAAGCACAAGTAGTTCCCGGGTATCCCAGAACCCCGATGTCAGCGATACCAGCGCAGCGAAAACCCGACGAGAGACGAAAGAGCAAGACTCGCGCAAAGGTCACGGCATGTAGCCTCTTTAACGAGACAGAGAGGAGAGGGAAGATAAGACGCAGACAGGCAGAACAAGCAACCCCACAAGCATCACAAGAAAAAGGAAAAGAAAAGTGCCAATCATCCCACCACCGCATTCCCACGTCGTCGCAAACCACGGCGGGGCCCAAAAAACAGCCGACGACCCTACCCGATAAGTCAGTTACACCAGCGATCAACGCACCAGCAGCAGCAACACCACCAGTACCAGCCTCGCTCCAGCAGTCCCCTCTACTTCTTAGACGTACCTACTCCAACCTACTCCACAGCCATGCATCGACGCGCGCTCCCTTCCCGCCCCTCGCCCATTCCTCTATCTATCTAACGTATCTATCTACACCCGTGCTTATCGCAAACCCCTCTCTACACACACACACACACACATAGACGCTCTACACCCAGTCCTATCTCCACAACCTCCGTTTTTTTTTTACCCGATCATTATGCCTATCTGCAGGGAGCGTGACATGAGCGCGCAGCGGAGTGTTTATCCCATGTTATGCCTTTCTACCACTGTAGTAATAGTACAAGCCCGCTATCGCATCGCATCACAGCATGGCCACACTCACGCACTCTGATTGCGGGGGTAAATCCGCACACGCACACGCATATTCCGTACTACGAGCTATGACTGGGAAGAAAGTACCTAGTCCAAGCGCGCGATGATGGCATACCTCGTGTTGGCAACTCCCTCCTCCCCCGGCGCCATGCAAAAGCATCGAGACGAGACGAGGCGAGACGAGGCGAGTAATAACGTTGGAGTATTATATGACTACTGTAAGTACGTACTTGACGCACGTACACGTACATTAAGCTACAAGGTAAGACGGGCTAAGACTAGCTAAGGCGACACTACGGCTACGGTCCCGACTATGGCTGCAAATGCAAATGCAGAAAAGGTCGACATGGAGGCGATGGTGGTGGTGGGGGGGCAAAGAAAACTACACTAGCGAGGTTACATGATAGACAAAAGGACCTTCCGCAACGGGCAAGGTGGGTGTCGTCAATGCTTGATACCGGGGATTTGTTGGGTTTGGGTTTGGGGTTAGGTTAGTATACAGTTAGGTTAGTATACAGTTAGGTTAGTATACAGTTAGGTTAGTATACAGTTAGGTTAGTATACAGTTAGGTCAGTATACAGTTAGGTTAGGTTAGGTTAGGGTTGGAGGATGGGGAGGGGACATGGGGGAGGAAGGGCCGCCGTTGTGTGCTTGCACTTGCACTTTCACTTGTGCGTGATGATACCAATACTTGCCTTTTTTTGTGTGTGTAAGTATGCGGGAATAGGGTGGGGGTGATGAAAATGTCTATGTTGTTGTTTTTTATTTTTATTTTATTTTTCCTTTGCTATAAAAGACTAGGTATAATAAAGAGATTGCTTTCTCCTTCTCTGCGTGTTGGGTGAGGTCGTGGTTATGCTATGCTATGCTATGCTATGCTATGTATGTAGCATAGCAGGTAGGGTAAGTAGGTGTACATATATATACAAGGGCAGTCAGTCAGTCACCACCACCACCACCACCACTATCACTACCAACCACATACCAATGCCAACATCAAACCCATCCCTTTGGTATCCATACACACCTATGTCTAACTTGTTTTTTTCAATCTAGGTCTGTATACATACATGCATGCGCCTAGCTACTCATATACATGCACCTACATACTAGTCGTGTACATACATATATACTATATACTAGTCATATACACCTACTCTAATCTAACAGAGAAGAAAAAAAAGGCCCCCCCCCTAGTCGTTATCTCCTTCTTACACCAACCCACATGCACACTTACACCCTATACATACATACATACATACATACATACATACATACATACATACATACATACATACATACATACATACACTACATGCACAGCATACTTGCATTTGCGCAGCATACGTAACATAGCATACGTACGTTTTACTTCACGTGATGTCAGCACACGCTGCATTCCAACCAACCAACTAACCAACCAACCAGGACAGCATGTAAATAAATAAATAACAAAACAGGTCTTGTTGCAGATTATGATATGACTACTATGTGTGTGTGTGTGTGTGTGGACTAATCAAGACGATGACAACAATGATAGCAGTAAAAATAAGTAGCCAGGACTTTATATATAAAACATGCAACTACAAAGAATAACTCTGTGAAACGCCCAGGCCGCCCCATGATCGGCCGAAAAATGCTTGTTGTGAAGCCTAACTATGCCCAACAGAGACACGCGGACACAAACATGGAAACCCGCAAAAAAATCCTAGTGTAACCTATTCCCCTAATAGATTTGGATTGGCAAGTCCCAAATAAAGATATCGAGTTGTACTTGCCATCTGCACACCTGTTTCCCAAACGCCGCTCGTATGCAAAAGTTCGTAAAAAAAAACAAATATATATGCCTTGTGCCCCGTGTGGTGGATGATGGCTTTCCTCTTTCTTCGTGCAGCTTTTAAGGTTGAAAGAAAAAAAGCGAAAATAAGTCGCGCGTAAAAATGGGTCGTTACGCGAAGTGTCAAAAGACGAAAGAAGAGAAGACAGTAGTAGGTACCGCGGCCAACATTACAGAAAAAAGCAGTTGCTATGATCGTACAAAGACACTGTTGAGCTTGTTCAGTGCACTGCTGTCAGCAGCAGTGCTGTTCTTGGCAAGCCTTTCAGGCGCAAGATCGCGAGGAAACCTTGGCACAGTATTGGGGCTGCGGCTGCCAGAACGGCTGGTGGTTTGGCTGTCCTTTGTTTGGCTGTCGCCGTTGAGAAGCGAATCGAGCGTTGGTAGCGGTCTGGAGACTGGCGGTGGCGGCGGTGCTCCGGATGATGCGGTTCCGCTAGGCTCTGATGCGCGTCGTTCCGACTTGTCAGAAGACTCTGGGGTTGGCGGCCGGTTTCCGCCTGCTGCAGCCGCACCGTTGATGGCTGGTAGTTGCGGACCTTGCTCGGGAATGGCTGCAACTGGTGCTGGCGGAGGTGCAGCACTAACGCGCTGGAGGTGTTGCTGGCGTTGGGCGTGCTCGGCAGTTGAAGGGGTGCGCAGTGGGGGCGTTGCCATGTATTGCTGGGCTGCGTGAGCGGCATGGGCCGCGTATGCGGGGTGCTGCATGAGCATCGGGTGGTGGGCTTGTGGGCCGTGGCCATGTGCCATTGGCGGCGGTGGGCGGTCAAAACCGTGTGCTTGAGGGTGGTATGGGGGCTGGGCGTAGACGACGCCAGGGTAGAAGTAAGGGTGTTGTGGGTAGTATGCATGCAGCGGAGAGGAGCCATTGGGAGGGGTCGAGGGATAGATGGGCACTGCGTACATGGGCGCGACAGGACCGCCGCGAGCATAGGGAGGCGAGGGAGCCATGCTGTGTCCCGGGGCATTGTAGGGGGAGCTGGGCATGGGGCCGCGGGTAACAGCAGGCACCGACTGCGTCTCGTTCACGGCCGACTCGGGGTACATGTTCTTTGGGGGGCGGATGTGTCGCAGCTGTGCGTCGTTTGTGGGCTGTGGGAGGTTGCTCGAGTTGGAGCGCGAGTAGTAGCTGATGAGGTGGAGGTGCTGGCCGCTCTGGGTGGTGATGCTGAAGGACTGCTTCATCAGACCGTCGGGCTTGTAGCGGTAGCCGTCTGGGCCCTCGCCCTCGGAGTCGCCCGTTGCTGAGCCGTCTGGCGACTTGCCGCTGGCGCGCTTGGCCACGGGGGCGGTGGGCACAGCGCTGCCTCCGCGCTTGCCCTCCATCTCGCGGTAGGTGAGGAAGCTGCCGGAGACGCGGCTGGCGCTCCACGACTTGCCGTCGGTCCATCGCCTCATGCCGGCCTCGCGCTCGTCCCAGACGAAGACGGAGCCAGACTTGATCTGCTGGCGCTCCTTCTCCGACAGGCGGCGCTGGACGCGGGGGAGTATGCCGATGCGGCAGGCCTCGAAGAGGATGATTGCGTCATTGGGGGTACGGACGTGGCCGTGGTAGGTCTCCATGGCGAGAGAGCAGAGTCGGAGATTGAGCGGGTGGCGGAGGAGCAGGTGGAGGTGGAGGAGGAGCAGGTGGAGATTGCAAGGTCCGGCGCAGTGGCAGTATATGAAGTCAATGCCTCATGGGTGCGCCTGTTAAGCTTATGTTAGTCGGTAGCTTACATGCAGCTCGGCGGGCAAATCAATGGCGGCAGTAATCTTGGTACCGGTACCAGCACGCCGCTCTGACACGGGCAGCAGGGCGAGGGGAGCGAATAGCAGGCCAGGGGAGCAGCGTAGCGCAGCATGCAGGATTGCCGGTAAGCTTCGGGGAAAAGTGAGAGTGCGCATAAACCATGGGCGTACTGGATAGCGCCGTGGCAGCGGGCAACGCAGCGGGCAGCGGGCAGCGCAGCGCAGCGCAGCGCAGCGCAGCGCAGAGCATCGCATGACACGACAAAGGCCACAAGGAGACACGAGACGGAAGCGTGGGCACTTACAGCAGGACAATGTGCGACTGGCTGTGACTGACTGGGACTGGCTGTGACGGCGGCGAGCGTACGTGTGGCTGTGCGAGCACGACGGGGCTGGCAGAGCTGCTACGTGGAACACTAGGAATGTGAAACGGAGTCGGCACTGCGGCAGCGTCTGTGTGCGGTGAGCTGTGTGTGTGATGGTGATGGCGATGGGACGGCGATCAGGCGTGGGGGGGTGGTGGTGGTGGTAGTATAGTAGCGGTGGGCGGGTGAATGAGAGGAAGGCGGAGGACGGAGTAATAGAGGGCGCGAGCGAGGCCAGGCAAGCGAAACTCTTTCCCACGGCCCTCAGCAGTCATCTGGCCTCAAGTATGGGGAGGGGGGGGAGAGGGGGCGCAGGCTTGGGACCCAGAAATGTCTTTTTGGCCCTTTCTCGGCGTTGGGGGGAGGGGGGAGGGTGCTTTCTCTGATCGCCCGCCCAGGCGTGGAGTGGCGTCTGATAGCGAAATAAGGCCCACAAGCAGCCGCGACAAGCTTTATTTGGAGCCCGCTGCCTGCCTGCTGCCTCCTCGCACGCCTTCACCCACCCACCCGCACGCACTCCCTCACTCACGGCCGCCTATTCACGCCACGCCCCCAGACATCCCCCCTCCATCTACTCGCCGCTCCATCTCACCATGATGCACGCACTCATCCACGCACTCATCCGCGCACTCACCCGCGCTCGCCCACGCCCTATCCACGCCAATCCAGCGCCCAAGCCCGCCCAGGCAGGCTCCCTGCTCAGCCCGCATCGGCCAAGCTTTGCGTGCCGGCCAACTCTAAACGAATCTTTATTTTCGACAAGCCTTCGACGACTTGGCTGCCCCACCGCAACCCCAGTTCTGACACTTCCCAAGACTTTGGCTGTGGTCCAACCACTCCGTCAATCCGTCTTGTCGTGCTTGGCTGCTGCTGGCGTCTGAGCCGCCGCCCTACGCCGCCGGCGCACCAATACACCAAGCACAGCCAAGGCGTTGCACACGCCCGTGTCATCCACATCCACCAGGCCAACGCCCCAAGGCGCCCTTGGCTCTTGTCCCCAAGAGCCCCCAACCCTGCCGTGCCTCTCGGCGCCCTTGGGCCTCGGACGACCGCCCGCGACAAGACGCCTAGCACCGCTGCCGCCCCAACCATGGCGCCCTCCTTGGCCAGCCAAGCATCCCCCAGCGCCGCCCACGGCTGCCCGAGAAACATTTTCGTCCGCCGCCCTGGCCGGCCGCTTGTTCCATCTACTTGCGCACTACTGCTATACACGCACTCCGCAGCATATACGCTGCCAACTGCTGCAGCCCTCGCCGCTGTTGCGTACGTGGAACATGGGCCCCGTTAGCCTCGATGCCCTGCAATGCCCCTGTCCCTTCCGCTCAGCTCCACACCCACGTAATCCACCGCCCGCCACTACTCAGCCCATTCGCTCAGCTGCTCGGCCACCACTTAGATCAAGCTTGGTGCATGCCTTCCCAAGCTTACCACCCTGCCCCAAGCATCCGACTTACCCACGCTGACGATATCACAAGCCCGCCGTCGCACCTTTTTTTTTTGCTTCCAGCTGCCACGTCCCCAGACGATTGACCTGCTGGCCTTGACTCACACTCGTTACCTCATCCCCCTTTTGCAGCATGCAGACATGTTTTATGCTTTTACGCAGGTCGCCCTCGGCCAATCACACAGCTGCAATGTTGCTCGTCGTCGTCGTCTAGGCGTAAGCTGTGTCTCACTCGCACGCGTAAAAGCCGGAGCCGACTCCGCCAGTTCCAGCCGAACGTCGCGTCTAGCCAGTCGCATCTGCCCGTCGTATCTGCCCGTCGTGTGTCTGGCCGGTCGCATCCAGCCAGTCGCATCCAAGGTTTGCTGATGTTTTCTTAGAGTTGCCCCCCCAAGAGAGGGCAGGATACGGTCAAGTCTTGCCTGTCAAGACGCCATGGAAGCTAGCGTCTCAGCTGCCCTAGACAGACAAAGGCCCGACTCCGTCTCCATTGGCACAGGTCACACTCAAGCCTGCTAAGGAGCAAACAGGATTCATGTTTCCACAACTGACCAAGAAAGCCCTTCTCCACGTCGAGCAGCCAGCTAGTCAGCCGCTGCGTCGTCTTATCTGCGTGTTTGCTTCCCCCCCCAGCCGCGTCATCCGACTTGTCACAGCCTGCCTAGCGTTGGCTTCTCCACATATCCGATGCTTTGTATCATGGCCGGTACAAATGGAGCCGTCGCGTACACAGATGGCATGGCTCTCTGCCGCCCAAAGCCGCTGCTGCTGTATGGGCGTGCTGACGAATATTCTACAAAGTTGCCAGAGTGCGATGGCGAGTCACGGTGGTCGCCCCGACTCGCTTACAGCTTGCAAGGTTGCAGATAAGGTTGGCGCAACTTAAGCATAATTTCTGGCCCGCTGCCTATCCCCAGTGTTGGGGTCCTCGCCAAACATAACCCTCGCAAAGGACAAGTGGTGGCAAAATTTACTCGACAAGTCATCATCATCTGACCGATCCAATAGCCAAGCCCCGCCGCCGCCGCCCCCCCCCCTGTCTAAGCCACGCAGAGTCTTAATATGAGCGCAGTCCCAAGTAGACAGGTCGACGTGCTTGGCTCGTCGAGTCCAAGATTGCGCCATCGGCATGTCGCACCGCAGAATTGGCCATTGTTGGCCCGCACCTGAGGGCACATTTCCGGAACCGGTGCAAAATTAAGGTAGGCCAAGCAATGGCGTTGGTCCGATAGCGCCCCATCTGTCCCCTAAACGCGGGCAAAAGTTATTCGTCCCACCACTAAGCGGCTATCTAGCCTACCACTTAGTAGGGGTCTGCATTAGTAGGCTTAGCTAAAACATTAGTAGTATTTTATATTACTTACTATAATGTAGCTATACTATAGTAAGTTTTAGTACGTAAAAATAGCTAGTATATTAATAAAGATTTAGTAGTGTTACGTAGCTAAAATAAAAGTTATAAAAGCAAAAAAAAGTAAGGCTCAAAAATTAGCTATATTACTTAATTTTTAGTATTCTATATAGCTTAAAAACTAGCGTAAAATAAGCTTTTAGTGTTATGGGCGAGAGAGGCCTAACTAACAAGTATGCATTCGCCTATTGTACAGAAGAAGAAAGATACAGAAAAGAACTATCTAGAGGGCCCTCCTTTTATAGTTGTTACTCGTACAAACGCTTAGACTTTTAGTCTTCCTCCTTACTTAAGCTTGTTTGTACGTAACTATGTTATTTAGTCACGTGACTAAAGTCATGTGATTCACTGCTATGTGACCTGTAGGTCATGCCTCTCTAGCGTAGCCCTTTACAATACTCCCTTCCTTCACCTCGTCTAATATCACGTGCGTATTCCTTAGTCTTCTTTTTCTTTCTCTCTATCTGTTTGCTATCACATATTTAGCGTCTCGTACGGTTAAGGTAAAGGCAAATAGTGAAGGTAAGAGAGTTAGGCAATAGTGCTATATAGCAAACGCTGTCTAGCGAGCATAAATACTCCTCTTCCCCCGCCTACTCCTTGTCTCCTCTATCCCTTTAGCTTTAACTTTTCTCTTATTATAGTTACTTTCTTAAGTCTTTCTATATAATAGCTAATTATAGGATATAAGCTAATAGCTAGGTTAACGCTTTGCGTTTCTACACGAATAGTAGAGTTAATAACACTATTAAGTAGGCAACTGCTTAGATTTTTAACGTTGCTTATTAGTTGCTTACTTGTACAACGCTAGGTGCTGTCTAGGCTATAGCGCCTATTATTATTAGATAAGTTAACCTTAATAACTAGTAGGTTTAGTATATTTTTAACGTGTAGGTTGCTAAAGAGATTTACTAAGTGTTTACTACTACTCTTATAAGTGTCACTTTCTTATTATACGTTTAAATTAGCTAACTAGTATAGCCTAAGCTTTGCTAGGTCTTTAACATATTCTGCTATCTAAGGGGACTATCGCTATATAATGCCACCTTTAGTCCTAGCCTTAGAAGTTATTCGCCTGTTGTCGCCTGTATGACGCTCTATGCCTATTAAATCTTAGGTGGCTAACCCTTATACCTTTAGGCCTTCCTTATCTATTTACGTGGCGCCCTTAATGCTATATTCTATAATAACTATGCGCTAGTCTTAGACGGGGCAAAGGAATTTATAGCCTTTACTAGTTGCGTCTCTATCTATAGAGAGTAAGGTGGTGCGTGTAGCAATTGTATCTAGTAGGACTATAGCGCTTATTATACGGCAAGAGGAGGGGACAGCTTATTTATTTATACGCTAGCTAAGCATTGTCTTCTAGGCACTAAGAGAGATTATTTAGCCTCTAGGGGTAGCGCTAGGTCTCTATTGCTTATTAAGTAGCTTTCGCCTCTAGCTATTTTATAGCTAGCTATTAGGTCTTCGTACAGAGGAAGTTTAGGCGAGCTATTTGTCTAAGGCCTTTATGTCTTTAAGTGCTAAAGCTAGTTCCTAACTTCCCTCTAGGTAGCCTATCTAAATAACAAGATATTATAGTTCTCTATTTTGTATTTGTTTGTCTATAATACCTTGTACAAGCTATGATATATAGTCTTCTTCCTCCTTATCTTCTC